AAACACACCGCACGGGCAACGAAGGAGTGGCTTTGTAAGAAGCATTTCAAGGTCAACATAACTTAAACCTATTAACCAATTTTTGTTTCCGGTCAGACTGTGGACCCAAAGATGTCAAGGGTTCAGAAAAACATTCTGAACCCGGCTTGACAGAGGTCAAAGGTTATCGCAAACAACAACTATCACTTCTCATATTCTTACACAGCTATGACTATATTGTGTTTAGATTTAATACAACTGCAACATGTCATTGGTCCGTGTTGAATTGGGGTTGGAGCCCATCTGGTTAAGACTAATATGGTTTTCCTAAGCTGTCAGTAGTATGGGGCGACTCGGCAGTTATGCTGAATCAGAGGGCAGCAGGAGAGCAGGGCAGGAGAGAGAGAAGATACGCAGGATCAGTAACTAGACACCCACTCCTTCTCTCCCACCACTGACTGTCACTGTATGAAGAGCAGTGACACACCACACCACTCCTCCCCACCCTAGCCTACCCTGGCCTGAGAGAGAGAAAGGCTGGGGCTCTGTGTGCTGGTGACAAGAGGATCCTACAGGAGGGTAAAGTTCTACCTGAGCCTTGAACCAAACACAGTGAAACACCGCCTCCCTCCAGCTGGGGAGCTCTGTTGGGGTTGCACACGCGCAATGAGAGTAATAACAAAATCACAAATATTATTTACATTGTTAGTCATTTAGCAGACGCTCTTATCCAGAGACTTACAGTAGTGAGTACAGGCCTTCTGTAGCTCAGTTGGTAGAGCATGGTGCTTGCAACGCCAGGGTTGTGGGTTTGATTCCCACAGGGGGCCAATCTGGATAAGAGCGTCTGCTAAATGACTAAAATGTACATACATGTTCACACTGGTCCCCTGTGGGAATCGAACCCACAACCCTGGCGACGCAAGCGCCACGCTCTACCAACTGATTATTTATATTATTTTAGGCAGGTCTAAAGATACATTATGATATGAAGAAAATGTATTTCTGAAGAACAGAATATGAGTGGCCTACTGTATGTTATCTCTCTATGCTCCGTGCCATAGGCTGTAGGCTTGTTCATTAAGCAGACAAGATAGGCCTATAAATCCCATGCCATTATTTTATATGATTTCATAGTTAGAAGAATATAACTGAACTTGGTTGAATAAAATAGAAAGGATATTTTTCACATTCCAGAGCGAGTGCTCATATGAAGTGGCCATGTTGAACGTAAAAGTGATCATTTGAAACAGGGACTATAATATCCTACATTTAGAGTTATTTGGCAACTTTAGTAGTGAATGATACAAACATTAGAATGTCTTAGAAATCAAAACATATATGGGCTGCATGGTGCGGCTATAGGCTATTGATGATTTGAGATTGTAGCAAAAAAAGCTTGTGCTCAGTTCCTTGCCTCAGGCTACACACCCTGTTCTCTCATCAAGTGATCATATTTTCACCCATCAGGCTATTCTCAATTTAATCTTATCTTTACTAATATGTAAAATGCGTTTAGATTTAGAATGGCCCATAATCAAATGGGCAGGAACAGGGATCTGTATGCACTGGAATAGCTAACTGAGGCCGCTTTTCAATCATGCCTGGTAGGCTCCGCCGGTTACGTCACTCCATGCACGCAGCCCCTAGTTGTTCGACAAGTGATTTTCCGCCCATTGACAGTAAAATGTTTTCACGAAACATAATGAAACTGTTGACAGCCCCTCTCTCTGCGCGCTCAATAAAGGATTGAAGGAGAGGATGAGATGGAAACACACGATGGTGAGATATTCTGTAGCTAAAGGTAATATGTTAGCCTATCAATCATGAAAATATATTTTTTAAATGCCCTATCACTAGGCTATTCAAAATCAAGCCACCCTGCACAATCAATGAATCAACAGGATAGCCTACACGTTCCCTCCCAGACTCATGGATAGAACGTTTGGAACACAGCATAAGGAAAGCAGTCCATCCATTATGCATAATAATAATACTGTCCACACACAAGAGGCTATTACTAGAATTTGTATAGGCTAGACCAATTATGTAGCAAAGACATCTTACATATATAGCCCTATCCGTATACATTAGCTCTATGGGTGTTTTGAATTAATAATCACCTTAGAAAGCGCTGTCCATTTTGTTGTGTTAGGCTTTGAAACAACATCCACAAATACCATGTTTTGGGTACAACCAAGGCATGTCCAGAGCGCATAAGAGGAGATTTACTGTGACTCACATGGAATTTGACTGTGGTCTTCTTGACTCATGACTGCTGGTGGGGCAGTAATATGCTCAACACAACAGCTCTAGTTGGAGAGAGAAACGTGCTGTTTTTAAAAAGCTGATTTCCTACAATTCTGCAGATTTTGCCATAGTGTATAGAGAAATGTTTGCAGTTTTTAATATATTTGAGTGAGAGTAACTAACAAAATCAAGGAGGCCCCCAGTCGGTAATTCGACCATGATTACTAGCTGGCCTCTAGACTAATTTACCAATCTAAAAAATGTTAGTTGACATGTCTAATTGAGTGAATGTCAGTGACCGACATAAGAGAAAAACTGCTGATGCAAAACCACATTTCTAAATTGCACCTTGTGTATTCTACTAATATAACTATCAACAGTAAATTGAGACCCCAAAGGAGAATCAGCACATCTACTAATATAACTATCAACAGTAAATTGAGACCCCAAAGGAGAATCAGCACAGCTCTCTTCTGCCTCCTAGTGGCTCTTTTACATATTAAAACTCCACTTGATTCAAATTCGAATGAATTCAAAATATGGATTTCTAACACCAAACAAAGCTTTACATCACAAATTTATGTAATCTCAACATTTTGAATACTTTTTTCATAGGTACTATTTAATAATCCTTCAGTCTTTACAGCACCATCTAATCTGACAAATGTGATCCAATGTAAGAACATATTCAAACAACCAAAGAAATGCAACTTGTATATATATATTTTTTTATCACTTCATCATTGATCCTATATCAGTCATACGGTTTAAAGAATAAAGACCAGGGGTTGGAACCGAAATTATTTTCCAATCGTTTCATTCTGAACAGAACAAATATTTCCGTTCCACTGTTCCCGACCAGCAACATTTCTGAACCGGTTCGAACCAAACTAAAGTACCGGTTTATATCATTCCTTTCGGTTCCTTTTTTAACCTGAAATCATTTTTTTTTTTTTTTTACATTTAGCTCAATAAATTACTTCACCAATCAGCGCAAATAGAGCAGGCAAGCTAGTTGTTTACATGCGTGTTGGACAGACAAGTGTAGCCTATGGCACAAGATGTGACTGACATTTTGAGGGTGGGGAGAGAGCAAGAGCGGGTTGAGGAGGAGGCTTGAAGCGCTGGGTATCTTGTTATGACATGCCTTGTCTGAATTAGGTCCACAGAATTATACCTAGGAAGAGCAGCTTCTATGGAGGAACTTTGAATGTCCTTTGAGCTAGCTGGCTAACAAGCTTGTGTGTGCAGAGCTGCACCAGAACTAAAAACACGTCTTACCATTTTGTAGTTAATAAACCCAATGTTAAATGTGATAACTAGGTCAATAGTATCCTTAACTAGCATCAAAAAAGTTAATCTATTCTTCTCTAGCTAATTAAAAATCTCTCTCCCCAGCTTCTGAATCACGATTGTAATGTCAGTACAGTAGCCTAGCTTCAGAGATGGGAGGGGCAGGTAGCCTAAACACACACACTGGTAAAGACTTTCAGCTTGCAGGCAGACACTGTAGTGACAGTAAGGGCTTTGCCTAGGCACTTTGTTGCGTAGAAAAAACACCTGGAATGTAAAAGTACGTTATTAACCGGTTCCCATGCTTTTAAAATAATGGTTCTGTTCCGGAACAGTATGGATCACTTTCGTTCCATTTCCATTCCTTGAAAAATGGTTCTGTTCTCTGAATCGGTTCCAACCCCTAATGAGGACACAGCTCCCTTATCCTGGTTCGAGATAACATGGTAACCATGTCTCCATACACAGGAGGGTTTCTCAAAAAGCATTGTTGCGAATGTAGTACCTCACTCCTCTCGATGACCCAGACTCACACCACTCAGAACAACCAGCAAAGTGCTTCATTTGACGAATTTGGTTCATTAATGCACATAAAATACCAGTGGAGGCTGGTGTTAGGAGCTATAGGAGGACAGGCTCATTGTAATGGCTCGAATGGAATTAATGGAACGGTATCAAACACAAACATGTGGAAACCACCTGTTCGACTCCGTTCCATTATTCCATTCCAGCCATTACAATGAGCCTGTCCTCCTATAGCTCCTCCGACCAGCCTCCACTGGAGAATACAGACAGTCAAACATAGATATTGCAATGGTCACTGTGGAGGCTGGGTTGTCAGGACAAATAACATCCCACGTTAGCAACGAGGCTTTCAGGGCAACTCACCCCCAGACGAACAGACTGACAGACAGAGACAGACTGGCCCAGGGCCAGCTTGACTGCAGCCCAATGGGCAAAAGTACCAGGCTGATAGACAGGCTGCGTTTCCATTCTCCACCCTTCTCCTGTACTGTGCCCTCATACTCCACGTCATGGACTTAAAAGCATAGGGTTGACGTAAACATTGGCTTTAGGGAGTTTGAGTTTCCACCATTGTTAAATCAATGCGAGAAAGAACGCAAGACAAGTGCATACTTCGGGAGAAGGATTGGAGAATCGGGACGCAGCCAGACAGACAGACAGAGACAGACAAACACGACAAATGGGCGAGCAGATTGATGAGCTGCCGGCGGGTGTGTTCAGGCTCTGAGCCTGAGGAGTTCAGTCTGAGTTAGTTTCTCCCGCCCCGCCTCACACCATCCAGTTGGTAGCTAGTACAGCAACGTTGTCAAAAGGCAATATTTTAGTTTCCTTTTCCAAGGTATTGGTTCCTTTCTTCCATTTATACTACTGTATAAAACGGAAGAATAGCCAGACGGTGGATGGATGGAGATGGGGTCAGTCGGGTGGAGGCAGGGATGGTCTACTCCAGGTCTCTACTCCAACACCACAGTGCCTCCTGCTGTCTCCAGGGCTGCCTTCAGCTTCTCCGCCTCCTCTTTAGACACATTGGCTCTGATCTCCTGGGGGAGGGACTCCACCAACTTCTTAGCCTGGTGGAGGACAGAGGAGAGGGGATCAGTGACCTATAGTAACATTAACACAAAGCGACCTCCTAGACGGACATGACTTGATGTCTTCTAGAGTAAGAAACAGAAGGATGATTATAGAGAGAACAGAGAAGTCAACCAACTTCTTAAGACGATCACATACATAAAGAGCGCAGTATCACAGAGTGAAAGGCCTCCAACCCAATGCAAAGCTAGCCTACGTCGCAGACTGATTTGACTGTGTGTCCTTTAAGCGTGGACACTGGAGCATGTGTAGTAATAGATGTAAAGAACAAAATAATACATTGCCTGGCTGTGACATCATACAGAGAAAAAAAAAACAGCATCTTACCTGCACCAGGTTCAAGCCTTGGATGCAGTTCTTCACTTCTTTGATGAGTTTGACTTTCTCTGCTGCCTTCAGTTCTGTCAGTTTTACTGTGAAGTGAGTCTTCTCTTTCTTGACTGGCGCCATCTCCTCCTCCACTGCCTATAGGAGCAGAATGAATACAATGGAAGGTTACAACATGCCATATCTATGCCCTGAGGCCACTATATTACATGCTTATGTGTACAGTCAAGCAGAAAGATTGCATTGCAGTAAAGAAGCTTACATTTTCCATTGAAACTAAAGCAGGTTAAAGCATTTTTAGATAGAAGGCCAATGAGGGTGGGGTAAGGGGTAACCATGGGGCATCACGTAAGGGCGGGGTAAGGGGTAACCATGGGGCATCATGTAAGGGCGGGGTAAGGGGTAACTATTGGGCATCACGTAAGGGCGGGGTAAGGGGTAACCATGGGGCATCATGTAAGGGCGGGGTAAGGGGTAACTATTGGGCATCACGTAAGGGCGGGGTAAGGGGTAACCATGGGGCATCATGTAAGGGCGGGGTAAGGGGTAACTATTGGGCATCACGTAAGGGCGGGGTAAGGGGTAACCATGGGGCATCGCGTCAGGGCGGGGTAAGGGGTAACTATCGGGCATCACGTAAGGGTGGGGTAAGGGGTAACCATGGGGCATCACGTAAGGGCAGGGTAAGGGGTAACCATAGGGCATCATGTAGGGCGGAGTAAGGGGTAACCATGAAGCATCATGTAAGGGCGGGCTTACCAATACAGGTAAAGAAATAAGCTTTATTAACGTATTGAATAAAACACCTAAACACACTGAAACAATCCGTCTTACCAGAGCTGCAGGTGCTGCTCCTGCAGCCATGGCTCCCATTGGCATCATCCCAACATCCTGGATATTCAGGGTTTTCTGGGACAAAAATTCAACATACTTTATTGAGAAGTCATTCAGCAAGATGAGTGTTCAAATCAAATCACACTTTATTCGTCAAATGCTTCGTAAACAACAGGTGTAGACCAACAGTGAAGCGCTTACTTACGGGCCCTTCCCAACAATACAGAGAAAGAAAATAGAGAAATAATAGAAAAGTAAAACAAGTAATAATAAAAGTAATAATAAACACACAATGAGTTTTATATTTATTTATTTATTTCACCTTTATTTAACCAGGTAAGCCAGTTGAGAACAAGTTCTCATTTACAACTGCGACCTGGCCAAGATAAAGCAAAGCAGTGCGATAAAAACAACAACACAGAGTTACATATGGGGTAAACAAAACATAAAGTCAAAAATACAACAGAAAATATATATACAGTGTGTGCAAATGTAGTAAGTTATGGAGGTAAGGCAATAAATATTGGCCATAGTGCAAAATAGTTTCAATTTCGTATTAACACTGGAATGATAGATGTGCAAAAGATGACGTGCAAATAGAGATACTGGGGTGCAAATTAGCAAAATAAATAACAATATGGGGATGAGGTAGTTGGGTGGGCTAATTTCAGAATGGCTGTGTACAGGTGCAGTGATCGGTAAGCTGCTCTGACAACTGACGCTTAAAGTTAGTGAGGGAGATAAGAGTCTCCAGCTTCAGAGATTTTTGCAGTTCGTTCCAGTCATTGGCAGCAGAGAACTGGAAGGAATAGCGGCCAAAGGAGGTGTTGGCTTTGGGGATGGCCAGTGAGATATACCTGCTGGAGCGCAGACTACGGGTGGGTGTTGCTATGGTGACCAGTGAGCTAAGATAAGACGGGGATTTGCCTAGCAGTGATTTATAGATGACCTGGAGCCAGTGGGTTTGGCGACGAATATGTAGTGAGGGCCAGCCAACAAGAGCGTACAGGTCACAATGGTGGGTAGTATATGGGGCTTTGGTGACAAAACGGATGGCACTGTGATAGACGACATCCAATTTGCTGAGTAGAGTGTTGGATGCTATTTTGTAAATGACATCGCCGAAGTCAAGGATCGGTAGGATAGTCAGTTTTACGAGGGCATGTTTGGCAGCATGAGTGAAAGAGGCTTTGTTGCGAAATAGGAAGCTGATTTGTAGGGGTCCAGATTTTTCAGCTCTTTCAGAACATCAGCTGTCTGAATTTGTGTGAAGGAGAAGCGGGGGGGCATGGGTAAGTTGCAGCGGAGGGTGCAGAGCTGGTGGCCGGGGTAGTGGTAGCCAGGTGGAAAGCATGGCCAGCCGTAGCAAAATGCTTGTTGAAATTCTCGATTTATCAGTGGTGACAGTGTTTCCTAGCCTCAGTGCAGTGGGCAGTTGGGAGGAGGTGCTCTTATTTTCCATGGACTTACAGTAACGATAACTTGGCTTTATACATGGGGTACCTGTACTGAGTCAATGTGCATGGGTATGAGGTAATTGAGGTAGATATGTACATATAACTAGGAACAAAGTGACTAGGCAACTGGATACATAATAAACTGTAGCAGCAGCATATGTGATGAGTCAAAAGAGTTAGTGTAAAAAGGGTCAATGCAGATAGTAAAATTTAGGGGCCTTCCTCTGACACTGCCTGGTATAGAGGTCCTGGATGGCAGGAAGCTTGGCCCCAGTGATGTACTGGGCCGTACGCACAACCCTCTGTAGCGCCTTGCGGTCGGATGCCGAGCAGTTGCCATACCAGGCGGTGATGCAACCAGTCAGGATGCTCTCAATGGTGCAGCTGTAGAGGGTCCATGCCAAATCTTTTCAGCCTCCTGAAGGGTAAGAGGCGTTGTCGTGCTCTCTTCACGACTGTGTTGGTGTCTGTGGACCATGATCTTTAGTGATGCAGACGCCGAGGAACTTGAAGCTCTCGACCCGCTCCACTACAGCGGGTCTGGGATGATGGTGTTGTGAACCATGACCAGCCTTTCAAAGCATATCATGGCTACATATGTGAGTGCTACAGGGCGATATTCATTTACACAGGTTACCTTGGCGTTCTTGGGCACATGGACTATGGTGGTCTGCTTAAAACATGTAGGTATTACATACTGGGTCAGAGAGGTTGAAAATGTCAGTGAAGACACTTGCCAGCTGGTCAGCGCATGCTCGGAGTATGCGTACTGGTAATCCGTCTGGCCCTGCGGCCTTGTGAATGTTAACCTGTTTGAAGGTCTTACTCACTTCGGCTACGGAGAATGTGATCACACAGCCGTCCGGAACCACTGGTGCTCTCATGCATGGTTCAGTGGTGCTTACCTCGAAGCTTAGCTCGTCTGGTAGTCTTGCGTCTAGGTTTCCCTTTGTAATCTGTGACAGTTTGCAAGCCCTGCCACATCCGATGAGCGTCAGAGCCGGCGTAGTAGGATTCGATCTTAGTCCTGTATTGACGCTTTGCCTTTAGCTCGGTGTGGATGTTGCCTGTAATCCATGGCTTCTGGTTGGGATATGTACGTACGGTCACTGTGGGGACAACATCGTCAATGCACTTATTAATGAAGCCGGTGACTGATGCAGTAAACTTCTCAATGCCATTGGATGAATCCCGGAACATATTCCAGTCTGGGCTAGTGAAACAGTCCTGTAGCTTAGCATCCACTTCATCTGACCATTTCCTTATTGAGCGCGTCACTGGGTACTTCCCGTTTTGAATTCTTGCTTGTAAGCAGGAATCTGGAGGATAGAGTTATGGTCAGATTTGCCAAATGGAGGGCGAGGGAGAGCTTTGTATGCGTTTCTGTGTGTGGAGTAAAGGTGGTCTAAAGTTTAGTCTCCTCTAGTTCCCCTCAAATATGCGTGTTTGTGTTGGGGGGGGTTTGAGAGCAGAGCAGGACGAATTTTCGACGTAACAGTTGGACAAATGAAGTTGTAGCCTATTGTACAGGTAGCCTAGCAGTTAAGGGCGCTGGGCCAGTAACCGAAAGGTCACTGCTTTGAATCCCCGAGCCGACTACGTGAAAAATCTGCCGATGTGCCCTTGAGCAGGGCACTTAACCCTAATTGCTCCTGTAAGTCGCTCTGGATAAGAGCGTCTGCTAAATGAAAGAAAAAAAAATGTGATGTCAGATTGCCTAATTATACTCAAGTACAGGCCAATGTGCTATATGCATGGCTATGTACTATCTGTTATATATTACATTTACATTTTAGTCATTTAGCAGACGCTCTTATCCAGAGCGACTTACAGTTAGTGAGTGCATACATTTTTTCATACATGGCTATGTACTATGTGTTATTTATAGGCCAATGTGCATGGCTATGTACTATGTGTTATATAGAGGCCAATGTGCATGGCTATGTACTATGTTATATATAGACCAATGTGCATGGCTATGTACTATGTTATATATAGACCAATGTGCATGGCTATGTACTATGTTATATATAGACCAATGTGCATGGCTATGTACTATGTGTTATATAGAGGCCAATGTGCATGGCTATGTACTATGTTATATATAGACCAATGTGCATGGCTATGTACTATGTTATATATAGACCAATGTGCATGGCTATGTACTATGTTATATATAGACCAATGTGCATGGCTATGTACTATGTTATATATAGACCAATGTGCATGGCTATGTACTATGTTATATATAGACCAATGTGCATGGCTATGTACTATGTTATATATAGACCAATGTGCATGGCTATGTACTATGTTATATATAGACCAATGTGCATGGCTATGTACTATGTGTTATATAGAGGCCAATGTGCATGGCTATGTACTATGTTATATATAGACCAATGTGCATGGCTATGTACTATGTTATATATAGACCAATGTGCATGGCTATGTACTATGTTATATAGAGGCCAATGTGCATGGCTATGTACTACGTTATATATAGACCAATGTGCATGGCTATGTACTATGTTATATATAGACCAATGTGCATGGCTATGTACTATGTTATATAGAGGCCAATGTGCATGGCTATGTACTACGTTATATATAGACCAATGTGCATGGCTATGTACTATGTTATATATAGACCAATGTGCATGGCTATGTACTATGTTATATATAGACCAATGTGCATGGCTATGTACTATGTTATATATAGACCAATGTGCATGGCTATGTACTATGTGTTATATAGAGGCCAATGTGCATGGCTATGTACTATGTTATATATAGACCAATGTGCATGACTATGTACTATGTTATATATAGACCAATGTGCATGGCTATGTACTATGTTATATAGAGGCCAATGTGCATGGCTATGTACTACGTTATATATAGACCAATGTGCATGGCTATGTACTATGTTATATATAGACCAATGTGCATGGCTATGTACTATGTTATATAGAGGCCAATGTGCATGGCTATGTACTACGTTATATATAGACCAATGTGCATGGCTATGTACTATGTTTTATAGAGGCCAATGTGCATGGCTATGTACTATGTTATATATAGACCAATGTGCATGGCTATGTACTATGTTATATAGAGGCCAATGTGCATGGCTATGTACTATGTTATATAGAGGCCAATGTGCATGGCTATGTACTATGTGTTATATACAGACCAATGTGCATGGCTATGTACTATGTTATATAGAGGCCAATGTGCATGGCTATGTACTATGTGTTATATACAGACCAATGTGCATGGCTATGTACTATGTGTTATATAGAGGCCAATGTGCATGGCTATGTACTATGTGTTATATACAGACCAATGTGCATGGCTATGTACTATGTGTTATATAGAGGCCAATGTGCATGGCTATGTACTATGTGTTATATACAGAGCAATGTGCTATGGCTATGTACTATGTTATATATAGACCAATGTGCTATGGCTATGTACTATGTGTTATATATAGGCCAATGTGCTATATGCATGGCTATGTACTATGTTATATATAGACCAATGTGCTATGGCTATGTACTATGTGTTATATACAGACCAATGTGCTATAATTTATGGCACTGACTGAGTGGCACTGGATAGGAGCGTCTGCTAAATGACTGAAATGTAAATGTGGCCTAATGTAAATCTACACAGTCTACATGTTCCAGTTCCATACCTTGAGCAGCTCGTTGAGGTCTGACACTTCTAACAAGGTGAGGCTGGTGATGTCCTTTACCAGCTGGGTGATTTTGGGGGTGTACTGTTTAGGGGCTCCATCCAGAGGGGGGGCAGCGATGACATCAGAAAGGTTGGCTGGGCTGGTCCCAAGTGTTCGGAGGAGAGCACATAGCGTTGGTGTCTGGAGCGCCTGCCTGTGGAAACGAGTCATACGGTTAAGACTTACGTATCATTCAATGCAGCGTTTCCTCTACCATTGTAAAGAGGGGGGCAGGCAGTCCGCCTAAGATTGTTTGGTTTCTATTGGTTTAAATTGACAATTTTGGTGCCAGTTCATTTGCAACTATGCACCAATTTATAAGATTCAGGCTCCTTTGTGCAGCTACACATTCAGAGGGCCTGGATGTTGCTTTAGGGGCCTTTTGAGTCCCATCTGAAAAAACATCTAGGCCTAGGGAAATGACTGATTCAATGTTCTCATAGATCTCTCAAAGATTCTTCAAATCCCCCAGCAGCTAGTAATATAGCACTAGCTAGCTACTATTCCTAATTTTCCGCCTGGTTCAATTGGGAAAGGGGGTACCTAGTCAGTTGCACAATTGAACGCATTCAACCGGAATGTGTCTTCCGCATTTAACCCAACCCCTCTGAATCAGTTGTACAACTGCCACAGTAAGGTTGACAAGATCATTATACAATGGGGGAAATCTATACAAATCAGCAATCAGAACCAGGAGGAAAGCTTTAGCAAGGTGCAGGAGATGACAATCATTTGTCAAAGTTAAACACACATGCCATACCAGAAACACATGACCTTGGCTGGCACATCTCATAAGGAATGAACGAACAGCGGGCATTCGGTCCATGGAACTAGCTAACGTTATTTACTGCTAGCTGAGCCTACTCGCTCTAGTTAACAAGCTAGTTAGCTGGTTTTATAACTAACTCCCCGTGACAGATGAATCCATTTGGCTGCAAGATTGTTCCTCACTAGCTAACTAACGAGGAATTGGTGGCATTGCGGTTGTTAGCTAGCATAGTTAGCCGGCTGATAAAATCCGTTCCTTCACAAAGCAAATGAACGAGCCAAGGGTTATGTTAACATTTCTATGTGACTATGTGATTCAGACTATTTGGGGAACATGAATGGTTAATGCATGGTAAATTAGCTAGCAATTATCTGCCCTTCACGCTTTTAGAACTAGCAAACCATCTAGCTCCCGTGTCCCACTGTTTCTAGAAGCACAGTTCCAGCCGCGCTCCCCGGTTATGACACCCGCTTACCGATTCGTCTGTGCGGTAATCCGCAGTGCGGTCCGAATGCAATGTCTTGTGCAGTACATGTTTATTATTTGTGCCCCCGGATCTCCTCGAGATACTTCCAATTCACAGTCACAATGCAGCCTGTCAGTCCTGGACCTTCTCCCTCAAAACCACATGGCGTCCTCCACTCTCTGTTACTGACCTACCCACAATGCATTGCGCCACAAACGCGTTGTAGTTGGACTACATAACTTTATTAACAAAGGAGCTTTTGTCAATTTCTCTCTCTCTGTGTGTGTGTGTGTGTGTGTGTGTGTGTGTGTGTGTGTGTGTCGGTCTGTTCTTTTCCCCGAGTGCTCAAAGTTATGGCCTTCTGTCTAGAAAGATCTCCCATTTTGGGGAGGAGTGTTGTTCACTAGTGCTTTCCGAATCCTCTTAACCAGGTAATCTCATAACCCATCTGCCTTATAGGCTATCGGCTATTACCCATCAGCCACCTCCCAGTCCCAGCCTACACCAATATGTCATGTCTTTAGCCTCTTCAGAGCAGCTAAAGAAAAGGTGAGTGTCAAACAGTACTATTTACACCATAACAACAGCTGTATAATGATGATATACATTAGTCCGTAATTGTTGTAGGTTCTCTCTCTCCCTTCCTCTTCACTCGTGTAGCACATATTGGACTGTGTGGGTTGATAAGTCTATGCATTATAACATCTCTCTCCATCATCCCCCCTCTATCTGTTCCCTCTCTCTCCATCTCCCCCCTCTATCTGTCTGTCTCCCCCCCCCCCCTCCCCCCCAGACCATGCTAATCTCTCCTCTAGCAGACAGGAACCAGAAGGAGTTGTGTTCAGTGTTGAGTGATGTGTTGGAGGAGCAGTCTCACAGGGAACTGTTTGCCTTAGAGCTTGGCTCTGGCACCGGACAGCATGTGGTCAACTTCGCCATGGCCATGCCCTTCATCACCTGGCAACCGTCAGACATCAAAGAGGAGTCCCGTGACAGGTGGGGCCTGCTAGGACCAAATATAGTATATATACAGTGGGGGAAAAAAGTATTTAGTCAGCCACCAATTGTGCAAGTTCTCCCACTTAAAAAGATGAGAGAGGCCTGTAATTTTCATCATAGGTACACGTAAACTATGACAGACAAATTGAGAAAATCACATTGTAGGATTTTTAATGAATTTATTTGCAAATTATGGTGGAAAATAAGTATTTGGTCACCTACAAACAAGCAAGATTTCTGGCTCTCACAGACCTGTAACTTCTTCTTTAAGAGGCTCCTCTGTCCTCCACTCGTTACCTGTATTAATGGCACCTGTTTGAACTTGTTATCAGTATAAAAGACACCTGTCCACAACCTCAAACAGTCACACTCCAAACTCCACTATGGCCAAGACCAAAGAGCTGTCAAAGGACACCAGAAACAAAATTGTAGACCTGCACCAGGCTGGGAAGACTGAATCTGCAATAGATAAGCAGCTTGGTTTGAAGAAATCAACTGTGGGAGCAATTATTAGGAAATGGAAAACATACAAGACCACTGATAATCTCCCTCGATCTGGGGCTCCACGCAAGATCTCACCCCGTGGGGTCAAAATGATCACAAGAACGGTGAGCAAAAATCCCAGAACCACACGGGGGGACCTAGTGAATGACCGGCAGAGAGCTGGGACCAAAGTAACAAAGCCTACCATCAGTAACACACTACGCCGCCAGGGACTCAAATCCTGCAGTGCCAGACGTGTCCACCTGCTTAAGCCAGTACATGTTCAGGCCCGTCTGAAGTTTGCTAGAGTGCATTTGGATGATCCAGAAGAGGATTGGGAGAATGTCATATGGTCAGATGAAACCAAAATAGAACTTTTTGGTAAAAACTCAACTCGTCGTGTTTGGAGGACAAAGAATGCTGAGTTGCATCCAAAGAACACCATACCTACTGTGAAGCATGGGGGTGGAAACATCATGCTTTGGGGCTGTTTTTCTGCAAAGGGACCAGGACGACTGATCCGTGTAAAGGAAAGAATGAATGGGGCCATGTATCGTGAGATTTTGAGTGAAAACCTCCTTCCATCAGCAAGGGCATTGAAGATGAAACGTGGCTGGGTCTTTCAGCATGACAATGATCCCAAACACACCGCCCGGGCAACGAAGGAGTGGCTTCGTAAGAAGCATTTCAAGGTCCTGGAGTGGCCTAGCCAGTCTCCAGATCTCAACCCCATAGAAAATCTTTGGAGGGAGTTGAAAGTCCGTGTTGCCCAGTGACAGCCCCAAAACATCACTGCTCTAGAGGAGATCTGCATGGAGGAATGGGCCAAAATACCAGCAACAGTGTGTGAAAACCTTGTGAAGACTTACAGAAAACGTTTGACCTGTGTCATTGCCAACAAAGTGTATATAACAAGGTATTGAGAAACTTTTGTTATTGACCAAATACTTATTTTCCACCATAATTTGCAAATCAATTCATAAAAAATCCTACAATGTGATTTTCTGGATTTTTTTCCTCATTTTGTTTGTCATAGTTGACGTGTACCTATGATGGAAATTACAGGCCTCTCTCATCTTTTTAAGTGGGAGAACTTGTACAATTGGCGGCTGACTAAATACTTTTTTCCCCCACTGTATATACACTGCTCAAAAAAATAAAGGGAACACTAAAATAACACATCCTAGATCTGAATGAATGAAATAATCTTATTAAATACTTTTTTCTTTACATAGTTGAATGTGCTGACAACAAAATCACACAACAATTATCAATGGAAATCAAATTTATCAACCCATGGAGGTCTGGATTTGGAGTCACCCTCAAAATTAAAGTGGAAAACCACACTACAGGCTGATCCAACTTTGATGTAATGTCCTTAAACAAGTCAAAATGAGGCTCAGTAGTGTGTGTGGCCTCCACGTGCCTGTATGACCTCCCTACAACGCCTGGGCATGCTCCTGATGAGGTGGCGGATGGTCTCCTGAGGGATCTCCTCCCAGACCTGGACTAAAGCATTCGCCAACTCCTGGACAGTCTGTGGTGCAACGTGGCGTTGGTGGATGGAGCGAGACATGATGTTCCAGATGTGCTCAATTGGATTCAGGTCTGGGGAACGGGCGGGCCAGTCCATAGCATCAATGCCTTCCTCTTGCAGGAACTGCTGACACACTCCAGCCACATGAGGTCTAGCATTGTCTTGCATTAGGAGGAACCCAGGGTCAACCGCACCAGCATATGGTCTCACAAGGGGTCTGAGGATCTCATCTCGGTACCTAATGGCAGTCAGGCTACCTCTGGCGAGCACATGGAGGGCTGTGCGGCCCCCCAAAGAAATGCCACCCCACACCATGACTGACCCACCGCCAAACCGGTCATGCTGGAGGATGTTGCAGGCGGCAGAACGTTCTCCACGGCGTCTCCAGACTCTGTCACGTCTGTCACATGTGCTCAGTGTGAACCTGCTTTCATCTGTGAAGAGCACAGGGCGCCAGTGGCGAATTTGCCAATCTTGGTGTTCTCTGGCAAATGCCAAACGTCCTGCACGGTGTTGGGCTGTAAGCACAACCCCCACCTGTGGACGTCGGGCCCTCATACCACCCTCATGGAGTCTGTTTCTGACCGTTTGAGCAGACACATGCACATTTGTGGCCTGCTGGAGGTCATTTTGCAGGGCTCTGGCAGTGCTCCTCCTGCTCCTCCTTGCACAAAGGCGGAGGTAGCGGTCCTGCTGCTGGGTTGTTGCCCTCCTACGGCCTCCTCCACGTCTCCTGATGTACTGGCCTGTCTCCTGGTAGCGCCTCCATGCTCTGGACACTACGCTGACAGACACAGCAAACCTTCTTGCCACAGCTCGCATTGATGTGCCATCCTGGATGAGCTGCACTACCTGAGCCACTTGTGTGGGTTGTAGACTCCGTCTCATGCTACCACTAGAGTGAAAGCACCGCCAGCATTCAAAAGTGACCAAAACATCAGCCAGGAAGCATAGGAACTGAGAAGTGGTCTGTGGTCACCACCTGCAAAACCAGTCCTTTATTGGGGGTGTCTTGCTAATTGCCTATAATTTCCACCTGTTGTCTATTCCATTTGCACAACGGCATGTGAAATTTATTGTCAATCAGTGTTGCTTCCTAAGTGGACAGTTTGATTTCACAGAAGTGTGATTGACTTGGAGTTACATTGTGTTGTTTATGAAGGTAGATACTAGAACTATACATTACTCTGGTTATCTCTGATTCTATATAAAAGTTGGTTGTTGCCACATGCTTTCTTATAAGCATTTCTCATATCCATATTATATCCCAACGCACTAAATAGGCTCACATTGTAATTACATTTTCTATAAGGTAATTACAATGTAATAATAATGCTATTTTCTGACCGTGAGCGTTTATTATTATCAAGACATATGATGTCATATTTTGCATAGCTGCACTTGTTCATACATTTCATACTATCTATGGAAAATATGGAGTTAAGGCTCAAGTGGGTGTGATGTTATTTTGCAGTATCAGATCCTACATAGTGGCAACCAAAGTGAAGTCTGTGCTGCAGCCTGTGCACCTGGACGTCAGCGAACCCTGGGAGAAGTGGGCGGGCCTTCCACACAGCGCCTGTGATGTCATCGTGGCCATCAACCTGCTTCAGTACAGCTCCTTCAAAACTGTAGAGGTAGGCCTTTACATGTCATGTTTACGTATTATATTTGGCTGTGAAGTTTTATGAATGCATGAGTGAAGATGCGTCATAGTAACTTATAGCCTGTGTGAAATGTCAGTATAGTAACTTATAGTCTGTGTGAAGTGTTAATATAGTAACTTATAGTCTGCGTGAAGTGTTAATATAGTAACTTATAGTCTGTGTGAAGTGTTAATATAGTAACTTATAGTCTGTGTGAAGTGTTAATATAGTAACTTATAGTCTGTGTGAAGTGTTAATATAGTAACTTATAGTCTGTATGAAGTGTTAATATAGTAACTTATAGTCTGTGTGAAGTGTTAATATAGTAACTTATAGTCTGTGTGAAGTGTTAATATAGTAACTTATAGTCTGTGTGAAGTGTCAGTATAGTAACTTTTAGCCTGTGTGAAGTGTCAGTATAGTAACGTATAGTCTGTGTGAAGTGTTAGTATAGTAACTTATAGCCTGTGTGAAGTGTCAGTATAGTAACTTATAGCCTGTGTGAAGTGTCAATATAGTAACTCATAGCCTGTGTGAAGAGTCAGTATAGTAACTTATAGTCTGTGTGAAGTGTTAATATAGTAACTTATAGTCTGTGTGAAGTGTTAATATAGTAACTTATAGTCTGTGTGAAGTGTTAATATAGTAACTTATAGTCTGTGTGAAGTGTTAATATAGTAACTTATAGTCTGTGTGAAGTGTTAATATAGTAACTTATAGTCTGTGTGAAGTGTTAATATAGTAACTTATAGTCTGTGTGAAGTGTTAATATAGTAACTTATAGTCTGTGTGAAGTGTTAATATAGTAACTTATAGTCTGTGTGAAGTGTTAATATAGTAACTTATAGTCTGTGTGAAGTGTTAATATAGTAACTTATAGTCTGTGTGAAGTGTTAATATAGTAACTTATAGTCTGTGTGAAGTGTTAATATAGTAACTTATAGTCTGTGTGAAGTGTTAATATAGTAACTTATAGTCTGTGTGAAGTGTTAATATAGTAACTTATAGTCTGTGTGAAGTGTCAGTATAGTAACTTTTAGCCTGTGTGAAGTGTCAGTATAGTAACGTATAGTCTGTGTGAAGTGTTAGTATAGTAACTTATAGCCTGTGTGAAGTGTCAGTATAGTAACTTATAGCCTGTGTGAAGTGTCAATATAGTAACTCATAGCCTGTGTGAAGAGTCAGTATAGTAACTTATAGTCTGTGTGAAGTGTTAATATAGTAACTTATAGTCTGTGTGAAGTGTTAATATAATAAATTAGTCTGTGTGAAGTGTTAATATAGTAACTTATAGTCTGTATGAAGTGTTATTATAGTCTGTGTGAAGTGTTAATATAGTAACTTATAGTCTGTGTGAAGTGTTAGTATAGTAACTTATAGACTGTGTGAAGTGTCAGTATAGTAACTTATAGTCTGTGTGAAGTGTCAGTATAGTAACTTATAGCCTGTGTGAAGTGTCAGTATAGTAACTCATAGCCTGTGTGAAGTGTCAGTATAGTAACTTATAGCCTGTGTGAAGATGTGTCAAGATAGTAACTTATAGCCTGTGTGAAGTGTTAATATAGTAACTTATAGCCTTTGTGAAGTGTCAGTATAGTAACGTATAGCCTCTGTGAAGTGTCAGTATAGTAACTTATAGCCTGTGTGAAGTGTCAGTATAGTAACTTATAGCCTGTGTGAAGTGTCAGTATAGTAACTCATAGCCTGTGTGAAGTGTCAATATAGTAACTTATAGCCTGTGTGAAGTGTTAGTATAGTAACTTATAGCCTGTGTGAAGTGTCAGTATAGTAACTTATAGCCTGTGTGAAGTGTCAGTATAGTAACTCATAGCCTGTGTGAAGTGTCAATATAGTAACTTATAGCCTGTGTGAAGTGTCAGTATAGTAACTCATAGTCTGTGTGAAGTGTTAATATAGTACCTTATAGTCTGTGTGAAGTGTCAATATAGTAACGTATAGCCTGTGTGAAGTGTTAGTATAGTAACTTGTAGTCTGTGTGAAGTGTTAGTATAGTAACTTATAGTATATGTGAAGTGTCAGTATAGTAACTCATAGTCTGTGTGAAGTGTTAATATACAGTGGGGAAAAAAAGTATTTAGTCAGCCACCAATTGTGCAAGTTCTCCCACTTAAAAAGATGAGAGAGGCCTGTAATTTTCATCATAGGTACACGTCAACTATGACAAACAAATTGAGAAAAAAAATTCCAGAAAATCACATTGTAGGATTTTTTATGAATTTATTTGCAAATTATGGTGGAAAATAAGTATTTGGTCACCTACAAACAAGCAAGATTTCTGGCTCTCACTGACCTGTAACTTCTTCTTTAAGAGGCTCCTCTGTCCTCCACTCCTTACCTGTATTAATGGCACCTGTTTGAACTTGTTATCAGTATAAAAGACACCTGTCCACAACCTCAAACAGTCACACTCCAAACTCCACTATGGCCAAGACCAAAGAGCTGTCAAAGGACACCAGAAACAAAATTGTAGACCTGCACCAGGCTGGGAAGAATTCATCTGCAATAGGTAAGCAGCTTGGTTTGAAGAAATCAACTGTGGGAGCAATTATTAGGAAATGGAAGACATACAAGACCACTGATAATCTCCCTCGATCTGGGACTCCACGCAAGATCTCACCCCGTGGGGTCAAAATGATCACAAGAACGGTGAGCAAAAATCCCAGAACCACACGGGGGGACCTAGTGAATGACCTGCAGAGAGCTGGGACCAAAGTAACAAAGCCTACCATCAGTAACACACTACGCCGCCAGGGACTCAAATCCTGCAGTGCGAGACGTGTCCCCCTGCTTAAGCCAGTACATGTCCAGGCCCATCTGAAGTTTGCTAGAGTGCATTTGAATGATCCAGAAGAGGATTGGGAGAATGTCATATGGTCAGATGAAACCAAAATATAACTTTTTGGTAAAAACTCAACTCGTCGTGTTTGGAGGACAAAGAATGCTGAGTTGCATCCAAAGAACACCATACCTACTGTGAAGCATGGGGGTGGAAACATCATGCTTTGGGGCTGTTTTTCTGCAAAGGGACCAGGACGACTGATCCGTGTAAAGGAAAGATGAATGGGGCCATGTATCGTGAGATTTTGAGTGAAAACCTCCTTCCATCAGCAAGGGCATTGAAGATGAAACGTGGCTGGGTCTTTCAGCATGACAATGATCCCAAACACACCGCCCGGGCAACGAAGGAGTGGCTTCGTAAGAAGCATTTCAAGGTCCTGGACTGGCCTAGCCAGTCTCCAGATCTCAACCTTATAGAAAATCTTTGAAGGGAGTTGAAAGTCCGTGTTGCCCAGCGACAGCCCCAAAACATCACTGCTCTAGAGGAGATCTGCATGGAGGAATGGGCCAAAATACCAGCAACAGTGTGTGAAAACCTTGTGAAGACTTACAGAAAACGTTTGACCTGTGTCATTGCCAACAAAGGGTATATAACAAAGTATTGAGAAACTTTTGTTATTGACCAAATACTTATTTTCCACCATAATTTGCAAATAAATTCATTAAAAATCCTACAATGTGATTTTCTGGATTTTTTTTTCTCATTTTGTCTGTCATAGTTGACGTGTACCTATGATGAAAATTACAGGCCTCTCTCATCTTTTTAAGTGGGAGAACTTGCACAATTGGTGGCTGACTAAATACTTTTTTTCCCCACTGTAGTAACTTATAGTCTGTGTGAAGTGTTAATATAGTAACTTATAGCCTTTGTGAAGTGTCAGTATAGTAACGTATAGCCTCTGTGAAGTGTCAGTATAGTAACTTATAGCCTGTGTGAAGTGTCAGTATAGTAACTTATTGTCTGTGTGAAGTGTCTATATAGTAACTTATAGTCTGTGTGAAGTGTTAATATAGTAACTCATAGCCTGTGTGAAGTGTTAGTATAGTAACTTATAGTCTGTGTGAAGTGTCAGTATAGTAACTCATAGTCTGTGTGAAGTGTTAATATAGTACCTTATAGTCTGTGTGAAGTGTCAATATAGTAACTCATAGCCTGTTTGAAGTGTTAGTATAGTAACTTATAGTATGTGTGAAGTGTCAATATAGTAACTCATAGCCTGTGTGAAGTGTTAGTATAGTAACTTATAGTCTGTGTGAAGTGTTAGTATAGTAACTTATAGCCTGTGTGAAGTGTCAATATAGTAACTTATAGTCTTAGTGAAGTGTCAGTATAGTAACTTATAACCTGTGTGAAGTGTTAGTATAGTAACTTATAGTCTGTGTGAAGTGTTAGTATAGTAACTTAGTCTGTGTGAAGTGTCAGTATAGTAACTCAGTCTGTGTGAAGTGTTAATATAGTACCTTATAGTCTGTGTGAAGTGTCAATATAGTAACTTATAGCCTGTGTGAAGTGTTAGTATAGTAACTTATAGTCTGTGTGAAGTGTCAATATAGTAATTTATAGCCTGTGTGAAGTGTTAGTATAGTAACTTATGTTATGTGTGAAGTGTTAGTATAGTAACGTATATCCTGTGTGAAGTGTCAGTATAGTAACTTATAGTCTGTGTGAAGTGTCAGTATAGTAACACAAAGTCTGTGTGAAGTGTCAATATAGTAACTTATAGCCTGTGTGAAGTGTCAGTATAGTAACTTATAGCCTGTGTGAAGTGTCAATATAGTAACTCATAGTCTGTGTTAAGTGTTAATATAGTACCTTATAGTCTGTGTGAAGTGTCAATATAGTAACTTATAGCCTGTGTGAAATGTTAGTATAGTAACTTATAGCCTGTGTGAAGTGTCGGTATAGTAACTTATAGTCTGTGTTAAGTGTTAATATAGTAACTTATAGCCTGTGTGAAGTGTCAGTATAGTAACACAAAGTCTGTGTGAAGTGTCAATATAGTAACTCATAGTCTGTGTGAAGTGTTAATATAGTAACTCATAGCCTGTGTGAAGTGTTAGTATAGTAACTTATAGTCTGTGTGAAGTGTTACTATAGTAACTTATAGTCTGTGTGAAGTGTTAATATAGTAACTCATAGCCTGTGTGAAGTGTTACTATAGTAACTTATAGTCTGTGTGAAGTGTTACTATAGTAACTTATAGTCTGTGTGAAGTGTTAATATAGTAACTCATAGCCTGTGTGAAGTGTTACTATAGTAACTTATAGTCTGTGTGAAGTGTTAATATAGTAACTTAGTCTGTGTGAAGTGTCAGTATAGTAACTCAGTCTGTGTGAAGTGTTAATATAGTACCTTATAGTCTGTGTGAAGTGTCAATATAGTAACTTATAGCCTGTGTGAAGTGTTAGTATAGTAACTTATAGTCTGTGTGAAGTGTCAATATAGTAATTTATAGCCTGTGTGAAGTGTTAGTATAGTAACTTATGTTATGTGTGAAGTGTTAGTATAGTAACGTATATCCTGTGTGAAGTGTCAGTATAGTAACTTATAGCCTGTGTGAAGTGTCAGTATAGTAACTTATAGTCTGTGTGAAGTGTCAGTATAGTAACTCAGCCTGTGTGAAGTGTCAATATAGTAATTTATAGCCTGTGTGAAGTGTTAGTATAGTAACTTATAGCCTGTGCGAAGTGTCAATATAGTAACTTATAGCCTGTGTGAAGTGTCAGTATAGTAACTTATAGTCTGTGTGAAGTGTTAATATAGTAACTTATAGTATGTGTGAAGTGTCAATATAGTAACTTATAGTCTGTGTGAAGTGTTAGTATAATAATTTATAGCCTGTGTGAAGTGTCAGTATAGTAACTTATAGCCTGTGTGAAGTGTCAGTATAGTAACTTAGTCTGTGTGAAGTGTTAGTATAGTAACTTATAGTCTGTGTGAAGTGTCAATATAGTAACACATAGTCTGTGTGAAGTGTCAATATAGTAACTCATAGTCTGTGTGAAGTGTTAGTATAGTAACTTATATTCTGTGTGAAATGTTAGTATAGTAACGTATAGTCTTTGTGAAGTGTCAATATAGTAACTTATAGTCTGTGTGAAGTGTTACTATAATAACACTTCACACAGGCTTTAAGTTACTATAATAACACTTCACACAGGCTATAAGTTACTATATTAACTTATAGCCTGTGTGAAGTGTCAGTATAGTAACTCATAGCCTGTGTGAAGTGTCAGTATAGTAACTTACAGTCTGTGTGAAGTGTCAGTATTGTAACTTATAGTCTGTGTGAAGTGTCAGTATAGTAACTCATAGCCTGTGTGATGTGTCAATATAGTAACTTATAGCCTGTGTGATGTGTCGGTATAGTAACTTAGTCAGTGTGAAGTGTTAGTATAGTAACTTATAGTCTGTGTGAAGTGTCAGTATAGTAACTTATAGCCTGTGTGATGTGTCAATATAGTAACTTATAGCCTGTGTGAAGTGTCAGTATAGTAACTTATAGTCTGTGTGAAGTGTTAGTATAGTAACTTATAGTCTGTGTGAAGTGTCATATAGTAAACACATAGTCTGTGTGAAGTGTCAAATAGTAATCATAGTCTGTGTGAAGTGTTAGTATAGTAAACTTATATTCTGTGTGAAATGTTGTATAGTAACGTATAGTCTTGTGTGAAGTGTCAATATAGTAACTATAGTCTGTGTGAAGTGTTACTATAATAACACTTCACCAGGCTTTAAGTTACTATAAGTAACACTTCACACAGGTATAAGTTACTATATTAACTTATAGCCTGTGTGAAGTGTCAGTATAGTAACTTATAGCCTGTGTGAAGTGTTAGTATAGTAACTTACAGTCTGTGTGAAGTGTTAGTATAGTAACTCATAGCCTGTGTGGAGTGTCAATATAGTAACTCATAGCCTGTGTGAAGTGTCAATATAGTAACTCATAGCCTGTGTGAAGTGTCAGTATAGTAACTTATAGTCTGTGTGAAGTGTTAGTATAGTAACTTATAGTCTGTGTGAAGTGTCAGTATAGTAACTCATAGCCTGTGTGAAGGGACAGTATAGTAACTTATAGCCTGTGTGAAGTGACAGTCTGTGTTCTGTTTTGATTCCCAGGGCCTAGTCAAAGGATCAGGACAGATCCTCAGACAAAATGGTCTCTTGATCACACATGGGGTAGGTATCATGGATGGGGAGAGAAGGGGGGAGGGGTGGGGGGGGCGAGAAAGAGAGAGAGGGGAGAGAAAGAGAAAGAGAGAGAGGAAAGAGAGAGAGGGGAGAGAGAGAGTGGGAGAGAAAGAGAGAGAGAGGGAGAAAGAGAGGAGAGAAAGAGGGAACAGAGAAAGAGAGAGAGAGGGAAGAGAAAGAGAGGGAAGAGAGAGAGGGGAGAGAAAGAGAGAGGGAAGAGAGAGAGAGAGAGAAATAAAGAGGACATTGATACATTTGTTTTAAAAGTGTTTTTTAACATCAGACACCTCTCTCTCTCTCCCCAGCCCTATGCCATCAATGGCACAATCACCCCCAGCTGTATGCAGGACTTGGACCAGGAACTACGAGAGATGTGAGTTATTACATCATAGAGAGACCGCTTACCAATGTGGCGCTTTTACTCATGTTACTGATACCCATTAGTTCACTCGAGTGTTATATCCTTCAATCCAAACGGGTACACTGTTTTACCATTTTAAGTTCTGTGCCGTTCCCCTACAGGAACCCAGAGTGGGGTCTACCGGACATTGACGTTCTGAGACAGCTGGCATTTGGGAACGGGATGCGTATGGAGGATGGTGAGCCTCTTTACCAGTCTGCTTGTGTCTATATATAAACTAATGGATCTTTAAGGGTGGACTATACTGGAGACAGAATATGTAACATGGAAGGTATGTCTGCTGCTAGCTCAGTCCTTCTAAAAGGATGTTTAGGATCAAGTCTTCATTTGTTTTCCAGATAGAGATGGAGCAGTACAATAAATGTCTGGTCTTCAGGAAACTTTGACATGGAAGCAGGGCTTCTTCTGCATCTGAACAAACATCCCAATGACCCATATTTGAATATCTATTTCTGTAAATAAAGTATGTTATACATTTTATTTTGCACGTGCCCTTTCATTTTCAGCTCGACAATGGCAACTAACCTGGTCCCAGATCTGTTTCTGCTGTATAGCCAACTCCATGACATGGCAACTAACCTGGTCCCAGATCTGTTTCTGCTGTATAGCCAACTCCATGACATGGCAACTAACCTGGTCCCAGATCTGTTTGTGCACTTGCCAACTCCATGACATAACAATGAGTGACAAGGAGTTGGCATGACAACACCAACAGACTGGAACTCCACCTACTTCATGCTCAGATTCCAAATGATAATATGAAAGAAACACACAAAGCAGATGGACAATAGAAGAACAAGATATTTATTAAATATAATCTTAGAATTACTTTAAAGAAGTCAAACAGAAGATCATTAATGATGAAGTGAAGAAGTTCAAAGATGGCATGGAAGGGGTTACAGAAGCCACTGATTGGGTGTATGTTACATACATGCACGACACATGTTCATCAGATGTCCATATCCTGAAGCACTGACTACCACCACCTCTCCTCTCCCAACCCACAGGATTCTGAAAGAGACTCCGAAAAGGGTGGACCTCAAAAGTATTTTCCTGATTCCCTCCCTACGTCCTCTCTCCTCAAAACATCAGAAGGTAGCGGGGAAATAATTGGGAGAATAACCAAGGAAAGGAATCGAGGAAATAGGATACAAGGAATCGAGGAAATACTTTTGTGATTCAACCCAACACACCAGAAACAAAATGACCCCCCCCCCCCCCCCCCCCTTTTGCCACTAATTGTTCAAAAGATCAGAATGGGTCTGCCTGTGTAAACACAGCCATATAAACCTGACTGCAACCCTCTGGATAACTGCTAGTTAATATTTGGCAATGGAACTACATTTGTAATCAATGTAATCGAAGTTCTATTCACACTAGTTCCTCCTGGAGCGTGACGCAAGGCATTGTGGTTAATGGAGTTGTTGTGAGTGACTCATTATGTCAACAGTTGTGACACAGGACACCTTGAGAGAGTGACGGTGGTAATATATCTGTCTCTGGAGCTGTAGATTGTGGGAATTGTAGTTCCACACTGGATGTAAGTGTTCTATTGTAGTCCCATACTGCTTCCCCCTCAGCCAGTCTGATTCGTGCTAAGATAACTATCAGAAGTGTAAAACCTAATAAAAAGCTATTCTTTCTCCCTTGTTCTCCATTATCAACTCAAAAAGCTATCGTGAGAAACACTTCAAACTCAATGCAGTCAGTGCACTACCAAGCCTTGCTAACATAAGACGGCCCATCTATACTTTAAAATGAGTTCTGTGTCAGCGGATGTGTGTGTGTGGGGGGGGTAAAATGGGAAAATGACACTGGAATGTAAACTCATGAGGTGAGGAGAGGTGGGTTAGTGCATCCATCCATCCCTCCCTTCTCTGGTGATATAACCCTGGAGCCTGTTTGAGTGTGCTTTCTGTCCTCCCTCCTTCAGCTCTTTATTCCTTCACTCATCCTCCGCATCTCCAATCACTCCCACAGCTTCTCTCAACCAAGCAGGCAGTATGAAAATATGTTCAATCACCACAGTATGACTTCAGATTAGCTACTGCTGTAACACACGTCTCCCATTTCCAGGAAAATAAGGATTCCAACATGCAAACTAGCTTTTAGAAATATGAGATAAAGGATGGTTATGGTCTGGTCTTAGATTCAATTGATTCCTGTCATATTTGATGTGTTACTCTATTACACCACTGACTAGATGAGCTTCAGATATTAGTTTCAGAAGAGAAAGACTCCATACATTATCAGAGAGACAGAGAGAGAGAGAGAGAGAGAGAGAGAGAGAGAGACAGACAGACAGAGAGCATACAGACAGAGAGACAGACAGAGAGAGAGCGAGACAGACAGACAGAGAGAGACAGACAGACAGAGAGAGAGACAGACAGAGAGAGACAGAGACAGACAGACAGAGAACACCGTAGCAAAACGCATTAAAACTGAAAGTGTTTCTTATAAGTTCAGGTAGTCCTTCCCCGTCTAGGTGGGTTTGGTTCCATTTGTTTCCTAGTGAATACAACCCTGGGGTATGCATGGTGCATAGTAGCCCTACCTAACCCCCTCCTCACTCCCATCCTCCATGTCAGGTGGGGGAGAAGGCGAGAGAGGATGCTAAGAGGGGCGGGGTCGGTTGGGGGAACATGTCCGTAACATCATCACAATAATATTTCACAACATTGCCATAACATCACAGAAACATTGTAAGAGTCATATGTGTTTGTTGGGGAATCCAGGCCACGAGCGAGCGAGAGAGAGAGCAGGGGAGGAGAAGATGAAAGGAGAGAGGTGAGGACAGGAGAGAGAGAGGAGAAAACAGAAGAGGAGAGAGGGTGTAGTGTGTTGAACCCTGCCAGCAGCAGGTTGGTAACGTTAAGCTGAGCTAGCCAGGTGAATGGATCAGTCGAAAGAGATGAGCTGTGCCTCGCTGCCTGGATGGACCTGCGGAGGCTGCTGCTGCTGAACCTGCTGCTGGGGGACAACAGGGGAAGCCTCTCACGAAGAGGGACGAGAATAGCTAGTGTGCAGAGAGAAGTTACACAACCCTCATGCAGTCCACAACATATAGAGACAAAACATGTGCTTGACATAGGACTGTCCTCTTATGCAGACAGAGGCAGGCAAAGTTCAACCTGGAGTAGACACTATAGACGGAGAACAATGAGGAAAGGAGGGAGAGAAACAGAGGAGGGAGAGAGAAGGAGAGGAGAGAGAGAGAGAGGAGGAGGAGGGAGGAGAGAGAGAGAGGAGAGAGAGGAGAGAGGGGGAAGAGGGAGGGGGGGACGGGAGAGAGGGAGGGGAGGGGGGAGGGAGAGAGGAGGGGAAGGGAGCGACAGAGAGGGGGAGATGGAGGGGAGGGAGAGAGAGGAAGGAGCGACAGAGAGGGGGGAGAGAGAAACCAAGGGCTCCTACCTGTTGGTACATGGGCTGTTGTCCTGGGCCCTGCATGTAGGGTTGTTGTGGGGGCATGTTAGGGTCCTGCCCAGGTAGGGCTGCCATCATATTCTGCATGGCATAGGGTGGAGGGTAGGCCACGTAGGACATGGCGTTAGTGGGGGGAGGCTGGGACATGGGGGGCAGAGACTGGGCCTGGGAAACCACGTTCTGCTGAGACCGATGACACAAGGAATATTAACATTACAGACACCAGTAACACATTATTTAAAGGCTACATGTAGAATGTATTATGATGTGGTTATAATCTATTATAACACTTGTAATGAGCATGTTTGACTCCTTTATAAAGTCTTATAAACATCTCATAATGATCCTACTTCTAAATAACAGTCAAATGGCTTTTTGCAGAGGAGCCACGTTGAGCTTTAGAAAGTAAGTGAAGACCGGGAAACAAAATGAAAGAGAACCTGAACTACATTTTAAATGTTGACACTAGTATAGGACTGCATCTGACGGTGTATTACTGAGCCTCTCACTGGGACTTGGCATCAGACATTACATCATGTATTTCACATTAAGGGGGGAAAACCTAGCTACCTAGCTGACAGGCATGACAATCCCCCCCTCTGTTCTCACCTGGTATCCCTGTGTGGGTGTGGGCTGGTAGTTAGAGTAGGCGGGGCTAGTGGTGGGCGGGGCCTGGCCAGGGGGTGCAGGCTGCCCATTGGTTCCTGCTGGCTGGTACATGTACATGTTTGGGTCTGGAGAACGGAGGCACACACAGGAGCGTCACGTTACAGAATATACACACACATCTTCTACCACTCTACTGGGTTCACTCCTGATTGCCTTTTTCACTGGGATGATTCTGAGACACTCAAGCACTTAGCCTGGTCCCAGATCTGTTTGTGACATCTTGCCCCTCTTTGTAATGCATTGCCACGTCAAACAATCAAGAGAGCTGAAACACGCTGGCCCCCAGGCTAACTACCATGCTATTCAACTAGACACTATTTTACTCATTGGAGTAAAAAAAACTCAGTGGTGTGAAAAGATCTCTACTGACCTGGTGGCATGGCCTGGTACCGTCCTGGTCCAGACTGGTCCATGTAGACGGTGTGCATGGGCGACCCCTCCACTGACCCTGAGGGGCTAAAGGTGCCTGGGTAATTGGGGGGTCCCCCCGGCTGCCCGTACACCACCCCTCCTGCCACGTTGGGGGGCAAGGACTGCATCTAGTGTGAAAGGAGAGGAATTGACACACATCCAACTTCAAACAAGAGCTGGACAGAAAGAACAGCCACTACAGAGGAAAAGGAAGGCTGATGTCCAAACCTGTCCTCCATGGATCATTACCTCTCACCACGCCAGCTAAAACAGCTCAGAAATAACATTAATAAGATATAACTACATACTGACATGCAGTGAAACTGCAGAAAACACCTGTAGCTACCATTAACACAGAGCCTCTATAGAATAACAGTGTGTGGTACCACCCCTGCTACAAGGCTGTTTGAAGACTACCACCCCTGTGTATAGGACAGAGAGAAGGCCTCCCCTGCTGTAAGCTTGTGTATGGTGTGGTATGGTATAGTATAGTGTCTACCTGTGGGTAGGCCATGGTATAGTATAGTGTCTACCTGTGGGTAGGACATGGTATAGTATAGTGTCTACCTGTGGGTAGGGAATGGTATAGTATAGTATAGTGTCTACCTGTGGGTAGGACATGGTATAGTATAGTGTCTACCTGTGGGTAGGGATTTGGTATAGTATAGTGTCTACCTGTGGGTAGGGAATGGTATGGTATAGTATAGTGTCTACCTGTGGGTATGCCATGGTATAGTATAGTGTCTACCTGTGGGTATGGTATAGTATAGTGTCTACCTGTGGGTATGGTATGTATAGTGTAGTGTCTACCTGTGGGTAGGACATGGTATAGTATAGTGTCTACCTGTGGGTATGGTATAGTATAGTGTCTACCTGTGGGTATGGTATAGTATAGTGTAGTGTCTACCTGTGGGTATGCCATGGTATAGTATAGTGTCTACCTGTGGGTATGGTATAGTATAGTGTCTACCTGTGGGTATGGTATAGTATAGTGTAGTGTCTACCTGTGGGTAGGACATGGTATAGTATAGTGTCTACCTGTGGGTAGGAATTTGGTATAGTATAGTGTCTACCTGTGGGTAGGGAATGGTATAGTATAGTGTCTACCTGTGGGTAGGGAATGGTATAGTATAGTATAGTGTCTACCTGTGGGTAGGACATGGTATAGTATAGTGTCTACCTGTGGGTAGGACATGGTATAGTATAGTGTCTACCTGTGGGTAGGCCATGGTATAGTATAGTGTAGTGTCTACCTGTGGGTAGGACATGGGGAAAGCAGGCATCTGGGCTCTCATCTGGATGGTGTGTTTCTGTTGCTCCAGCCTCATCTGTCTCTCCTTCTCCTGCTCCTGGAGACGCTGGATGGCCAGCTGACGCTGCATCTCTAGGTACTCCTGAAACACAGAGCCACCACATCAGACAACTACCAGATACCACCTAACAGGCTGACGCTCAATCTCTAGGTAGTCCTGAAACACAGAGCCTATCAGTTAGACCAAGAACACTTGTAACATAAAGTAAAGAAACTCCATAACAGTCAGAAGCAACCTGTACCTCATCACGTGACTAACCCCCTACTGCATAACAACCTGTACCTCATCACGTGACTAACCCCCTACTGCATAACAACCTATACCTCATCACGTGACTAACCCCCTACTGCATAACAACCTATACCTCATCACGTGACTAACCCCTACTGCATAACAACCTATACCTCATCACGTGACTAAACCCCTACTGCATAACAACCTGTACCTCATCACGTGACTAACCCCCTACTGCATAACAACCTGTACCTCATCACGTGACTAACCCCCTACTGCATAACAACCTATACCTCATCACGTGACTAACCCCCTACTGCATAACAACCTATACCTCATCACGTGACTAACCCCCTACTGCATAACAACCTATACCTCATCACGTGACTAAACCCCTACTGCATAACAACCTGTACCTCATCACGTGACTAACCCCCTACTGCATAACAACCTGTACCTCATCACGTGACTAACCCCCTACTGCATAACAACCTATACCTCATCACGTGACTAAACCCCTACTGCATAACAACCTGTACCTCATCACATGACTAACCCCCTACTGCATAACAACCTATACCTCATCACGTGACTAACCCCCTACTGCATAACAACCTATACCTCATCACGTGACTAACCCCCTACTGCATAACAACCTGTACCTCATCACGTGACTAACCCCCTACTGCATAACAACCTATACCTCATCACGTGACTAACCCCCTACTGCATAACAACCTATACCTCATCACGTGACTAACCCCCTACTGCAGAACAACCTATACCTCATCACGTGACTAACCCCCTACTGCATAACAACCTATACCTCATCACGTGACTAACCCCCTACTGCATAACAACCTATACCTCATCAGGTGACTAACCCCCTACTGCATAATAACCTATATCTCATCACGTGACTAATTCCCTACTGCAGAACAACCTATACCTCATCACGTGACTAACCCCCTACTGCATAACAACCTGTACCTCATCACATGACTAACCCCCTACTGCATAACAACCTATACCTCATCACGTGACTAACCCCCTACTGCAGAACAACCTATACCTCATCACGTGACTAACCCCCTACTGCATAACAACCTGTACCTCATCACGTGACTAACCCCCTACTGCAGAACAACCTGTACCTATTCTCCTGTGGTCATGGAAACAAATCATCATTCACATCGATCGAAACCAAGGCTGTTGTCCGTCATCACTCCTGTGGTCATGGCAACAAATCATGAGAAACAAATCATGAGAAACATCAATAGAAACCAAGGCTGTTGTCCCCCAGTCTGTCACCTGTTTCTTCTGTCTCATGATGTCTAGTTTCTGGGCCAGCTGGATCTGTCTCTGTCTCTCTGCCTCCTCTGCAGCACGACGCAGCTTCTCTCTGTGCTCGTCTCGTAGGGCGTTCAGGGCCGCTCTCGCATCACGCACCTGGGCCAGCTTGTCCTGTAGACCCTCGTAGTACACTGCCAACAGACAGACATAGAGGTGTTTAGTTAGACAGTGGTTAAACGGTACAGGACCAAGACAACTAACATGGTAAACCAACAGACAGACATGGAGGTGTTTAGTTAGTGGTTAAATGGTACAGGACCAAGACAACTAACATGGTAAACCAACAGACAGACATGCTCACGGTTTCAGCAAGACTTAGGCCGGGATTCAATCCAATCGCAGATTTGGACAATGCGCCATTTATAGGTAATTTCTGATTGAGACAACATATTCATTGTTTACAGTGAATGTGGTCTCCACGAACATGGGAACATAGTTTTTAAAACATGCATTGCAGACAAAGCGCGATCAGATTGAATCCCGGCTTCAGAGAATCTCTCTTACGAAAACAAACACTGAAACAAAGTCACAGTGACCGAAATCCCCCCCCCCCCCCTCCCCACACACACCCCTAACTCACATCTCTTCTCGTCCAGCTGATTGAGGATCTCCAGTAGCTGTGGGTGCATGGTGTTGATGGATTGGAAGAGAGAGAGCACGGCGCTGTCGTTGGTGATGCTGCGACCACGCATGTGGTTACTCTTCATACGGTTCAGGAAGGTGGTGACCGAGTTCTGCAGAGCCTTCAGGAACGCCTCGTGGTTCTCCTCCGACTCACCGTTCTGATACTGCTGCTGGGGAGGGGAGAAGAGAGGAGAGGAGGATGGGAGGGGGAGTAGAGGAGGATGGGAGAAAGAGGAGAGTCATTCGGGATGAACAAACAGTTAATGAAAAGAGCATGTAGTCATTTCTAATCTAAATCTACTTCAATCTCTGCTACTATGCATGATGGGTGTTAATGGAACTGTTGGTTTCGTCTGCTGCCTTCTTGGGACAGCTCTCCCTCACAACAGATGTTTTTTGATCAATGGAATTTCACCTGAATAATTCAAGAATAAATAAGAAAATCCATTTGTCTTCCATCTCTCATAACACAGCAGTGTACAACTAACCTCCACTATGTTGACTGGAGGCGGGGCCATGACGACTTGGGCTGGGAGTGGGGCGAGAGTTTCCACTGGCTGGGGCTGGCTGATTGGCAGGGGCTCCGCAGCCAATGGCACGGGGGCAGGGGCAGAGGGGGTGGGACTCTTGCGTGCCTCTTCCTGTTTCTTCTCCCAGTATGTTCTGTTCAGGTAGCGAGCCAGCTGGAGAGAAGGTCATTATAGTGTGGAATGTCCTCTCAACCAATACATGACTAGACATACTGACCTGGGGCGAGTTTCCCAAAAACATAAAGATCCTCTTTAGCACTAAGATCATAAGTCCATAGGTGGGCAATGGACAACCAATGATCTAGTAAGCACCTTTCTGTTTTTGGGAAACTCACCCCAGTATAGTTTCTAGATGCTTTATTTCTACTACAGTGCAGTCTGAGGTGTAAATGTAACTGCATCAAATGCCGAGCAGGTTTAATTCTAGAGTTAACGTGTCCTACCTCAGGGTCAACATCTTCAGCTGAGGGAGCAGAGGAGTTCTGGGGAGAACACACACATTATACATTACAACAACAGACCCTGTACACGGTTAGGTCCCAATAACGACAGACCCTATACACGGTTAAGTCCCTGAATGGGAATTACAGGCATATAGACTACCCAAATGGGAATTACAGGCATATAGACTACCCGAATGGGAATTACAGGCATATAGACTACCCAAATGGGAATTACAGGCATATAGACTACCCGAATGGGAATTACAGGCGTATAGACTACCCGAATGGGAATTACAGGCGTATAGACTTCCTGAATGGGAATTACAGCCGTATAGACTTCCTGAATGGGAATTACAGGCGTATAGACTTCCTGAATGGGAATTACAGCCGTATAGACTTCCTGAATGGGAATTACAGGCATATAGACTACCCAAATGGGAATTACAGGCATATAGACTACCCGAATGGGAATTACAGCCGTATAGACTTCCTGAATGGGAATTACAGGCGTATAGACTTCCTGAATGGGAATTACAGCCGTATAGACTTCCTGAATGGGAATTACAGGCATATAGACTACCCAAATGGGAATTACAGGCGTATAGACTACCCAAATGGGAATTACAGGCGTATAGACTTCCTGAATGGGAATTACAGCCGTATAGACTTCCTGAATGGGAATTACAGCCGTATAGACTACCCAAATGGGAATTACAGGCATATAGACTACCCGAATGGGAATTACAGCCGTATAGACTACCCAAATGGGAATTACAGCCGTATAGACTTCCTGAATGGGAATTACAGGTGTATAGACTTCCTGAATGGGAATTACAGCCGTATAGACTTCCTGAATGGGAATTACAGCCGTATAGACTTCCTGAATGGGAATTACAGGTGTATAGACTTCCTGAATAGTAATTACAGGTGTATAGTGGTACTTGAATATACAAGTTAACATACATAACAACACATAAACAGAGTACATGTCTCCATTTTCCCCTCAATTATTCACCTCATGACCAACTAGGTGGTTATTGTAAAAGATGACTTATGGGGCTAAATAAATATTTAAATAAGAAAGATGTGCAGCAGTTCAGTATAATATGGAGTTATCATAATATACCAATTACTAAGTACTGCTTCACAAGTGACTTAGTAGAGTTACACGACTTAGTAGAGTCACACGACTTAGTAGAGTCACACGACTTAGTAGAGTCACATCTACACAGGAGAGAGAGAATGGTGTGAAAACAGAGTACATCTATAGAGGAGAGAGAGGGGATGGAGGTAACACAGAGTACATCTATAGAGGAGAGAGAGGGGATGGAGGTAACACAGAGTACATCTATAGAGGAGAGAGAGGGGATGGAGGTAACACAGAGTACATCTATAGAGGAGAGAGAGGGGATGGAGGTAACACAGAGTACATCTATAGAGGAGAGAGAGGGGATGGAGGTAACACAGAGTACATCTATAGAGGAGAGAGGATGGAGGGAGTGGATGGAGAGAGTAAGTCTTACCACAGGAGAGGAGTAGAGAGAGGTGACGGGCGGGGCTGAGGAGGTGACTGGGGCGGGGTCAGCTTTGGGGTAGACCCCGTAGGAGTTCTTCTGTCTCTGTAGACACACATGACATGTTTCAGTGTCTTTCCATACACACTGTAGAGGTACAATCACTTGAATTATTTACAGCACAACCCACCATCCTCTCCTTCTCCTCAGCCTCGCTCTGTGATAGGGCGATGGCCAGCTGAAGCTCCTCCTCCTCCTGCAGGGCCGCCTCGTCCCGTTTGGGGGGCACCTGGTGAGACAGGGTAGAGAGATGAAACCCCCAGGGGAGGGCAGGGGAGGGAGGCCCCGAGGGGAGAGGGCCAGGGAGGGGAGGGAGGCACCCAGGGGAGAGGGCCAGGGAGGGGAGGGAGGCACCCAGGGGAGAGGACCAGGGAGGGGAGGGAGGCACCCAGGGGAGAGGACCAGGGAGTGGAGGGAGGCCCCGAGGGGAGAGGGCCAGGGAGGGGAGGGAGGCCCCGAGGGGAGAGGGCCAGGGAGGGGAGGGAGGCACCCAGGGGAGAGGACCAGGGAGGGGAGGGAGGCACCCAGGGGAGAGGACCAGGGAGGGGAGGGAGGCACCCAGGGGAGAGGACCAGGGAGGGGAGGGAGGCACCCAGGGGAGAGGACCAGGGAGGGGAGGGAGGCACCCAGGGGAGAGGGCCAGGGAGGGGAGGGAGGCACCCAGGGGAGAGGGCCAGGGAGTGGAGGGAGGCACCCAGGGGAGAGGACCAGGGAGTGGAGGGAGGCCCCGAGGGGAGAGGGCCAGGGAGGGGAGTGTTGGAGGAGAAGCCCCAGGGAAGGTAAAGCAGCAGTGGGCATTGGGCAATAAAACAAGCCAACGGCTGCGTTCCAGGTGGTCTTCATTGCAGTTGCGCTTCCCTTCTAAGAATATTGCTTTATCATTTTATTGCAGCTCCAGGATTGATGGTTCACTTTAAAACACTCCTACAGGCGATGTGAGATCTGATCATCTGAGCCTCCTGACCTCCTGCAGAGGGAAGGGAACACTGCTGCTACCTCGCTCCCCAACCAAGGGGCATGAATTGAGGAGCAGCCTCACTGCAAACACAGACAACCTGGAATCCCACCGCGGTCAAGGAGGGAGGGGAAGTTAGGGGGAGGACAAAGGGACATAGCAGGTGGGCCTTAGAATAATCTAATAACAAAGAGGGAGGAGGGATGATTGGTGATGATCTCATTTCTGTCTGGGAATCATTTTAACACGTCGAACTACAACCCCCCCTACAAAGCTCATCAAACTACAAGTCCCACGTTGTAGTTTATGGCATGTTAAAATTATCCCCTATGTCATCTCTATTAGGGACAGTGAGACTTTCTGGGTCAGCACCTGAAATGGAACCCTATTTCCTACATAGTGCACTAGTATCGAGCCCAAAGCAGCCCATGATCTAGGGAACAGGGTGCTATTTGGGACGCAGCCACCCTGACCCTGTCTATCACCACCGGGGGGGGCGGGGGGGGGGGGGGGGGGGGGGTCGTCTCTAGGCCATACATTCACTTACTGTTTCCTGGACCACTACCTGAGACTGCTGGGACAGGGGGCTGGTCAGGTACTCTGGGGGCAGCTCTGCCGGGCCTGGGGCCACGGAGGTGGATGTCCCGACGGGTTTACCCCCCTCAGCTTTCCTAGGTGGGGGAGAGAGGGAAGGGTGGCTGGTGAGGAGAGGGGTCAGAAGGGAGGTCAGGGGTCAGACAACCTGGTGAGTCAGAGGTCGTTGGACATGGACAATAAACTGGAAGGACGGATGGAAACCGATGGGTACTGAGCAGCAGAATGGCATTTACAGTAGAAGAGCAAAAAGTATCCATACAGATCATTCATTAACTGTACCTACCTATCACATGAAATTATACCACTTGAACAACAACTTCTAAAGGCTTTAGAAGTGGTCTATGAACGCTAAAAGTAGGACATTTTAAATATACAGGCTGATGAAACGGAATTGAGGGTGGTTTTGGCTGAGCCACTCCCTAGCCTGGTCACTCACTTGTTGAGCAGCTCGAAGCAGGGCTCACACACACGCACTTCCTTCTCAATGCCGAACTTGGGGATGGTGGAGTACTTGGAGGAACACTTCCCACAGAAGATCTGACCACAGGCTCTGCAGTGGTGCTGGAACAGGAAGAAGAGGAGGTCAATAGAGAGACGGTCAGACAGAATAATCCAAACAGATAGAAAGTCATATCATTCTCTCCCTTTCAACAACACAATGCTAACAATCACCAACCAAAGCAGTGTTACTGAAGGAGGAAGGAAATAACACATTTCAACACAAACCACTGCTGCTGCTGCTAGTCTGCCGTTCTGCTAGTCTGCCGTTCTGCTAGTCTGCCGTTCTGCTAGTCTGCCGTTCTGCTAGTCTGCCGTGCTGCTAGTCTGCCGTTCTGCTAGTCTGCCGTTCTGCTAGTCTGCCGTTCTGCTAGTCTGCCGTTCTGCTAGTCTGCCGTTCTGCTAGTCTGCCGTTCTGCTAGTCTGCCGTTCTGCTAGTAGTCTGCCGTTCTGCTAGTCTGCCATTCTGCTAGTCTGCCATTCTGCTAGTCTGTTGTGTTGCCTTACCTTTCTAGTCATCACTCCAAACTGAACCCTGCAGCGATGACACTCCTCCGCATCCACCCAATCTGGAGCCTGGACACACGCACGGACACACAGATGGAGAGATCGAGAGAGAGAGATCGAGAGAGACATTAAAGATCCTCCTCACAGGCTGAGAGCATTCAGTAGTAAGGATCTATCAAACCAGATCAACATCAGTGAGAGGAAGTCTCTTACTCTCTCTGCTGCAAACATGGCATCACTCTCCTTGAACTCTGGAAACACGTGACCTGGAAGAACAGGAGATATAGTATGTCAATACAGGATAAATTAACACAAGTTTTAATATTTACTGTGAAACTGCTCATTTCTGTTTTGCTATGTGTTAGTGACTGTATGCCTGAATCCCAAATCTTAGCCAACCTCCACACCATATGGAAAACCTGACGACATCTGAGAGGATGGGATTTAGCAATATGCCAAAGAGCTGCCACTATATTTCTTCCACCTATCCAATATTTTTTTTACATTTACATTTTAGTCATTTTAGCAGACGCTCTTATCCAGAGCGACTTACAGTTAGTGAATACATTTTTTTTTATACTGGCCCCCCGTGGGAATTGAACCCACAACCCTGGCGTTGCAAACGCCATGCTCTATCAACTGAGCTACATCCCTGCCGGCCATTCCCTCCCCTACCCTGGACGACGCTGGGCCAATTGTGCGCCGCCCATGAGTCTCCCGGTCGCGGCCGGCTGCGACAGAGCCTGGATTCAAACCAAGATCTCTAGTGGCACAGTTAGCACTGCGATGCAGTGCCTTAGACCACTGCGCTTCTCAGCTCTTCAGGAGTGCCTAGGGGGCTAGGGGTTCATCTGAGGTGTGGTGTGGGGGGGAGACTTACCCTCCACCTTCATGATCTGGTACGTGTCCTGAACCACCTTGTATTTGGGCTCGTTGCGGAAGGCGTGGGCCCATGCCTGGATCAGGTATAGGATCTTATTCCTCACGTTGGGCTCAGTCTGTTTATAAGAGCAACACATCACCACTCACTGAGTTAGTGTCAGACAGATACACTGTAACACATCACCACTCACTGAGTTAGTGTCAGACAGATACACTGTAACACATCACCACTCACTGAGTTAGTGTCAGACAGATACACTGTAACACATCACCACTCACTGAGTTAGTGTCACACAGATACACTGTAACACATCACCACTCACTGAGTTAGTGTCAGACAGATACACTGTAACACATCACCACTCACTGAGTTAGTGTCAGACAGATACACTGTAACACATCACCACTCACTGAGTTACAGTGTCAGACAGATACACTGCAACACATCACCACTCACTGAGTTACAGTGTCACACAGATACACTGCAACACATCACCACTCACTGAGTTACAGTGTCACACAGATACACTGCAACACATCACCACTCACTGAGTACAACTTCACAAGTACACCTTTTATAGACAGATAAATTGCATTTAAAAACGCTACTCTATATTAAGTCAAAAAATAAAATAATACGGGGCACCCCAGTCCCCTTACAAACATAAACACAACACTTCCTTCTTCCAAAATATAAGACATTAATAATCTATACAATAATAATATGAATACACCTAGACTGAATCAAAGTTCTAACCTTGTTTTAGCAGACCAAAGTCCTATACAACAAGTCTCTAGAGAAATACTTTAAACTAAAACGTTTCCTTTAGTCCTTTTTCCCCAAAAATAATCCCATTCCAGACGTTACTTCAGAGGCTAAACATTTACGTCATTTAGTAGACGCTCTTATCCAGAGCCAAACCTGTGTTCTCTCACAGAGAGGAGAGACTTGTGGTGGGAAGTCCCTCAGTCTGTCTGACCTGAATCAGCGTGTGACCAAGGTCACCTGACTGGGGTGGGGAGCCAATCAAAGGTCATGCTGTATAGAGTATCCTGTAAATGAACTGGGGCCTGTTCAAGAGGGTGCACCCGTTACATACCATTCACAATCAGATAGATATGTGTTCTGTAGAACATATACGACTGTCAGGTAGAATAGAGACTCATCATTTCAGTTTTATTCAGAACATTTCTATCTTTATTCTGAACATTCAGAACATTGCAGATAGAAATGCATTGTGTAGAGAACATACAATTGACAGTCATGTTGAATAAGGAATCGTGTCAACTCTACTCATTAGGCTACATTTCTATTAGGAACACTGAATGAACTCTTGGCAGCTCCCAGGCTGTCAGACTAAAGCAGACCTGGGTTCAAATACTATTTGAAAATCATTTCAAATACTTTAAAATCGGGATATAGCTCACCTGGAGCAACGGAGCCAATAGAATAGTCTGAAAAGCCTGCAGATTCTGGCACTACAAATATTTGAAAGACTTCCAACCTTATTTGTACCCAGGTTTGCAGTTCACTACTGCACCAGCGGGTAATTATCAGGCTAAGACACAGGGTGACAAGGTCATAAGGATTGGAGCCAGCAGCACAAGGCTCAGACATATCACCCAGATAGATCACACTGCGTATGTACAACTAGTACAAACTGTAGCTGACCACAAAGCTGATTTCAGTATAAAAGGGACCATAAATACATCTACTATCTAGACATGGTGGAGAAAGCAGAGGGAGAGGTGTCTGCTGTGTTATTACAGCTGTGAGCACCATGGTTACGTCCCAAATGGCACCCTATTCCCTACATGGTGCACTACTTTAGACCAGAGTCCTATGGGCCCAGAGTTCCAGAGCCAGGGAGGGCATTCCTTCCACAAGGAGCACTCCGGGGGGAAGTTTCCTCTAGGTTCAGATCTAGGGTCAGCTTCCTCTCCCCAACTCCTAACCTTCACCATTAGTGGAGGGGAAATGCAAAACTGACCCAAGATCAGTGTCTAGGGGGAACTTCACCCTAGTCCACAAGAAACCCTCACATGATAGGCTGCAGCACTGAAGTACTTATCCAAACAATCCCAGTTTCAACACTGAGATCAGAATAACTTGTAATTTGTCAAACTGAAAGCCTACATACAACAACCAAGGCACTCCTTTTCTGATCTAAAGCTGAGCTGGCTAGTCCGCTCTAGAGGAACACTGCTATGGAACAAGGAGGTGGAGGTAACGGTAGGGACATGACATCGTCAGGCCTGACTCCACCCCTTGTTTTAATGACTGGAATGACCCATCAGAATGGGGTCATCCAGGTCTCAATGGAGCTTCCCTGGAGTGGAACTGAGCAAGTGGAGAGTGGGAGGGTGAGAGAGAGAGAGAGAAACATCTGGGTAACCTGCTTAACATAATTTAGGTTCAGTTGGATTCAAATTGAAACTTTTGGTTTAAGAGGCCCTTGATGTTGACCTGAGGGCCTTTGTGCCTCACCTGGAAAATAATTGAAGGGAAAGACTGCTATGACGCTGACAAGCTAAGAAAGATGGGACATGGCAGGGGTGAATGGGCCAGGGAGAGGGGTAGAGGGGGTGAATCAAGACAGGGTCACCTTCAGTAGATCCTTCAGCTCCTCCATGGTGGTTTTACAGGCCACCTCATCATGGACTGTCTGACCACAGTTCTTCACCACTGACTCCAACACCTGACAGGTGGAAGAAACACTCATTATCACACTTCACAACACAGGGGCCTATTGTCAGATGTTTTACTATGGAACTAGCCTATCGCCTTGATCACAGCCACAGCGTCATCGCGCAAAATGGTACGCAGCATCATCAGGATATGTGTGTGTGTGCAACAAAAGTTCACCATTTCTGTCAAGCCGTCTACGCATACAGTTTGATGCATACGTTCCGATAAATCCAATGTATGCACCACACAGAACTCACTGCAACTGCCTCTGCAACGCAATGCTGCGAGACAAACACAGCGTTCCATTGGAAATGAATGTACTTCTGGTGTACCAAAACACAATGACGCAGTCGGTGTGATCGAAGGCGTATAAATCAGTGGATATTATTTCCTTAATGCATTTATTATTCAAAACATCTCAATATGGCACAAATTGAATATTGTCTCTACCTACATGTACATATTACCTCAATTACCTCGACTAACCTGTGCCCCTGCACATTGACTCTGCACCGGTACCCCCTGTATATAGCCACGCTACTGTTATTTTATTGTTACTCTTTAATTATTTTTTACTTCAGTTTATTTTAGTAAATACTTTCTTAACACTTATTTTTCTTAAAACTGCATTGTTGGTTAAGAGCTTGTAAGCAAGCAATTTACTGTAAGGTCTACACCTGTTGTATTCAGTGCATGTGACAAATACAATTTTATTTTATTTGATTTGTGTGATCGAGGCGTATAAATCAATGGATATTATTTCCTTAATGCATTTATTATTCAAAACATCTCAATATGGCACAATTTGAGTAATTTATCAAGCCATCCCATGAGCAGCACTAGAAGGTTATTATTATGTCAGTACAAGAGGGGAGTGGTTCAGCGTAGTAACCCACCTCAAGAAGCCATCCTTTGAGCAGCACTAGAAGGTTATTATTATTATGTCAGTACAAGAGGGGAGTGGTTCAGCGTAGTTACCCACCTCAAGACCATAGAGGGCCACATGCGGGTTCTTATCCATCAGCTTCTTCTTAATGGCACCGATGGCATACTTCGCCCTGCACGGAAGAGAAAGGCATTGATCAGACCAGACAGGCTTCTATTGTGTGGAGAAATATGGGACTAGTTTCAATTATTTTTAAATGGTTCCTTCCTTCCTTCCTTCCTTCCTTGAAATAGGCCTAGTCATGGAAACACTTAAGACCTATCTACTGCACTTACCCAATCAGAGAGATTAGGCTAGTGATTACCAGAAGGAAGGAAGGAAGGAAGGAAGGAAGGAAGGAAGGAAGGAAGGAAGGAAGGAAGGAAGGAAGGAATTTGATCAGGGCCGGGGTGTACTAGGTACTCTACTACTCACTGTGTGTCTCCTTGACGAATGAGATCACAGATCTGCAGGATGGACTCCCAGTCTGTCTCCAACAGCAGCTGGCTGGTCGCTTTATCTGCAGACAGAGGAGAGGGTTCAGTGTCTCACATGCGTTTCATTCAATTTCATCATAAACATTTACATTTTAGTCATTTAGCAGACGCCGTTATCCAGAGGGACTCACAGTTAGTGCATTCATCTTAAGATAGCTGGGTGCGACAACCACATATCACAGTCATAGCAAGTACAAATCAAATCAAATGTTTTTTTGTCACATGCACCGAATACAACAGGTGTAGACCTTACAGTGAAATGCTTACATTTTCCCTCAATAAAGTCATTATCAGCAAAGTCAGTGCTAGTAGAAAAAGACTAGTGTAAGTGTTAGGTCTTTTAACCAGGGTGGATAAGACAACACCTTACACCTGAAAGCATAGGCTATTTCTCTAAACAGTAGAGTAGTGTGTTTGTTTGTGAGCAGGTGATATTGATTAATGTGACTTGGGCCTATTCAAATCAGTAATGACTGAGAACACAGCCTTTTTTCCCTCACATAAGAACGCAGAGTTTAGACTACAATATGAACAAGTCCAGGCATGGAGTGTGGGCCTATACAAATGTAACTAATCATATTATGCGATCACCTGTAGGTGTGAAACTGAGAAGATGTCTCCATTTAGTAAAATATGGTGGTGGGGTAGGCCTAGTTAATGATTAATAGTGAGTGGGTCAAGGTTTGTTGTTATGGAATGCACTTCTACACAGTAACTAACTAGCCTGTGGTTGTTGCAAAACCAAGAGGATACGCCGGTGACCTGGATGTTATTATGATTGACACATAAACCTTCGGCACCCTCAATAACGTCAGAGCACTTGACGCAATCTACTCGTGATTACAGTTGTCAGCGAGTTGTCTAAACTGTTTTGGGGTTTTTTGTGAGTCTATGATGAGACTGATAGGAAAAGATGTCTGGTGACGTTGCTTGCCGCAGTGGGGGGGTGAGCTGGATAGCTAACTAGGCTCCTAGCAAACGACCTAATATATCTAGCACAACTAGCTAGCAAATAAGGAAAGTTATGCAAATTATAAAAACAATAGATTATTTGTCTGACGATCAGGGATATCCAACAAAACAAAGATGTTTTGATTTTGATATCGGGAAAATCGCCAGCACATCATCCTCCGATTGAGTAGCTAGCCAAGCTAACCTAGACACTTTCCGGGTACAGGGCAAATACGTGGCGTTTGAGCATAGTTTTGGTAGATTAAATGACATGTTGTTAATAAGCAGTTAAACTGCAATGCTCGATAGAAAATACAATTATCGATTACAGGCCTCGACCTATCGTCGAACTGAACACAGACAATGGCAATTTTAGCTAGGTAGCTAGCTAATGTTAGCAGGGCTGTGCCACAGCCCCAAACAAACGACTGCCAAAACAATACGCAAAAACAATCACCGGTGTAAAATGTTTAGATACTCATATCTTACCAAGAAGCCTCTCAAATGTACCACCACCTTTTCCCATGGCTGATCCAATGATTCAGACTAGCTGACGAGACGTTATTTTTTGTCAACCAAAGACGATTTTACAGATCCACTTTAAAGATAGCTAGCCAGCTCCAAAGTTGTTACTACTTCCTACTTCCCGTGTCGTGTTTAGAAACTCTGTGGTTCGGTGATGATTTCCGTCTATTCCCAAAAGTATTGCGACGTTGCCACCTAGAGTCTGAAGAAGTGAGTGTACAGTTTATTCAAGGAGTCATTGGTTCCAAAACATTACTTTTGACAGAGGTCAATTTATGAGGGTGCGACAAGCTAGGCTTACTCAATCAATTCCAAACTATGGTGGTTTTCTGATCAGTTGGTGGGCCTAAATTATAGTCAGTTTGATAAAGTGAAATATTGGGAGACATTTAAATTAGAGAACAAATCTGAGGCCCATCACGGTCTACCTGTGTGAGCCAATTTAATTAACATGAATTTGTTCAAGAGAAGAGAGGGAACATTAAGTGTTGGTGGGTGGTGGAGCTGCAACTTTCTATGTGTCTAGGCCACAGGACATGTACCATGTTGTGTTGCTACCATGCTGTGTTGTCATGTGTTGCTACCATGCTGTGTTGTCATGTGTTGCTGCCATGCTATGTTGTTGTCATAGGTCTCTCTTTATGTAGTGTTGTGGTGTCTCTCTTTATGTAGTGTTGTGGTGTCTCTCTTGTCGTGATGTGTGTTTTGCCTATATATATATATATATATATATATTTATCCCAGCCCCCGTCCCCGCAGGAGGACTTTTGCCTTTTGGTAGGCCGTCATTGTAAAGAAGACTTTGTTCTCAACTGACTTGCCTAGTTAAATAAAGGTTATATTTAATCAAATGTTTTTTTTAAAAATAGGAGGTTGGTGGCACCTTAATTGGGGAGGATGGGCTCATGGTAATGGCTGGAGCGGAATTAGTGGAATGGTAGCAAATACATAGAACACATGTTGTTGACGCCATTCCATTAGCTCCGTTCCGGCCATTATTATGAGCCGTCCTCCCCTCAGCAGCTTCCTGTGGTTCAAGCCTACATCATCAAGCGTGATCAGACCCTATCCATCTATCCATTCCATCACTTTGTTATGAGGAATAATAGGGACTGCCTCGCTATATTTCATCACACTCTCCTCCTCCCTACACTGGTATACACAGGCCTACATAGGTCACATATGAGTACATGGAAACAGAATGCATAGAACGGGCCGCTCCATTCAAGTCAATGACGGCATCATGGGTGGACTGGCAGCCATTGCGAGTGTACCCATGAGTTCACCAGTCATATTGCCAGGGTTAGAGGTACCAAGCCCTTTCTGTGGATTATATTTCTACGTATGAGTCACTACCTGGAGGCCAGTGTTGTGGATGTGCTGCTGATGCTTCATACAGTGGCATTTTGTCTCTGTCTCTACTAGTCTCTACTGTTAGCTGGTAGGGCTGGACACAGAGAGAGGAAGGTTGTCTACTAGTCTCTACTGTTAGCTGGTAGGGCTGGACACAGAGAGAGGAAGGTTGTCTACTAGTCTCTACTGTTAGCTGGTAGGGCTGGACACAGAGAGAGGAAGGTTGTCTACTAGTCTCTACTGTTAGCTGGTAGGGCTGGACACAGAGAGAGGAAGGTTGTCTACTAGTATCTACTGTTAGCTGGTAGGGCTGGACACAGAGAGAGGAAGGTTGTCTACTAGTATCTACTGTTAGCTGGTAGGGCTGGACACAGAGAGAGGAAGGTTGTCTACTAGTCTCTACTGTTAGCTGGTAGGGCTGGACACAGAGAGAGGAAGGTTGTCTACTAGTCTCTACTGTTAGCTGGTAGGGCTGGACACAGAGAGAGGAAGGTTGTCTACTAGTATCTACTGTTAGCTGGTAGGGCTGGACACAGAGAGAGGAAGGTTGTCTACTAGTATCTACTGTTAGCTGGTAGGGCTGGACACAGAGAGAGGAAGGTTGTCTACTAGTATCTACTGTTAGCTGGTAGGGCTGGACACAGAGAGAGGAAGGTTGTCTACTAGTATCTACTGTTAGCTGGTAGGGCTGGACACAGAGAGAGGAAGGTTGTCTACTAGTATCTACTGTTAGCTGGTAGGGCTGGACACAGAGAGAGGAAGTCTGTCTCCATCCACCCACCAGTCAAAGAAACAAGACAATGTATAAACAACTGCTTATGGCAGATTACAAGATGTGTTATATTGAATGAGATGGATACCAATTTGTTTGCAGAAATTCTACTTTAATTGAAAGTAGAATTTGTGTGTTTAAAATATGATATTACTTGATTTATTTATCTGCATACACTTAAGAGGCTACATGCAATGCACTCTGGTATGTATCTGCTGCTCTACAGTTAATGGAATCTGCATTTATATATTATACATTGATAATCATTATTCATGCCGGTGATGTGGGTTGTCATATTTGTAAGATGGATAGATCTTATCAAATGGAGTATAAAATTGAAGTAGCTATAACAGCGATGCACTGTAGAATCTGAAGGATGTCAACTATGTCTCATGAATAAAATATTTATTACTGGGGCTCAACACATCCCACATGAGATGCTTCAACAAAACACACACACACACTCACTTACCGTTTGAATGGAGAGTAGAGAGTAGAGTAGAGTAGAGTAGAGTACAGTACAGTAGAATAGAGTAGAGTAGAGTAGAGTAGAGTAGAGTATAATAGAATAGAGTAGAGTAGTGTAGAGTATAGTACAGTACAGTAGAGTAGAGTAGAGTAGAGTAGAGTAGAGTAGAATAGAATAGAATAGAGTAGAATAGAGTAGAATAGAGTACAGTAAAATATAATAGAGTAGAGTATTCCTTTATTAATCCCAACTTGGGAAATTGTTTTATCAAAAAAGGAATACAAACATATATTTTTAAACACATTAAGGGGGGCCAGTATGAAAAATGTATGCAGTCACTAACGGTAAGTGGCTCTGGATAAGAGCGTCTGCTAAATGACTAAAATGTCAAATGTAAATGTAAGACGAAGACACATGCACCAACCATAGTATCCCTAAAAGAATAGTCTGATTCATGTGCTGCAACAACATTTTCCAATAGAAAGACCTCATAAAACAGTTATTCAATTACACTCATTAAAAAGCCTCATGGCTGTGGGTGAAAATGAAACTCTAAACCTCTCTCTGTGGAACATCTGGGCAGGATGAACCTGCTACTGAAGCTGTTCCTGTGTGTCATTAGAGTGAAAAGGGATTAAAAACATACAGTGGGGAGAACAAGTATTTGATACACTGCCGATTTTGCAGGTTTTCCTACTTACAAAGCATGTAGAGGTCTGCAAAAATCCAGAAAATCACATTGTATGATTTTTAAGTACTTCATTTTATTGCATGACATAAGTATTTGATCATCTACCAACCAGTAAGAATTCCGGCTCTCACAGACCTGTTAGTTTTTCTTTAAGAAGCCCTCCTGTTCTCCACTCATTACCTGTATTAACTGCACCTGTTTGAACTTGTTACCTGTATAAAAGACACCTGTCCACACACTCAATCAAACAGACTCCAACCTCTCCACAATGGCCAAGACCAGAGAGCTGTGTAAGGACATCAGGGATAAAATTGTAGACCTGCACAAGGCTGGGATGGGCTACAGGACAATAGGCAAGCAGCTTGGTGAGAAGGCAACAACTGTTGGCGCAATTATTAGAAAATGGAAGAAGTTCAAGATGACGGTCAATCACCCTCGGTCTGGGGCTCCATGCAAGATCTCACCTCGTGGGGCATCAATGATCATGAGGAAGGTGAGGGATCAGCCCAGATCTACACGGCAGGACCTGGTCAATGACCTGAAGAGAGCTGGGACCACAGTCTCAAAGAAAACCATTAGTAACACACTACGCCGTCATGGATTAAAATCCTGCAGCGCACGCAAGGTCCCCCTGCTCAAACCAGCGCATGTCCAGGCCCGTCTGAAGTTTGCCAATGACCATCTGGATGATCCAGAGGAGGAATGGGAGAAGGTCATGTGGTCTGATGAGACAAAAATAGAGCTTTTTGGTCTAAACTCCACTCGCCGTGTTTGGAGGAAGAAGAAGGATGAGTACAACCCCAAGAACACCATCCCAACTGTGAAGCATGGAGGTGGAAACATAATTCTTTGGGGATGCTTTTCTGCAAAGAGGACAGGACAACTGCACCGTATTGAGGGGAGGATGGATGAGGCCATGTATCGCGAGATCTTGGCCAACAACCTCCTTCCCTCAGTAAGTGCATTGAAGATGGGTCGTGGCTGGGTCTTCCAGCATTACAACGACCCAAAACACATAGCCAGGGCAACTAAGGAGTGGCTCCGTAAGAAGCATCTCAAGGTCCTGGAGTGGCCTAGCCAGTCTCCAGACCTGAACCCAATAGAAAATCTTTGGAGGGAGCTGAAAGTCCGTATTGCCCAGCGACAGCCCCGAAACCTGAAGGATCTGGAGAAGATCTGTATGGAGGAGTGGGCCAAAATCCCTGCTGCAGTGTGTGCAAACCTGGTCAAGACCTACAGGAAACGTATGATCTCTGTAATTGCAAACAAAGGTTTCTGTACCAAATATTAAGTTCTGCTTTTCTGATGTATCAAATACTTATGTCATGCAATAAAATGCAAATTAATTACTTAAAAATCATACAATGTGATTTTCTGGATTTTTGTTTTAGATTCCGTCTCTCACAGTTGAAGTGTACCTATGATAAAAATGACAGACCTCTACATGCTTTGTAAGTCGGAAAACCTGCAAAATCGGCAGTGTATCAAATACTTGTTCTCCCCACTGTATTTATATTTCCTAAAATCTACCTTCTAGCTTCTTGGTCTTCAGTACATTCAGGTCCAGGTAGTTGGCCTCACACCATTTCACAAAGGACTCTATTCTATCCCTGTGATGAGCATCGTCTCCTCTCATGACACAGCTGACTATAGCATAATCTTCTCTGATGACACAGCTTACTATAGCAGAGTCATCAGAGAATTTCTGTAAGTGTCTCAGTTCATTGTTGTGTGTGAAGTCATGTGTGTAAAGGGTAAACAGAAAAGGTGACAGGACTGTCCCCTGCGGTGCCCCCGTGTTTGTACATATCCGATCTGATACTGCCTGGTTCAGTCTTACGAACTGTGTTCTATTGGTCAGGTAGTTCACAATCCATTTGATTGTGTGTGGGTTCACGTGAATGTCCTTTAGCTTTTGGGCCAGCAGGTGGGGTTGTACGGTATTGAAAGCACTGGAGAAGTCAAAGAACATTGTTCTCCAGGTGCTCATATACTCTGTGGAGGAGATAGAGCAGAGCATTTTCAACACCAGTTTTTGGGCGGTAGGCAAATTGCAAAGGATCCAGATAGGCTGCCACCTCGACTCTTAATACGGGTATTAAAACCCGCTCAAAGGTTTTCATGACTTGTGACGTCAACGCCACTGGTCTAAATTCTTTCAGCGCAGTCCCTCCTGCTTTACCGAGACCTAAAATAATAAACAATTATTATGATTAAAAAATCTCGGACCCGAGATGCAAAAAGTCCCAAATGCAATGTCCCAAGAAGGAATTTACCCCACCTAAATAATGCAAAAGTTTAATTTCATCCATGAGGAGAGAGAATGCAGGACACAGTCAACTGATAAAGCAGGCAGCCGGACCATTTGGTGGTGCTGAAACGTTACGCCGCAACCGCAGCAGAACCAAGGTAGGCTATGTGGCTTAACAGCATCTTTCACAAGTAAAATATATGTGGCCTAATAAAAGTGGGATGTTTTTATCAGGCCTACTTACAATTGCAACTGGCCAAACATTTTTGCATCCTACATAAGACAATAATTTAACGAAAAAAAGGCGATGTCTGTACAGTAAACGTCTGTGTCTGAATGTCTGTATCGGGAGTCTCGGGATTGGCTGCTCCTGTAATGACAGAACAAACAGAAAATACCTAAATAGCCCTGGATAAGCACAATAATGTTAGTATTTACTAAATACAGTCATATCGGCTACTAAGTTACTTACTTAATGGTTAAAGTTGCATTTATCCCCTCGGACACGATCTTGTGGATTTCGGGTGAGATGGATGTGATTTTGATGCGCAGGCAGTCCTCGATTGACTTGTGTGAAAGCCGGTTCCTGTCGTGAGTCTATATATTGCGTTCATATAGGAAAAGGAGGACTCGCAGGTGTAAGTCGATCCAAACATTGTTAACACATAAAATGCATATTTCTTTATTGTGCTGTATTCCTCTGAGCATGCCACCCAAAACGCACTCAGGGACTCGGCACTCCTGAGCACCTCGCTGATTTGTCTCGATGTCTGGAATTCAATCAGCTCAGTTTGAATTGCGGCCTCACCCAGCGAGGGTATCGTTTTCTAAGCAAAGGAGGATAATTCTCCACCTGGGCGGACTGTGAGAATCACGTACAAACGCAACGATACCCTTCATTTGGCATTCTGTAGTCTTCATATCTGGTGGAAAAGTTGTCCCTCAGCTGCTTGATGAAATCTTCTATCACCTCTGTGACAATGCTGCGGCCTTGTCCCTCTGCCTGTGCAGATGACAAGTCCAGATCAACAACTCAAACTTCCTAGTAAAGGCCTCACGTTTTTCCACCATGTCCACGTCTGTTTTCCATTTTCCTTGTAACTGCAGATTTAACCCATTTAAGTGACAGAATATCACAAAAAAAAAGCAACATTGGAGAGCAATTCCTACATTTCCAGAATACGAAGGTGGCTAGCTGATGCACTCATTTTGCGGTTTTTCTGAGAAAGTCCACAACCTGGTCATGCAACTCACAGAACCGCTCCAGCGCCATTACTCAGCCAGCGCACGTCGTTGTGAAGCAGTGGTGGAAATAGTACCCAATTCTCATACTTGAGTAAATGAAAGATACCTTAATAGAAAATGACTCAAGTAAAAATGAAAGTCACCCAGTAAAATACTACATGAGTAAAAGTATTTGGTTTTAAATATACTTAAGGATCAAAAGTAAATGTAGTTGCTAAAATATACTTTAGTATTAAAAGTAAAAGTAAAAGTTCAAATAATTTAAAGGCCACTTTCAAAGTACCATGCTTAGATTCATAATGCCGCCTGATATTGAATCCTTTGCAAACAGCGACATTTTCATTGCAAATAAGACACACTGGCTTGGCCTTGGAGAAAGATGGTAAGATGAACGCATATCTCTCTGTCCCTTCTTCCCTGGAACTTCGATTTTCATTATCCACCTTTCTTTTGATACTTTTTGAGAGTGACATTTTACCTTGCTAGCAAGCTACTTGTTCTGAAATAATGTTGACGTTAAAAAACTAGCGTAGCCTAGTAATAATTGAATGAATTGAATGATTTTGTTATTGTCACTGAATTTATTATGTACTAATCAGATGTGTTAAATTGTTTTTGTTCAATTTGTAGTATAGGCCTATTAATTGTGCCAACATTATATGCTAATTATGTTCTGGCACTCCGACTATTAGCTCAGAAAAATTATGTCTCGAGGCCAAACCTAGTTGACAAACCCTGTCTTACAGTATATGGGAACTATACAATGACATGATCAGGTGATGATGTCATTGTCAGCCAATCATTGTGAGGAGCCTGGTTCTGCTGGACTGGCCCCAGGCTGCATCTTAAATTGCACCCTATTCCCTATATAGTGCACTGCTTTTGATCAGTGCCCATTGTAGTGCACTGCTTTTTAAACCAGAGTTCTATGCTTTGATCAAAAGCAGTGAACTATATAGAGAATAGGGTGCTATTTGTGACGCAGGCAGTGTCCCCTGTACAATCTTTAGTGATGGCCTGATGGAGGATGGGTGGTAGCTGGTCGGACAAAAGACCGTTGGCTTGTACTCTCTCCAACAGAGCTGCACCACCACTCACAGACGTACACACGTACACAGTTCCCATTGTTCTATTGTTCCGTTCCAATCTGCACCACCACTCACAGTGTACAATGGTGACTACATGACAACATATTCCATTGGCCTACTACAATGCCAAGATATTTACTCTTGGTGACCATCATTTATAATCCTACTATATTATTATTATTATTGGTTTATACCGATAGCATGGTTTGAAGTAAATATAGGCTACTGTATCCTAGAATAGATGAATTCACACAGAGGAGTTTCCCAGCGAGGAACTGAAAGACTTAAGATTTTATTGTGTTTTACACTAACAGACAGACAGATAATAGGGTTATCGGAGGACAACAGGGACACATGAAATAACAAAATGATTTCCCAATTCCCTTCATAACCTCCTAGTGCATCTTTTGAAAGGATGAGAAAAAGCACCACCGAATAATAATACAATTAACATTCCAAAGTATTAAAAAGGATAAATACTAAGAGAGGAGGGTTTTTCAGTTGTCAGGGTCGGAATCATGGAATCATAGAATCATATAATCATGGAATCATAGATTCTCGGAATCATGGAATCATGGGGTGTTGTTGTTTTGTTTTGTGGCATTCCGATCAGACGTAACCTTTGACCTGAGCGGCAGGTGCTCTACGGGGGCTGCTGTCGCTGCTGAAGGTCGGAGACCCGGGGATGCCGGGAGGACTCGACCCCGCATACAGCAGCGACCCACCAATCAGCAGCAAGGCCGACGCCCCCCAGCCCAGGTAGAGGGCGGGGCCTAGCTCCCTCTTGTGAGGCGCGGCCACGTGGGGATCATAGAAGTCCCTGATAATGGAGTGGGCCGTCCAGCAGACAGGAACCAGGTAGAGAAACCCAGCGATGCCAAACAGGAAGCCGGAGATCCTCGCAATACGAGCCTTCAGACTATTCTGACCGATACACTTGGTGCACTTTACCCCCACCACGCCTAAAGCCAGGGCCAGGCCACAGAGGAGGACGGAGAGCACGGTGAGGCCCCGGGCCGCCTGCATGTCGCTGGGCAGGGCTAAGAGACTGTCGTACACCTTGCACTGGATCTGGCCCGTTGATTGGACGATGCAGGTCATCCACAGCCCCTCCCAGATGATCTGAGCCGTCACGATGTTGTTGCCGATGAAGGCGGTGACGCGCCACAGCGGAACAGAGCATACCAGGAAGCCGCCCAGCCAGCCAACCAGGGACATGACGAGGCCCAGGAGCTGCATGCCGGTGGTCGCCATGGTAAAGGTGTAAGGCTGTTGTTGTTGTTGTTGTTGTTGTTGTTGTGGTAGTAGTAACGGTTGTGGTGACGGTTGGCGATGCCTACCGGTATTTGGCTGGATTTTCGTCAGTATTTGTACCACGTTGGTTGTTACTGGGATGTTAAAGTCCTTTCTCTTAGTCTCACTAAAATAGTCCCAAGCTGTGGAAAGTCTATTCACCTCCGAAATCTTGAAAAACAGATGTCTTCCTCTTCTTCTTCCTCCTCTTCCTCTTCTTGCCCCTCTCTTTCTCTCTGGTTGATGTTGAGGCCAACTGGGGGCAGACGAGGCCAAATGTCCTAAGAACCAGATGAAATAAAACAGTGGTTAGTATAATCAGGGCTCCTTTGTAGCTCAGTTGGTAGAGCATGACGCTTGTAACGCCAGGATAGTGGGTTCGATTCCTGGGACCACCCATGTGTAAAATGTATGCATGCTTTGGATAAAAGCGTCTGCTAAATGGCATGTTATTATCATCCATTTGAGGAAACTTCTGAACCGTACTCCTACAAATGGCCTTATAAATCACCTGAATAATAGCAAGCAAATCAAATTATGAATCACTGTAAATAACATTCACCCAGTCTATTGAATCCTACACAGCATTAATAAAAATGTAAAAGTTAAAATCGTCATGGTGCTTAGCTACTGTAACTAATGTTTATCATAACTATTTGGAAACAGGCAGGGAGGGCCTGAGAGTGACTGGAGTCCAGTGTGGACCCGAAGGAGCACAGAGAATGGTTTCCATTGACCGTGATGCTGTGGGTGTTGGAGCTACTAGCTGCTATGCTTGCCTGGCCGGAACACTGGATTATCTCAGAAAAACATGAGGAGGTTCTAGAACACAGCAGGGCTTTCATTCAGAACTGGTACAGTGGGCCCAGGCTCTGTTGACAGAGGACCCAGCTCTGTTAAACTCTGTTCTGGGCTCAACTATCTTAATAACAGCTGGACTAATCCAATAGATTGATCAATCAGTACTCGTATCAGCGAAACTGATAGAGATTAACCCACTGGGCAAAAACTGGTTGAAGCAACGTTGTTTCCACGTCATTTCAACAACAAAAACATCAATGTGATGACGTTGAATCAACGTGGAAAACTGATTGGATTTGCGAAAATTCATCAACGTGAGGATATTTCATATTTTTTTCACCCAACTTTTTTAACCTATATCCAATGGCATGGTGACATATGTCCATTTCAGGTTGAATTCATGGTTAGTTGACAACTCAACCAAAATGTAAATCAAAACTAGACGTTGAACTGACGTCTGTGCCCAGTGGGATGATGAAATAAGATTAGGATTAAGATATAGTCTAACAGGATGGACCTTTAACCTTTGTTTCACCTCACTAGTTTCATGTCACATGACACATTGTTTAATAAAGAATAGACATCACATACGTTACAGTATCATACTAATGATAAAAGAGAAGAAACAGATTAGTATTATAGACAGTGAGATCACAGTATCATACTAATGATAAAAGAGAAGAAACAGATTAGTATTATAGACAGTGAGATCACAGTATCATACTAATGATAAAAGAGAAGAAACAGATTAGTATTATAGACAGTGAGATCACAGTATCATACTAATGATAAAAGAGAAGAAACAGATTAGTATTATAGACAGTGAGATCACAGTATCATACTAATGATAAAAGAGAAGAAACAGATTAGTATTATAGACAGTGAGATCACAGTATCATACTAATGATAAAAGAGAAGAAACAGATTAGTATTATAGACAGTGAGATCACAGTATCATACTAATGATAAAAGAGAAGAAACAGATTAGTATTATAGACAGTGAGATCCTGACACAGACAGGTCCAACAAGCAATTGAATACACATTCTTATCCTTGAGGTGGAATATTTCAATACCACAATGTTTTTGTTGACTGTAGCAATGCCATAGTATTTTCAATACACAATGAACAATACATTAGAGTACATTAGTCACCTCAGATGTTGTGTGATGGATCCCCTCTCCTCTTCCGAGCAGTCCTTGGAAAACCAACGTGTTCTTCAGCAGTCCTGTGGTCCTGTGGTTGTGTAGGTTAGAGGTGTATGTTGGGAGCAGGTTGGCTGGTTGAGGTGGAGGCAGAGACAGAGGCCTTGAAGGTTCAGCTCAGTCCACAGGTACGAACGAGGACCTGAGAGGTCAGGTTGGCTTCTGCAGAGGGGTGAAGAGCTTCAACACCCAGGACAGGACAGGACAGGACTGGAGAGAGGGCTGCCCTCTGAGATGCCAGCTAGCGCAAGTCTGTGTGGCAGTGGGCAGAAGCATGCGCTTGTGTCTCTGTCAGTGTGAATGTCAGTGTGTCTGTGTAAGCGTGTGTGTCCGTGTGTGTGTGTGAGTGTCTCCCAGTGCCTGGTGATCAAGTACAATGACATGCTGTTCTCCACTGCTGTTCTCTCTCTCCGACCCCCCATCCCTCCATCCCTCCATCCCTCCAGGCCAACAACCCCTCCTGTCTTCTTTTTCATCTCCCTCTCTCTCTTGTTCTTTGATGTGCGCCATCCTTTTCATCCGCCTGTTTCTAATGTTTTACGGGTTCAACTGAAGTTGGTGACTGAGGAGGGTCACAGAGGGTTCTAGTTCAGTTATTTCCCTTTACTCTACCTCCTGTTCACGTGAATGAAAGGGGGACAATGTAGATGAAAATCATGTCTACTGAAGACCTGCCTTTAACTGGAACTTTGTGAGTTACCAAAGGATAGTTGCAGCTGTGGTAATCAACCATCAACCTGTTAACCATGCTAATCAATTACGAGAATTCAACTGACCAATGAGAGAAACAGGAAGTACTGGGAGAACAGACAGGGATCTAAATTAACTTTTGACATTTGACATTTAAGTCATTTAGCAGACGCTCTTATCCAGAGAGACTTACAGTAGTGAGTCAATTAGCAGACGCTCTTATCCAGAGAGACTTACAGTAGTGAGTCATTTAGCAGACGCTCTTATCCAGAGAGACTTCCAGTAGTGAGTCATTTAGCAGACGCTCTTATCCAGAGAGATTTACAGTAGTCAGTCATTTAGCAGACGCTCTTATCCAGAGAGACTTACAATTAGTGCATTCATCTGAAGATAGCTCGGTGGGACAACCACATATCACAGTCGTAGTAAGTTCCTTTTTAACTCAATAAGATGTTATCAGCAAAGTCAGTGCTAGTAGGAAAGAGAAATACAATTGAAGTTGTATGGGAGGAATAAGACTGAGATGTCTTATTTTAACATACTCTTTGAAGAGGTAGGGTTTCACACGTTTTCGGAAGATGAGCAGGGACTCTGCTGTCTTAGCTTCATGAGGAAGCTAGTTCCATCATTGGGGTGCCAGGACAGAGAAGAGCTTTGACTGGGCAGTAGTGAGTTATTTAGCAGACGCTGTTATCCAGAGAGACTTACAGTAGTCAGTCATTTAGCAGACGCTCTTATCCAGAGAGACTTACAGTAGTGAGTCAGGGGACTCTGCTGTCTTAGCTTAATGAGGGGAAAAAAAGGAAAAAAAAGAAGATATGCACTCACTAACTGTAAGTCGCTCTGGATAAGAGTGTCTGCTAAATGACTAAAAATGTAAATGTAAATGAGGAAGCTAGTTCCACCATTGGGGTGCCAGGACAGAGAAGAGCTTTGACTGGGCTGAGCGGGAGCTGCCCTCCCATAGGGGTGGGAGGGCCAAGAGACCATAATGGAGTACTCCGGTTGGGGTGTAGGGTTTGAGCATAGCCTGAAGGTAGGGAGGGGCAGTTCTCCTTGCTACTCCGTAGGTAAACACCATGGTCTTGTAGTGGATGGTCTTGTAGTGGATGGTCTTTTTAGTGGATGGTCTTGTAGTGGATGGTCTTGTAGTGGATGGTCTTTGTAGTGGATGGTCTTGTAGTGGATGGTCTTGTAGTGGATGGTCTTGTAGTGGATGGTCTTGTAGTGGATGGGAGCACTAGTGGAGCTACCAACTTTAAAGGCCCAGTGCAGTCAAAAACGTGACATTCCTGTGTTTATAATGCCAGGAGTGTGCAAAGCTGTCATCAAGACAAAGGGTGGCTATTTGAAGAATCTCAAATATAAAATATATTTTGATTTGTTTAATACTTTTTTGGTTACTACATGATTCCATATGTGTTATTTCATAGTTTTGATGTCTTCGCTATTATTATACAATGTAGAAAATAGTAAAAAATTAAGAAAAACCCTTGAATGAGTAGGTGTGTCCAAACTTTTGACTGGTACTGTATATTTCCCACACTATGAGGTTGGAATAAATCTGTGAAATTGTGAAAATGATGATAATGCCCTTTTAGTGTAAGAGCTATTTGAAAAGAGTTTTGGCCTGCCTGGTGACATCACCAGGCCGTAAATTGGTAGTAGACCAAGAGAGTTCCAAACCTCTCTGCCAATAACAGCTAGTTTTCAGTTTTCCCCTCCCCTACTCAGACCACTCCCAGACAGTCCTAGCAAAATTCTTGCTTGAGAAATTGCTCTTTGCTATGAAGCTATTTTTGCTTATTTTTGACAATTTTAATTGATAACAATCACATGAAGGAACTTAATTGTTAACCAGAATTGATTTAACTATTATTCTTTTTTACGGCTGGATTGGACCTTTAAGAGTTAGAGGCTCCAAACAGTCACAGGGGAACCAGACAAAGAGATGATCAATCCTACCTTTCAATCACATCACCTGGAGTATGTATCCAGAGGACCCCATTTCCTTTATTCCAGTGCCATCTTAAACCATACTGGGCATGTTAGCCAGCTGTTAGCCAGCTAGGTAGCCAGCTGTTAGCCAGCTGTTAGCCAGATAGGTAGCCAGCTGTTAGCCAGCTTTTAGCCAGCTAGGTAGCCAGCTGTTAGCCAGCTACAGTGGGGAGAACAAGTATTTGATACACTGCCGATTTTGCAGGTTTTCCTATTTACAAAGCATGTAGAGGTCTGTAATTTTTATCATAGGTACACTTCAACTGTGAGAGACGGAATCTAAAACAAAAATCCAGAAAATCACATTGTATGATTTTTAAGTAATTAATTTGCATTTTATTGCATGACATAAGTATTTGATACATCAGAAAAGCAGAACTTAATATTTGGTACAGAAACCTTTGTTTACAATTACGGAGATCATACGTTTCCTGTAGGTCTTGACCAGGTTTGCACACACTGCAGCAGGGATTTTGGCCCACTCCTCCATACAGACCTTCTCCAGATCCTTCAGGTTTCGGGGCTGTCGCTGGGCAATATGGACTTTCAGCTCCCTCCAAAGATTTTCTATTGGGTTCAGGTCTGGAGACTGGCTAGGCCACTCCAGGACCTTAAGATGCTTCTTACGGACCCACTCCTTAGTTGCCCTGGCTGTGTGTTTCGGGTCGTTGTCATGCTGGAAGACCCAGCCACGACCCATCTTCAATGCTCTTACTGAGGGAAGGAGGTTGTTGGCCAAGATCTCGCGATACATGGCCCCATCCATCCTCCCCTCAATACGGTGCAGTCGTCCTGTCCCCTTTGCAGAAAAGCATCCCCAAAGAATGATGTTTCCACCTCCATGCTTCACGGTTGGGATGGTGTTCTTGGGGTTGCACTCATCCTTCTTCTTCCTCCAAACACGGCGATTGGAGTTTAGACCAAAAAGCTCTATTTTTGTCTCATCAGACCACATTACCTTCTCCCATTCCTCCTCTGGATCATCCAGATGGTCATTGGCAAACTTCAGACGGGCCTGGACATGTGCTGGCTTGAGCAGGGGGACCTTGCGTGCGCTGCAGGATTTTAATCCATGACGGCGTAGTGTTACTAATGGTTTTCTTTGAGACTGTGGTCCCAGCTCTCTTCAGGTCATTGACCAGGTCCTGCCGTGTAGTTCTGGGCTGATCCCTCACCTTCCTCATGATCATTGATGCCCCACAAGGTGAGATCTTGCATGGAGCCCCAGACCGAGGGTGATTGACTGTCATCTTGAACTTCTTCCATTTTCTAATAATTGCGCCAACAGTTGTAGCCTTCTCACCAAGCTGCTTGCCTATTGTCCTGTAGCCCATCCCAGCCTTGTGCAGGTCTACAATTTTATCCCTGATGTCCTTACACAGCTCTCTGGTCTTGGCCATTGTGGAGAGGTTGGAGTCTGTTTGATTGAGTGTGTGGACAGATGTCTTTTATACAGGTAACGAGTTCAAACAGGTGCAGTTAATACAGGTAATGAGTGGAGAACAGGAGGGCTTCTTAAAGAAAAACTAACAGGTCTGTGAGAGCCGGAATTCTTACTGGTTGGTAGGTGATCAAATACTTATGTCATGCAATAAAATGCAAATTAATTACTTAAAAATCATACAATGTGATTTTCTGGATTTTGACAAAATCGGCAGTGTATCAAATACTTGTTCTCCCCACTGTAGGTAGCCAGCTGTTAGCCAGCTGTTAGCCAGCTAGGTAGCCAGCTGTTAGCCAGCTGTTAGCCAGCTAGGTAGCCAGCTGTTAGCCAGCTAGGTAGCCAGCTGTTAGCCAGCTGTTAGCCAGCTAGGTAGCCAGCTGTTAGCCAGCTAGGTAGCCAGCTGTTAGCCAGCTAGGTAGCCAGCTGTTAGCCAGCTGTTAGCCAGCTAGGTAGCATGACTGCGGCATGGATTATGAGATTACTCACATTAGTCATTCTAGAAGTAGAATGTATGTGAATAATTTACTTGATTTTTAAAATGATCCACAGAAATAAAAAATCAACACTTTGTAAAAAATATATATTAGAGGGTTCATTTATACTGTCAAAAATTATAATTCAAATAAATTATAGCATTACTATTGATTACCCAGCTAATTCCCTGATAATACAGATACTGCACTAACTCAACATAAGGAAGGAGGCAGGCTTATCCAACAGAAAATGCAGACATGAGAGAGGACTGAGTGGGCTTTATGAGACATCAGGCTACATAATGGAATTATTAAATGACTATATTCCAGGTGTGGGGGTTAAGTCGGGGGGCTCAAATGCTACAGAAGCTAGTAGTAATAACCAGAGGAGCGATATTCCTGCCCCCATGTTGCCTCCCAGGACTAAAGAGCGGGTGTAGTCTATCAGTGAAGCTATCTGTAAATGTATGGATGTGAACTCCAGTCTCCGCGCAGTAGAAGGACACTCTGCCCTCCACGTAGTCCAGAAACACCCCCACCTTCCTGGGCTTCTGCTCCAGGCCCACGGGGGTGATGGTGGGGGAGGTGTTAGCTACGTATTGACCCCCGCTCTTTAGGCTCAGTGTCCAGAAGCCATTGGCTGGGCTGACTGTAAACTTCCCCTTCCTGTTGATGGACTGTCTGGCCACGCCCAGGTTCCACTCTAGCTTCTCTCCCACCTCCACCTCCCAGTAGTACCTGGAATGGAGTCAACATTAATCCAGTAGTAGCTGGAATGGAGTCAACAAAAGTCCAGTCCATGTGTTCATCATTACAAATTATGAACTTAGTATTAAAGTCCAGTCCATGTTTTCATCATTACAACTGATGAACTTAGTATTTAAGTCCAGTCCATGTTTTACTACAGCACTAGTTAAGCTAAAGAGCCAGGAGTGAATCCTAACTTCTACTTAAGTATTAAATCCCCGCAATAGTTTCAACAAATAAACTATATCAGACGGCCTGACCTCCGTTCTTAGAACCATAGATATATGATCATAGATCTTTATGATAATATAGATATATAGATATACAATGGTATTATATAGGCAAACAGTATAAAGAGGGACATTACAGTACCTGCCGCTGCTGAAGGACTCTCTGCCCAGGACGTTGGCCACGCGGTCAAACCTCTTGGGGTTGTCTGGGACCTCCTGGTGTTTGTCTGTGTGTCGCACCTGTTTCCGGTCGTCTGAGACAGAGAGGGAGGCGTGGGCCGTCTTGGGACTCAGGGAGATGTCTACTAGGGTAGAGGGAGGAAAGAGAAACCTATTAGTGCCATGGCAACAGCAAACTCACCTTGGTAAAACAAGTATTTTAAGAACTGCAAAAAATACATCTTATGGCGTAGCTAATTATTTGGGCAGGTGGAGACATACCAGCAATTATCAGGAAATAAGACTTTTCCACACTTTTACAGTGTTAGTTCCATCAGCTGTTGTACAATATGATATAAAACACATGAAAAACTGAATTTTGACTGCACTGGGCAGGCGGAGACATACCTGTGTATTTCTGTATTTTCTTCAGCTCTGCAAAATATAACAGTTCCAGTAAGAATCCTTCCCAGACAAACAGGTCTGACATTTCATTCACCCAAAATATCTACAGTAGAAGAACACTGTAATCATTTATCAGATGCTGACAGATGTCTAATCAACACAAAACATGTAGTCTACTAAAGTGTTGAGGGTGGATGTAGAACTGTAAAAGATGTATCCAGTATTATATGAAAGGAAGTATCCGTAGCGCAATACTGACCAGCTTTAGAGAGTCTATTGAGCTCTCCCTTGACCATGTCCATCAGATCTGACAATGCTCTCCTGGTCACGCCCATGCAGGGGTCTGTCTCCATGGTAACCTTGGACCAGTCCCTCCTCTCAGAGTAACCCAGGGTGGAAGTGGTGCTCTGCAACGTTCATAGAGGACAAACAAACACTGTCATATTTGAAGATGAAATATAGGCGGTCGGGGTACTAAGTTAAGGGTTCAAGCATTTTCTTCTGTGGCCATGATAGAAACTGTTAAGAAACTCAGTTTTACAAACTCTTTTTGGAAGTGACGACATGAGGAAGCAAAGGTCAGCGTGCAGTCGTAGTTTGGGTCCTGGATTCTGATTGGCTGAAAGCCCGAGGTATATCAGACATTATAAACTGGGTGGTTCGAGCCCTGAATGCTGATTGGCTGAAAGCCGTGGTATATCAGACAATATAAACTGGGTGGTTCGAGCCCTGAAAGCTGATTGGCTGAAAGCCGAGGTATATCAGACATTATAAACTGGGTGGTTCGAGCCCTGAATGCTGATTGGCTGAAAGCTGTGGTATATCAGACAGTATATTTATTTTACTGCTCTAATTACGTTGGTAACCAGTTTATAATAGCAGTAAGGCACCTCAGGGGTTTGTGGTATATGGCCAATATACCACGGCTAAGGGCTGTATCCAGGCTGTACTAAGCATTGCGTCGTGCGTAAGAACAGCCCTTAGCTCTGGTATATTGGCTATATACCACACCCCCTTGGGCCTTATTACTTAAGTATATGCTTACCGCACTGGGGTGAAGTTTCCCCTAGGTATAGATCTAGGATCAGCTTCCCCTCCCCAATCTTAACCTTAACCATTAGTTGGGGAAAATGCAAAACTGACCCAAGACTAGCGTCTAGGGGCGACTTCACCCTACTCCATGCTTACCACAGCAACAGTCTTCTTACCACCACCACATAGCTCATCATGGCTCTGCTGAGAATGAGAAGGCCCCAGTTCAGTGTCTCCATTCCTCAGCTGTTTAATCTCCTGTTCCAGCTCCTTCACCCGCTTCTCAACAATCCTCTAAAGAAACACACAGACATTGTTACATTTGGTATATCGATAACCACAGTGCATTTCTGTCATAAGGTGGTGGATGAGGTGAGTTTTCCCCTTACTATGTAAAGCGCTTTGAGTACCTCAGTTGGTTGAAAGGTGCTAAATAAATCCAATCCATTATAATTTTTTATTCTAAGTTAATAAGTTCATAAATAAATAATAGTATTACTGTACATTACAGACCTCCTCCCCCCCCTCTCTCTCCTCGATGGCTGTCACCACGGCCTTGTGGCTCTTCTCCATGGAACTCACCAGGGCAGAGAACACCTTCTGGCTCTCACGCACCTCCCTCAGACACGAGTTCTGATTGGACAGAAAGACGTGTCAATATCTCAGACGTGAGTTCTAATTGGACAAGAGACGTGTCAATATCTCAGACATAAGTTCTGATTGGATAAAATACATGTCTGTATCTCACATCACTTTAAGATGAAAAGGTGTGATTGGACAATACATGTATGTGGTAAAGGTGGTGGATTTGTCTAACTCATCTAGATCTACATAAGGACATGGGGTGTAGGGCAGGGCTCTCCAACCCTGTACCTGGAGAGCTACTGTCCTGTAAGTTTTCGCTACAACCCTAATCTAGGGCACCTGATTCTAATAATTAGCTGGTTGATAAACTGAATTAGGTTAGTTACAACTGGGGTTGGAGCGAAGACCTACAGGAAGGAAGCTCTCCAGGATACAGTGTTGGAGAGCCCCCGGTGTTAGGGGCTAGGGGTCAATTTGGGATTGGGACTCACTTTGAGGAGCTGCAGGGAGTGTCTGAGTCTGTCGACTTTCTGCAGTCTCTCCTGGATCATCTGGTCAATGTCTACAGCCTGTGGCTGCAGAAGAGGATTACACCAAGGTATCATGACATCAAGGGATCTGTTAGTTATACCAAAAAGTCTTGAACCTCTTTGTAGTAACTTGACAAGGAATGCCCACACGCATTTCAATATTACTTTCCTTAACTTTCAACCCAATAAATAAAAGGTGTAGAAACGGTACAAAAACAGCAGAACGATACAGCCCACTCAACCTGTGGTAGAATCACATTGTACAGATCTGACTCTTGGTGATGACATCATCAAAGGAGAAAGGTCACGGTCAATGCCAATAATAACCATGCACACATGAATAGCAATCATACTATACTGCAGGTAAGTACAACACATATTCAATGTAATTATTTATATAGTGTCCACACTATAACACTCTTAATGTCACAAGATGTTGTACTAAGATACAAGATGTTGTACACAAGATGTTGTACTAAGATACAAGATGTTGTACAAGATGTTGTATACAAGATGTTGTACTAAGGTCACTAGGGTACCGTGTCGTGGCTCTCCTCAGGGCTCTCTGGCCTCGTCTTCCTGTAGTTGTCACAGACGTCAGCCAGGATGCGGTTGACACTAAGGTCTGGCCTGGTATGGAACAACCTCTTACAGAGGGGACAGTAGTCCGAACGGTGCCGGGTCCAGTACCTGTAAAGATCCAGTCCATGTTTTCATCATGCTGATAACTAATAAACTCATTAATCCATTCCATGTTTTACTCATGCACTAGTTGAGCTACAGAGGCAGTGAACAACAATGTATGTATCCTCTGCAATGCTTTCAATAAAGTTCAACGAACAATATCAGATGCCCCGACCTCCATTTTTATAATCATAAGATAATACAACTTAAAGAGGGACGTACCCACACAGGCAGGCCTGACAGAAGCTGTGGCCACAAGGAGTGGTCACGGGACTGCTGAAGATGTCCTTACACAGCGGACACAGGAAGTGCCTCTCAGAGAGCAGGCTGATGGTAGAGATGGTCGATGCCATGCCCTGGAAGGACGACATAGAAATCAATCTCTGAACACCTTCATGTTCTTGTCACGTAATACTTCCATTTGATAGGCCAGACACAGTTCACTGGTACAGCTTTGTTACCAGTTATCGAAGGTTTCCCCATTCTGTGTTTTCAATGGAAGAAGAGCGCGCGTTAAAAGCCACATTATTCACTCGCTTCATGGTCAAACTTAATCAACTAGTCAAAGTGAAAAGGTTGGGTTACAGTGCATTCGGCTGAATAAGAATAAGGCTGTAACGTAACAAAATGTGGAAAAAGTCAAGGGGTCTGAATACTTTCCGAAGGCACTGTAAGTGACTGTTTTCTCTCAGCAGGGAGGAAAACGCTCTTGTAATTCAATCATACTTTCCAAGGTGAAATGACAGACTGATTCATTCAACAACCTTTCCCATATGATTCATTCAATAACCTTTACCATTTGATAAATTCAATAACCTTTCCCATTTGATTCATTCAATAACCTTTCCCATTTGATTCATTCAATAACCTTTCCCATTTGATTCATTCAATAACCTTTCCCATTTGATTCATTCAATAACCTTTCCCATTTGATTCATTCAATAACCTTTCCACATTTGCTGACAAATAACAAACGGAAGAGGACACAGGTTTATAAAACTCATCTAAACCTAAGGACACCGGAGGGCTGTTGAAGTGACGATGTTAACACTGACTAGAGGGAACAGATTTTGTCTTAAATACAGTGTACATCCCAAATGGCACCCTATTCCCTATGAGCCCTGGGTTAAAAGTAGTGCACTATAAGGGAATAGGGTACCATTTGGGACAAAACCACATGCAGTATAGGAGAGGAAGCCATTAAGACTCGGTGCAGCCAACAGACTCCCGACCAAAAAGCTATGTCTTCATGTCCTTGACATCACCGCAGCAAGCAGAGTCACGTTCCAGCTTATCCAATCAGATTGGACAAAAGACAGGATGTGAAAATTCTCAAAGGAAGGGAATTGTTATCAACTCCATGGTCGACTTGTGTATGGATATGGCACTATTGGAACTCTTTCAGGTCACAGATTCACCTGAAATCGCAAATCATGATTCTGTGTGTGTCTCATAGCCTAGTTAGTTATGTGATCATCTGTGTCATTCAAAGAAAATTGTGTGCGTGCGTGTGGTTCTGTCTCTGTCTGTCTGTCTCTGTCTGTGTCTGTGTGTTGGAGAGAGACAGAGAGAGCGTAAAATTATTTGGTATGCAGTAGAACAGGTAGCGCCAAATATTCTGTTACATAATCAAGGAACCACCACTCAATACCAGCATGAGCTCTTCAAGCTATTATTATCACTAGATTCATAACTGTTTGGTTTTAACCTCAAAGTGAAATTGCATTTTTTTCAGTTTTCCCTGTTAAAAACAAATAGTATAGTACCTATAAAGTTGTGACTTCCTGAACTGAGAAGAGTGACGTCCTGACCTGAGCAGTCGTAAACATGTTAAAAAGAAAATGGATGTTTCACATACTGTTCTGAACAGAGAGCCGACATCCTGACAAGGAGGATAGAATAGAATAAACTTTATTGTTCCCAAGCTGTGTTCAATATTTACCTGTCCCATTCGTTCCTGGCCAGGTACTTCGGTCGCCGGTCAGCCTGTCTCTCTTCCTGTATTCAGAGGCCAGGTGACAGGTGAGTTGCTAGAAAAGGTACTTTGGGCGGGGTTTAATCCAGGTGTGTTCAGTCAGGTGTTTGCTTTGGGTGGTGGCTGTAACCTTAGACAATGGCTACGTCCCAATTATCTGAAGTGTGCACTTCTTCACTACTCCCCACAAATGTAAAATCATTTGATTGGTGGAGCCATGGACTATAGGCTAGTTTCCATTCATTTCAAATAAGTAAAGTGTAATGTGAAGTGAACAAGTGCACACTACGGGAGAAGGAAGAGATTACAGGAAAGCAATCCAGGTCAGTCTCAGGTAAGGACCCACCTTGAGTGTTAGAGCTGCCAAACAGCAGAACCAGGCCCTGCAGTACCTCTGGTCCAGGGTGTTAGAGCAGCCAAACAGCAGAACCAGGCCCTGCAGTACCTCTGGTCCAGGGTGTTAGAGCAGCCAAACAGCAGAACCAGGCCCTGCAGTACCTCTGGTCCAGGGTGTTAGAGCAGCCAAACAGCAGAACCAGGCCCTGCAGTAACCTCTGGTCCAGGGGTTGTTAAGAGCAGCCAGAACAGCAGAACCAGGCCCTGCATTAGCCCTCTGGTCCAGGGTGTTTAGGAGGCTTGCCAAACAGCAGAACCAGTGGCCCCTGCAGTACCTCTGGTCCAGGTGTTAGAGCAGCCAAAACAGCAGAACGAGGGCCCTGCAGTACCTCTAGGTCTCAGGGTGGTTTAGACTGGCCAAACAGCAGAACCATGCAGGCCCTGTAGGTACCCTCTGGTCGATGGGTGTTTAGATGGCAGCCAAAACAGCGAAACCAGGCCCTGTCAGTACCTCGTGGTCCCCCAGGGTGTTAGAGCTGCCAAACAGCAGAACCAGGCCCGTTGTAGGGTGTTAGCGCAACGGTCCAGGGTTTGTGTTTCTGGCCTGTTAGAGCCAAACAGCAGAACCAGGCCCTGTAGTACCTCTGGTCCAGGGTGTTAGAGCTGCCAAACAGCAGAACCAGGCCCTGTAGTACCTCTGGTCCAGGGTGTTAGTGTTGCTTGCTAACGCTGAGCCTTCCTGAAAGTTCACTAACTCCCTGGACCAGAGTTAGCCCTGCAGTAGCTAGTCTCGTCCACTAGCCAGCGCTGTCTCTCTGTAGTGTAGCAGCTGAGCCTGGGGATGAGGTTATGTGGTAGCTAGCCTTGTCCCCAGCCTCAACTGCTACACACACACACACAGAGAGATAGAGAAGAGAGGAGAGAGAGAGAGAGACAGATATATTGCGAGAAGAATCGATCTACTCTATAGATGATCTCGAATAAGAGAGATATATTCAGAGAGAGAGAGGACTCGATATGATATAGAGAGGATATCTATATAGGAGTACAGTAAGGAGAGGAAGCTAGCGAGTAGAGACGAGAAGAGAGAGAGAGAGAGAGAGAGAGAGAGTACAGTACAGTATCAGTGGGTTCTGCAGCCAGAGATCCAGTAGTCATCGTGGAAGGCTGAACACCAGAGCCCTGCTAGAGAGGATTTGTGCAGGAGTGTAGGAGTTTAGCTGTGTAGCCGTGAAGGAGTATAGGAGGGACGGCTGGTGGAAAGATTAAGTGGAATGTTTTTGAGATGGAAGTGTTGAAGCTGAAAGAGCAAGTTAACCTAGGGAGACAGACTGGTCTCTCCTGACTGTGAGACTGTTCAGTACAGTATGCAATGGAAGATCAGATCTGTGCTTTAACACAATAAATATACTACAGGGAAACAAAACAGGGATTTATTTTCAAAATCTGGTCATTTATCAGGCACAATAGAGACACCTACACCAGAAGTTATATAAAAAATAAGAACTATGTTCTTTCAAAAATGGATTTATATTGTATATTTACATTTACTTATTTAAATGTACACAGATTTATTGGGAATTCCAAAGACACCAAAAACAACAATACATTTAGAATGTCCATCGTTAAAGGAGCTCACTTTATTCATAATTACATATTTCAAGAATGAATCTGTGTAAAATAATCTACTAATACCATAACGAGATCAGCAATCAAAAATAAACAACGTCTAATATCTAGATAACATACATCTCTGAATATTTCTCACTGACAAATACGTTTAATTACTGATCTGATTGGCCTCAGACCTCTACAAATCTGACAGTGGTGTTAAACTCTGCAGGAACGTCATCAATATGACATACACAATCTGTTAAACTGTTCAATGCATCTTCAATGTAGGCACCATTGTCTCAACGTCTATTAATTTGTGCAGCAGCGTTTGTGACGTAACCCCATGCCTCTCTGGCAGCACCTCCTACGACACCCCCAACAACGGCACCTACAGTGGGGGAAAAAAGTATTTAGTCAGCCACCAATTGTGCATGTTCTCCCACTTAAAAAGATGAGAGAGGCCTGTAATTTTCATCATAGGTACACGTCAACTATGACAGACAAATTGAGAATTTTTTTCTCCAGAAAATCACATTGTAGGATTTTTAATGAATTTATTTGCAAATTATGGTGGAAAATAAGTATTTGGTCACCTACAAACATGCAAGATTTCTGGCTCTCACAGACCTGTAACTTCTTCTTTAAGAGGCTCCTCTGTCCTCCACTCGTTACCTGTATTAATGGCACCTGTTTGAACTTGTTATCAGTATAAAAGACACCTGTCCACAACCTCAAACAGTCACACTCCAAACTCCACTATGGCCAAGACCAAAGAGCTGTCAAAGGACACCAGAAACAAAATTGTAGACCTGCACCAGGCTGGGAAGACTGAATCTGCAATAGGTAAGCAGCTTGGTTTGAAGAAATCAACTGTGGGAGCAATTATTAGGAAATGGAAGACATACAAGACCACTGATAATCTCCCTCGATCTGGGGCTCCACGCAAGATCTCACCCCGTGGGGTCAAAATGATCAGAAGAACGGTGAGCAAAAATCCCAGAACCACACGGGGGGACCTAGTGAATGACCTGCAAAGAGCTGGGACCAAAGTAACAAAGCCTACCATCAGTAACACACTACGCCGCCAGGGACTCAAATCCTGCAGTGCCAGACGTGTCCCCCTGCTTAAGCCAGTACATGTCCAGGCCCGTCTGAAGTTTGCTAGAGTGCATTTGGATGATCCAGAAGAGGATTTGGAGAATGTCATATGGTCAGATGAAACCAAAATAGAACTTTTTGGTAAAAACTCAACTCGTCGTGTTTGGAGGAGAAAGAATGCTGAGTTGCATCCAAAGAACACCATACCTACTGTGAAGCATGGGGGTGGAAACATCATGCTTTGGGGCTGTTTTTCTGCAAAGGGACCAGGACGACTGAATGGGGCCATGTATCGTGAGAATTTGAGTGAAAACCTCCTTCCATCAGCAAGGGCATTGAAGATGAAACGTGGCTGGGTCTTTCAGCATGACAATGATCCCAAACACACCGCCCGGGCAACGAAGGAGTGGCTTCGTAAGAAGCATTTCAAGGTCCTGGAGTGGCCTAGCCAGTCTCCAGATCTCAACCCCATAGAAAATCTTTGGAGGGTTGAAAGTCTGTGTTGCCCAGCGACAGCCCCAAAACATCACTGCTCATCTTTTTAAGTGGGAGAACTTGCACAATTGGTGGCTGACTAAATACTTTTTTTCCCCACTGTAAGTTCAGGAGTAAATATTTGCTTAACAAGTCACATAATAAGTTGCATAAATCACTGTGTGCAGTAATAGTGGTTAATATGCTTTTTGAATGACTACCTCATCTCTGTACACAACACATACAATTATCTGTAAGGTCCCTCAGTCGAGCAGCGAATTTCAAAGAGATTCAACTACAAAAACCAGGGAGGTTTTCCAATGCCTCGCAAAGAAGGGCACCTATTGGTAGAGCATGGTGATGTTATTGAGAATGGTGATGTTATTAATTACACTTTGGATGGTGTATCAATACACCCAGTCACTACAAAGATACAGGCGTCCTTCCTAACTCAGTTGCCGGAGAGGAAGGAAACCGCTCAGGGATTTCACCATGAGGTCAATGGTGACTTTAAAACAGTTACAGAGTTTAATGGCTGTGATAGGAGAAAACTGAGGATGGATCAACAACATTGTAGTAGAACTGTCTAATGATAACATTAAGATCTAATGATAACATTAAGTTGCAAAAAATTAAGGGATTAGAGATAATAGTATCAATGTATGCCGGTGATTCAAGTTTTCTCTTGAGTTCTCAATCTTCAACCTTGAAGGGCCTCATTGAGGGCCTGGATAATTTCTCCAGTTTCTCTGGACTAAAACCCAACTATGATAAATGTACTATATTACGGATATAGTATCTAAAAGATACAAACTTTAAATTGTCATGAGGTTTCCCGATTAAATGGGCGGATGGTGAAGTCCATGTGCTTGATGTACATATCCTGGAAAGGTTTAGAGATCTTGCAATTATTAACTTTTATCGAAAACTTTGCAAAATGGATAGAATCTTGAAACCGTGGAAAGGGACACACCTATCTATTAACTGGAAGAGTACCCTGATTATTTATCTAGTGATATTGCAGTTTTCATATTTAATCATGGCTCTACCAGGAAAGGGTTTGACAGCAATACCGTATAAAATTTGAGTCAGTTGGAAACAGGTTTTTGATGTCCCAATTCCTTGGTATCGGGTCTATGAACTGACATATAAAAAAACAATTGATTGACACATCACATCTGTTCGTTTCAATTGAAGCTATTATATACAGTAAAATACTTGCTACAAAAAGAATGCTCAATATATGGGCCATGGAACATTCAGCCCTGTGCAGACTCTGCCACACGGAAACAGAATCAATAGAACATATTTTCTGGTACTGTCCATCGGTGGCTCGCTTTTGGAGTCAGGTCCAGGAATGGTTGTTATGTCATAATATCAGGTTTCAGATGGACCTGCAAACTGTATTGTTAAGGGCTCTGAAAAACCACGATCAGTCAATGGGAAATATCATTATACTCTTGGGTAAAGTATTTATTTTTAGGGAGGTTCAGGACCCTCGTAAGGCATCATAGTAAAATGGAGGGATGTATTGCAAAAGGAAATAGAAAAATGGCATTATACTGTGAAAGATGGGTTAATCTGTGGACATGGGAGGGTTGGAGTTCAGATCAGAGTGGCATTATACTGGGAAAGATGGGTTAATCTGTGGACATGGGAGGATTGGAGTTCAGAACAGAATGCCATTATACTGGGAAAGATGGGTTAATCTATGGACATGGGAGGGTTGGAGTTCAGATCAGAATGGCATTATACTGGGAAAGATGGGTTAATCTGTGGACATGGGAGGGTTGGAGTTCAGATCAGAATGGCATTATACTGGGAAAGATGGGTTAATCTGTGGACATGGGAGGGTTGGAGTTCAGATCAGAATGAATGGTGATTGGCCGCTGTGGGGTACATCCAGCACTTGAAGAAAATAGGAATATATGTATAATTATTTAACTGTACTGTAGATGTGAGCAATTGCTGTAAGTAACATTAGAAGTATTGTTGTCTGTTAGTTTACTCCCATCAGGGTAGGGATGGGGGAATTGGATAATAAGGGGGATTGGAAATCATGCAACATTGTAGTTACTCTACTATACTAATCTAAATGACAGAGTGAAAAGAAGGAAGCCTGTACAGAATAACAAATATTCCAAAACATGCATCCTGTTTGCAATAAGGCACTAAAGTAAAACTAAAAAAAATGTGTCAAAGAAAATAACTTTATGTCCTGAATACAAAAGCGTTATGTTTGGGGCAAATCCAACACATAACTGAGTACCACTCTTCATATTTTCAAGCATGGTTGTGGCTGCATCATGTTATGGGTATGCTTGTCATCGGAAAGGACTAGGGAGTTTTTTAGGATAAAAATAAACGGAATAGCACAGGCAAAATCCTAGAGGAAAACCTGGTTCAGTTTGCTTTCCGACAGACACTGGGAGACAAATTCACCTTTCAGCAGGACAATAACCTAAATATACACTGGAGTTGCTTACCAAGATGACATTGAATGTTCCTGAGTGTCCTAGTTACAGTTCTGACTTAAATCGGCTTGAAAATCTATTGCAAGACTAGAAAATGGCTGTCTAGCAATGATCAACAACCAACTTGGCAGAGCGTGAATAATTTTACAAAGAATAATGTGCAAATATTCTACAATCCAGGTGTGCAAAGCTCTTAGAGACTTACCCAGAAAGATTCACAGCTGTAAAAGCTGCCAAAGGTGATTCTAACATATATTGACTCAGGGGGTTGAATACTTATGTAATCAAGATTAATTAGTATTTTCTTTTTCATATATATTTTTTTACAAATGTTACACATTTTCTTCCACTTTAACATTACAGAGTACTTTGTGTAGATCGTTGACAAAAAAATGACAATTAAATCCATTTTAATCCCATCTTGTAGCGTAACAAAATCTGGAAAAAGTCAAGGGGTGTGAATACTTTCTGAAGGCACTGTAGCAGCCTACTGAATAACTAGCCTCAACTTGTCCATGTAGCAGCCTACTGAATAACTAGCCTCAACTTGTCCATGTAGCATCCTACTGAATAACTAGCCTCAACTTGTCCATATAGCAGCCTACTGAATAACTAGCCTCAACTTGTCCATATAGCAGCCTACTGAATATATAGCCTCAACTTGTCCATATAGCAGCCTACTGAATATATAGCCTCATGGTAAAGTATGACTATTTCAAGTGAACCTAGATCTACCCACTTTTCAGTATAAGCCTAAAATACTACCTCAACTTGCACACACATACTATTGCTGCATTCATGACATGTCGGAACTAGGTAACTAGCTCTTGGAAACTCGTAGTGAGATGACACCTGAGTTTCACACTTGGAAAGTATCAGAATTAACCAATAGGAAGCTCTACGCAAATAACTTACGTTAATTTTCACTCTTGGGTTCCGAGTTTCCGTCATGAATGCAGCATGTTTGTAGAAGTGGTTTATAGTTGAGCCGGATAGAGGGACACTATCTATCACACAATCACTGACAGTTCTAGTTATTCAATATGACTATTAGTGGCAGCGACTATCTGTTTAATATACAGTAAAGATACAGTACCGTGATGTGAAGCCTAATACAAAGCTAAAAGGGTAAAAGCATAGACAGGATTCTGGAAGAAGTGAAGTGGTTCCTCAATCCATTTGTACAAATGGCACAACAGTGCCAACAGGACAGACATTGTCTAGTGCACTAATTTTGACCATGCTCTATGGATCCTTCTAAACTATTCATCCCTCCAGTTATGAGAAAATAGATCCCCACAGGATCCTGGTTAAAAGTAGTGCACTACGTAGATAATAGGGTGCAATTTGAGACACAGCTATTCCACCAATCAGCACTCAGTACCTAACCCTCTGGTTTCATCCTTGTTCCAGTCATAAACACTTCCTCCATGTCATGAACGAGGTGGCCTGAAGAAGCGGTTGATGAACACGGTGTTGAAGTTAGTAGCGTGTGGTCCCACTCTATCCTCCAGGTGTTCTATCGCTACCTGGGCCGTCCCACCCGCCGACCCACCCATCAGCCCTCCGAGAGCACCTCCCATCGTCATCCCCATCGCACCCGCCACCGCCCCCATCGCCATCCCCATGGCGGCCCCCGCTGCCAGCCCCAACCCCGCCCCTACGGCGAGCGACGTCCTCAACCATCCGTTGTCCATCTCGGCTTTAGCCCTGATCTCTGCTCCCACGCTGCTGTTGTAGGCGTCCATCTGCCAGCGCAGCGCCTCCCCCCGGTACTGCTGCTCCAGCTCCCTCCATGCCTCCTCTGTCTCCGCCGCCCTCTTCTTCAGCAGCTTCCTCTCTTCCTTCCTCACGCTCTCCTCCGCCTGCCCGTAGGAGCGGCTGGTGTAGTGCTGCCCGCCCAAGGTCGCCAGCATCCGTTCAATCTTCTGGAGGAGCTCCTTGTCTCGAGAACGGTCCCTCCAGTTCTTGTTGAAGACGTGGTAGCGCCCGCCGCACTGCTCGATGAGCGCCCGGATGTGCCAGTCAGTGCTGACCCGGTTCTCCAGTGCCAGAATGTCTACGTCCCCCTCGTAGGCCAGGAGGACCATGGTGTGGGAAAGGGCATCTTCACCGAAACGCTTCACCATCAGCTTGGGCGTCTTGACGTCGTTGGGGCAGATCTGCTCCAGGTCAAAGGCCATGAGCAGGGCGTGAGGGCCGGGGGCTGACAGACACTTGCACCTAAATCAAATCAAAATGTATTTACAGTGTTATATCACATGAAAATGCTGCAAAACACCTTACAGAAAAAGTGTAGCCTAAACGTTTACAATTGCACCTGCAGGGAGACAATACAGTGACTACAATCAAGAAAGAAAAAGCTGTTTGTCTTGTATTGTCTTGTGTTGTATTGTGTTGTATTGTGTTGTATTGTCTTGTGTTGTATTGTCTTGTGTTGTATTGTGTTGTATTGTATTGTCTTGTGTTGTCTTGTATTGTCTTGTGTTGTATTGTGTTGTGTTGTGTTGTGTTGTATTTTGTTGTATTGTATTGTATAGTGTTGTGTTGTGTTGTGTTGGATTGTGTTGTGTTTTTGTCACTATTTATGATGGACTTCTGGACCTCTTTAGCTCAGTTGGTAAAGCATGGCTCTTGAATTGTGTGTTTGATTCCCAGGACCACCCAGACGTAAAATGACTGCATGACTGTAAGTGTATTTGGATAAAAGCGTCTGCTAAATGGCATGTATTATTATTATATTACATTTAGCATTTCTTCAGTTTCTGTGAACTGTGAGCAAAAATAAATAATGTTAAAGTCAAAGTCACCTCTTCTGATGCATAAGTTAACACATGACACAGAAGAGCATCAAATTACAGCACAACGTTATCTTTGCCACCTCTTCATCTCTGTCTTCATCTTAGTGCGGGACAGGTGCTTCCCGTAGAGGTTGGGTCCGTTGACCACAGCGACACGCGTCCCAGCCAGGTCCCCCAGGTTCTTCCTGCTCTGGACGATGCTGGTGACGTCCTTGGAGAACTCCTCCCGCCCCAGGATAGAGTTGGTCAGAGAGAACTGAGACGGTCCACTGGACCCCACCACCAGGATCCGCAACTCCATATCAGTGGACTGAGCTGCCGGGACAACAAATAACTTTTGATGGTTAACAGCTATAGAAAGGTTTACTAAGGTCAGTTAAAGATCAGTCGAACCACATATCAGTGTCCGGAGAAGATCATGATGTGTTCACCTTTCATCAGGCTAATCATTTGATCATCAACAGCTATGGAAAGGTAAATCAGATCAAATATCAGTGCCTGTTGCCGGGACAACAAAGACCAACAAAATACGCTTTCACCTTTCATCAAATATTTTCACAATCAGGTCTCTTTGTTGAGAAACAAAAAAGTCAAAAAATATGTTTTCACTTTTCATTGGATAAAGACCATTAGATCATTAACAACAGGGTTGCGGTCAATTCGAATTGAAGGCAATTAATTCAGGAAGTAAACTGACATCACAATCCAATAATGAAAAAAAAAGGGCATTTATTTTCAATGACTCATCAATAAACTGACAAGTAGAAGCTATTTATTAAAAAAGTTAAAATGTATTTATTTTAAATTAAAATCCCCTCCTGAATTGACTGCCTTCCATTCTAATTGACCACAACCCTGTTTAACAGTTAAATAGACCATTCTAATTGACCCCAACCCTGTTTAACAGTTAAATAGACCATTCTAATTGACCCCAACCCTGTTTAACAGTTAAATAGACCATTCTAATTGACCCAACCCTGTGTAACAGTTAAATAGACCATTCTAATTGACCCCAACCCTGTTTAACAGTTAAATAGACCATTCTAATTGACCCCAACCCTGTTTAACAGTTAAATAGACCATTCTAATTGACGCCAACCCTGTGTAACAGCTATAAAGACCAGTCAGACCACATATCAGTGGACGCTGCTGGAACAACAAACAAGAACAATCATGAATCAAAACAATACTGTACAATAATTCAACCTTATGTACTACAAATAAAAAGTTACAAGAAACAAAGAAGCCCAAAATATTGAATGTTTTCATTTAGTCCTTTTAATTTACTCTCCTTAATATACAGTGGGGGGAAAAAGTATTTAGTCAGCCACCAATTGTGCAAGTTCTCCCACTTAAAAAGATGAGAGAGGCCTGTAATTTTCATCATAGGTACACGTCAACTATGACAGACAAATTGAGGAAAAAAAATCCAGAAAATCACATTGTAGGATTTTTAATGAATTTATTTGCAAATTATGGTGGAAAATAAGTATTTGGTCACCTACAAACAAGCAAGATTTCTGGCTCTCACAGACCTGTAACTTCTTCTTTAAGAGGCTCCTCCACTCGTTACCTGTATTAATGGCACCTGTTTGAACTTGTTATCAGTATAAAAGACACCTGTCCACAACCTCAAACAGTCACACACCAAACTCCACTATGGCCAAGACCAAAGAGCTGTCAAAGGACACCAGAAACAAAATTGTAGACCTGCACCAGGCTGGGAAGACTGAATCTGCAATAGGTAAGCAGCTTGGTTTGAAGAAATCAACTGTGGGAGCAATTATTAGGAAATGGAAGACATACAAGACCACTGATAATCTCCCTCGATCTGGGGCTCCACGCAAGATCTCACCCCGTGGGGTCAAAATGATCACAAGAACAGTGAGCAAAAATCCCAGAACCACACGGGGGGACCTAGTGAATGACCTGCAGAGAGCTGGGACCAAAGTAACAAAGCCTACCATCAGTAACACACTACGCCGCCAGGGACTCAAATCCTGCAGTGCCAGACGTGTCCCCCTGCTTAAGCCAGTACATGTCCAGGCCCGTCTGATGTTTGCTAGAGTGCATTTGGATGATCCAGAAGAGGATTGGGAGAATGTCATATGGTCAGATGAAACCAAAATATAACTTTTTGGTAAAAACTCAACTCGTCGTGTTTGGAGGACAAAGAATGCTGAGTTGCATCCAAAGAACACCATACCTACTGTGAAGCATGGGGGTGGAAACATCATGCTTTGGGGCTGTTTTTCTGCAAAGGGACCAGGACGACTGATCTGTGTAAAGGAAAGAATGAATGGGGCCATGTATCGTGAGAATTTGAGTGAAAACCTCCTTCCATCAGCAAGGGCATTGAAGATGAAACGTGGCTGGGTCTTTCAGCATGACAATGATCCCAAACACACCGCCCGGGCAACGAAGGAGTGGCTTCGTAAGAAGCATTTCAAGGTCCTGGAGTGGCCTAGCCAGTCTCCAGATCTCAACCCCATAGAAAATCTTTGGAGGGAGTTGAAAGTCCGTGTTGCCCAGCGACAGCCCCAAAACATCACTACTCTAGAGGAGATCTGCATGGAGGAATGGGCCAAAATACCAGCAACAGTGTGTGAAAACCTTGTGAAGACTTACAGAAAACGTTTGACCTGTGTCATTGCCAACAAAGGGTATATAACAAAGTATTGAGAAACTTTTGTTATTGACCAAATACTTATTTTCCACCATAATTTAAAAATAAATTCATTAAAAATCCTACAATGTGATTTTTTTGATTTTTTTTCTTATTTTGTCTGTCATAGTTGACGTGTACCTATGATGAAAATTACAGGCCTCTCTCATCTTTTTAAGTGGGAGAACTTGCACAATTGGTGGCTGACTAAATACTTTTTTCCCCCACTGTATATATAAAAATATATATATTATATAAATTATAAATCAAATCAAATCAAATCAAATCAAATTTTATTGGTCACATGCGCCGAATACAACAGGTGCAGACATTACAGTGAAATGCTTACTTACAGCCCTTAACCAACAGTGCATTTATTTTAAACAAAAAAGTAAGAATAAAACAACAACAAAAAAAGTGTTGAGAAAAAAAGAGCAGAAGTAAAATAAAGTGACAGTAGGGAGGCTATATATACAGTAAAATAAAGTGACAGTAGGGAGGCTATATATACAGGGGGGTACCGTTGCAGAGTCAATGTGCGGGGGCACCGGCTAGTTGAGGTAGTTGAGGTAATATGTACATGTGGGTAGAGTTAAAGTGACTATGCATAAATACTTACTTAACAGAGTAGCAGCAGCGTAAAAAGGATGGGGTGGGGGGGCAGTGCAAATAGTCCGGGTAGCCATGATTAGCTGTTCAGGAGTCTTATGGCTTGGGGGTAGAAGCTGTTGAGAAGTCTTTTGGACCTAGACTTGGCACTCCGGTACCGCTTGCCGTGCGGTAGCAGAGAGAACAGTCTATGACTAGGGTGGCTGGAGTCTTTGACAATTTTGAGGGCCTTCCTCTGACACCGCCTGGTATAGAGGTCCTGGATGGCAGGGAGCTTTGCCCCAGTGATGTACTGGGCCGTACGCACTACCCTCTGTAGTGCCTTGCGGTCAGAGGCCAAGCAGTTGCCATACCAGGCGGTGATGCAACCAGTCAGGATGCTCTCGATGGTGCAGCTGTAGAATTTTTTGAGGATCTGAGGACCCATGCCAAATCTTTTTAGTCTCCTGAGGGGGAATAGGCTTTGTCGTGCCCTCTTCACGACTGTCTTGGTGTGTTTGGACCATGATAGTTCGTTGGTGATGTGGACACCAAGGAACTTGAAGCTCTCAACCTGTTCCACTACAGCCCCGTCGATGAGAATGGGGGCGTGCTCAGTCCTCTTTTTTTTCCTGTAGTCCACAATCATCTCCTTTGTCTTGGTCACGTTGAGGGAGAGGTTGTTGTCCTGGCACCACACGGCCAGATCTCTGACCTCCTCCCTATAGGCTGTCTCATCGTTGTCGGTGATCAGGCCTACCACTGTTGTGTCGTCGGCAAACTTAATGATGGTGTTGGAGTCGTGCCTGGCCATGCAGTCATGGGTGAACAGAGAGTACAGGAGGGGACTGAGCACGCACCCCTGAGGGGCCCCCGTGTTGAGGATCAGTGTGGCAGATGTGTTGTTACCTACCCTTACCACCTGGGGGCGGCCCGTCAGGAAGTCCAGGATCCAGTTGCAGAGGGAGGTGTTTAGTCCCAGGATCCTTAGCTTAGTGATGAGCTTAGAGGGCACTATGGTGTTGAATGCTGAGCTGTAGTCAATGAATAGCATTCTCACGTAGGTGTTCCTCTTGTCCAGGTGGGAAAGGGCAGTGTGGAGTGCGATAGAGATTGCATCATCTGTGGATCTGTTGGGGCGGTATGCAAATTGGAGTGGGTCTAGGGTTTCTGGGATTATGCTGTTGATGTGAGCCATGACCAGTCTTTCAAAGCACTTCATGGCTACAGACGTCAGTGCTACGGGTCGGTAGTCATTTAGGCAGGTTATCTTAGAGTTCTTGGGCACGGGGACTATGGTGGTCTGCTTGAAACATGTTGGTATTACAGACTCAGTCAGGGACATGTTGAAAATGTCAGTGAAGACACTTGCCAGTTGGTCAGCACATGCTCGGAGTACACGTCCTGGTAATCCGTCTGGCCCTGCGGCCTTGTGAATGTTGACCTGCTTAAAAGTCTTACTCACATCGGCTACGGAGAGCGTGATCACATAGTCGTCCGGAACAGCTGGTGCTCTCATGCATGCTTCAGTGTTGCTTGCCTCGAAGCGAGCATAGAAGTGGTTTAGCTCGTCTGGTAGGCTTGTGTCACTGGGCAGCTCGCGGCTGTCCTTCCCTTTGTAGTCTGTAATAGTTTTCAAGCCCTGCCACATCCGACGAGCGTCAGAGCCAGTGTAGTATGATTCAATCTTAGACCTGTATTGACTCTTTGCCTGTTTGATGGTTCGTCGGAGGTCATAGCGGGATTTCTTATAAGCGTCCGGGTTAGAGTCCCGTTCCTTGAAAGCGGCAGCTCTACCCTTTAGCTCAGGTATATTTATAGGTATGCTGTATAGGTCCCGCACTCCAAGACATATATAACACCCGATGTCACAGGAAGGCCAAAAAGATAATCAAGGACATCAACCACCCGAGCCACTGCCTGTTCACCCCGCTATCATCCAGAAGGCGAGGTCAGTACAGGTGCATCAAAGCTAGGACCGAGAGACTGAAAAACTGCTTCTACCTCAAGACCATCAGACTGTTAAATAGCCATCACTAGCACATTAGAGGCTGCTGCTGCCTATTGAAATCACTGGCCACTTTAAGAAATGGAACACTAGTCACTTTAATAATGTTTACATACAGTGGGGAGAACAAGTATTTGATACACTGCCGATTTTGCAGGTTTTCCTACTTACAAAGCTTGTAGAGGTCTGTAATTTTTATCTTAGGTACACTTCAACTGTGAGAGACGGAATCTAAAACAAAAATCCAGAAAATCACATTGTATGATTTTTAAGTAATTAATTTGCATTTGATTGCATGACATAAGTATTTGATCACCTACCAACCAGTAAGAATTCCGGCTCTCACAGACCTGTTAGTTTTTCTTTAAGAAGCCCTCCTGTTCTCCACTCAATACCTGCATTAACTGCACCTGTTTGAACTTGTTACCTGTATAAAAGACACCTGTCCACACACTCAATCAAACAGACTCCAACCTCTCCACAATGGCCAAGACCAGAGAGCTGTGTAAGGACATCAGGGATAAAATTGTAGACCTGCACAAGGCTGGGATGGGCTACAGGACAATAGGCAAGCAGCTTGGTGAAAAGGCAACAACTGTTGGCACAATTATTAGAAAATGGAAGAAGTTCAAGATGACGGTCAATCACCCTTGGTCTGGGGCTCCATGCAAGATCTCATCTCGTGGGGCATCAATGATCATGTGGAAGGTGAGGGATCAGCCCAGAACTACACGGCAGGACCTGGTCAATGACCTGAAGAGAGCTGGGACCACAGTCTCAAAGAAAACCATTAGTAACACACTACGCCGTCATGGATTAAAATCCTGCAGCGCACGCAAGGTCCCCCTGCTCAAGCCAGCGCATGTCCAGGCCCGTCTGAAGTTTGCCAATGACCATCTGGATGATCCAGAGGAGGAATGGGAGAAGGTCATGTGGTCTGATGAGACAAAAATAGAGCTTTTTGGTCTAAACTCCACTCGCCGTGTTTGGAGGAAGAAGAAGGATGAGTACAACCCCAAGAACACCATCCCAACCGTGAAGCATGGAGGTGGAAACATCATTCTTTGGGGATGCTTTTCTGCAAAGGGGACAGGACGACTGCACCGTATTGAGGGGAGGATGGATGGGGCCATGTATCGCGAGATCTTGGCCAACAGCCTCCTTCCCTCAGTAAGAGCATTGAAGATTGGTCGTGGCTGGGTCTTCCAGCATGACAACGACCCGAAACACACAGCCAGGGCAACTAAGGAGTGGCTCCGTAAGAAGCATCTCAAGGTCCTGGAGTGACCTAGCCAGTCTCCAGACCTGAACCCAATAGAAAATCTTTGGAGGGAGCTGAAAGTCCATATTGCCCAGTGACAGCCCCGAAATCTGAAGGATCTGGAGAAGGTCTGTATGGAGGAGTGGGCCATAATCCCTGCTGCAGTGTGTGCAAACCTGGTCAAGACGTACAGGAAACGTATGATCTCTGTAATTGCAAACAAAGGTTTCTGTACCAAATATTAAGTTCTGCTTTTCTGATGTATCAAATACTTATGTCATGCAATAAAATGCAAATTAACTACTTAAAAATCATACAATGTGATTTTCTGGATTTTTGTTTTAGATTTCGTCTCTCACAGTTGAAGTGTACCTATGATAAAAATTACAGACCTCTACATGCTTTGTAAGTAGGAAAACCTGCAAAATCGGCAGTGTATCAAATACTTGTTCTCCCCACTGTATCTTGCACTACTCATCTCATATGTATATACTGCATTCTATTCTATAATATTCTACTGTATCTTAGTCCATGCCACTCTGTCATTGCTTGTCCATATATGTATATATTCTTAAATCCCATTCCTTACTAGTTTTGTGTGTATTAGGTATATCTTGTGAAATTGTTAGATATTACTTGTTAGATATTACTGCACTGTCGGAGCTAGAAGCACAAGCATTTCGCTACACCCGCTATAACATCTGCTAAATACGTGTATGTGACAAATAGAATTTGATTTGTGTAGCTCAGTTGGTAGAGCATGGCGCTTGCAACGCCAGGGTTGTGGGTTCGTTTCCCACGGGGGGGCCAGTATGAAAAATGTATGCACTCACTAAACTGTAAGTCGCTCTGGATAAGAGCGTCTGCTAAATGACTAAAATGTAAATTTGATTTGATATGATTTGATATAGGGAATAGGGTGCCACTTGGGACGCAGCCAGAGACCAAAATAGAAACCAATCCATATAGGTTTCCAACAACACAAAAGTATAGGTTAGTGTTTAGGTCAAAGATGGACCTTTTATACACGTTAGTACCCTGACATTTAACATGCTTACGGCTCACAGCAGCATTACGGTCAATTAAGGATGCCTTGTCCGAGCCAGAACAGCCCACAGGGCAGGCAGGAGCTTATCTCCTGTTTCTGTAACGTGAGGCAGCTTGATGGACCCCTGGACACCCCCTGGACACCCCCTGGACACCCCCTGGACAGGACGCTAGCGTCACAGTAAAAAGGGTTCATACATACATTCCATTGAAAAGTCACCCTTGGATTAACTGCCTACTATATGACAGTCAAAAGGATACATACAAAATTCCGTTCCAAACTCACCCTCCTGCCTCCTGTGGCTGTGGTTGTGACTGTCCATCTCTCCCAGGCTGTTAATGGTACAGACAGAGAAACACTCCAGGACAGCTCTTCCACAGGCCAGTTGTAGCTCTGCAGAGATGCACTCCCTCCTGCACTCCTTCACGGCTACAGAGCTAAACTCCTGCACTCTTTCACGGCTACACAGCTAAACTCCTGCACTCCTTCACGGCTACACAGCTAAACTCCTACACTTCTTCACGGCTACACAGCTAAACTCCTACACTCCTTCACGGCTACACAGCTAAACTCCTACACTCCTTCACGGCTACACAGCTAAACTCCTGCACTCCTTCACGGCTACACAGCTAAACTCCTGCACTCCTTCACGGCTACACAGCTAAACTCCTACACTCCTTCACGGCTACACAGCTAAACTCCTACACTCCTTCACGGCTACACAGCTAAACTCCTGCACTCCTTCACGGCTACACAGCTAAACTCCTACACTCCTTCACGGCTACACAGCTAAACTCCTACACTCCTTCACGGCTACACAGCTAAACTCCTACACTCCTTCACGGCTACACAGCTAAACTCCTACACTCCTTCACGGCTACACAGCTAAACTCCTACACTCCTGCACAAATCCTCTCTAGCAGGGCTCTGGTGTCCAGCCTTCCACGATGACTACTGGATCTCTGGCTGCAGAACCCACTGATACTGTACTGTACTGTACCTCTCTCTCTCTCTCTCTCTCTCTCTCTCTCTCTCGCTCTCGCTCTCGCTCTCGCTCTCGCTCTCGCTCTCTCGCTCTCGCTCTCGCTCTCGCTCTCTCTCTCTCTCGCGCTCTCTCTCTCTCTCTCTCTCGCTCTCTCTCTTTCTCTCTCTCTGTCTCTCTCTCACTCTCTCTCTCTCTCTCACTCGCATCTCACTCGCATCTCTCTCTCTCTCTCACTCGCAACTCTCTCTCTCTCTTTCTCACTCTCTCTCTCTCTCTCTCTCTCTCTCCTTCTCCTCTCTCTCTCTCTCTCTCTCTCTCTCTCTCTCTCTCTCTCTCTCTCTCTCCCTTTGTCCCCACGGATTTGGATGGATACTGTACATCACCCCTCCTTTCTCTCCCTCTATCTCTTTTTCTCTTTCCCTCGCTTCTCTCCCTCTGTCCTCATTGATCGTCCTCAGCCAATTTCATATTAGGTGGAAAATGCCCTTAGGTCAGGAGCCTGCTAAAATAAGAACCGTACTGTAACACACACACACACACACACACACACACACACACACACACACTCGACAGCAGATATTTACTCGTCCCTTTTTTACTTGGCCTTACTGTCAAATTGAAAGGTAGACTCAGCACTAAGGAACCTTTAGAAGAGTGTGTGAAAAGTAGTGCACTATTCCCTTTATAGTTAACCTTTTTTGACCAGGGCCCATAGGTGTCTAGTCAAAAGTAGTGCACTATATAGGAAATAGGGTGCCATTTGGGACATGTAGAGTATGAACTGAGAGGCTGCCGCATAAGTCAGCATCAGCTGTCACGTTGCTGCAGGAGAGAGAAGAGAACGTGTCATATCGCTGAATCTCAGTTTAAATGAAACCCTACGTCATGTATTACCCAATGAGTGAAAACAGTAGAAAACGTGCATGTCTCTTCATGTCAATGTAACAGTGGATAGATAATGACTCAGCCAATGAACTCAGATTTGTCAACACACATTGTTCTGAATCAGAATGTTTGTTCATTTGTTCGAAGACAGTAAATATATATGCCACTGCCACTGAGTCCACAGTAAATATATATGGCACTGCCACTGAGTCTACAGTAAATATATATGGCACTGCCACTAAGTCTACAGTAAATATATATGGCACTGCCACTGAGTTTACAGTAAATATATATGGCACTGTCACTGAGTCTACAGTAAATATATATGGCACTGTCACTGAGTCTACAGTAAATATATATATGACACTGCCACTGAGTCCACAGTAAATATATATGGCACTGTCACTGAGTCTACAGTAAATATATATGGCACTGCCACTGAGTCTACAGTGGGGCCCCACAAGGGTGTGTGCTCAGCCCCCTCCTGTACTCCCTGTTCACCCATGACTGCGTAGCCAAGCACGCCTCCAACTCAATCATCAAGTTTGCAGATGACACAACAGTAGTAGGCTTGATTACCAACAACGATGAGACATCCTACAGGGTGGAGGTGAGGGCTCTCGGAGTGTGGTGTCAGGAAAATAACCTCTCACTCAACGTAAAAAAAACAAAGGAGAAGATTGTGGACTTCAGGAAACAGCAGAGGGAGTACCCCCCTATCCACATCGACGGGACAGCAGTGGAGAAGGTGGAAAGTTTTAAGTTCCTCAGCGTACATATCATTGACAAACTGAAATGGTCCACCCACACAGACAGTGTGGTGAAGAAGGCACAACAGCGTCTCTTCAACCTCAGGAGGCTGAAGAAATTTGGCCTGTCACCTAAAACCCTCAAAAACGTTTACAGATGCACAATTGAGAGCATCCTGTCGGGCTGTATCACCGCCTGGTACGGAAACTGCACCGGCAACAACCGCAGGGCTCTCCAGAGGGTGGTGCGGTCTGCCGAACGCATCACCGGGGGCAAACTACCTGCCCTCCAGGACACCTACAGCACCCGATGTCACAGGAGGGCCAAAAAGATATTCAAGGACAACTACCACCCGAGCCACTGCCTGTTCACCCCGCTATCATCCAGAAGGCGAGGTCAGTACAGGTGCATCAAAGATGGGACCGAGAGACTGAAAAACAGCTTCTATCTCAAGGCCATCAGACTGTTAAACAACCATCACTAGCACAGAGAGGCTGCTGCCTACATACAGACTTGAAAATCACTGGCCACTTAAATAAATGGGACACTAGTCACTTTAATAATGCCACTTTAATAACGTTTACATATCTTGCATTACCCATCTCATATGTATATACTGTATTCTATACTACTGTATCTATTGTATCTTAGCATATGCCACTCTGATAATGACATTGCTCATCAATATATTTATATATTCTTATTCCAGTCCTTTACTTAGATTTGTGTGTATTAGGTTTTTGTTGTAGAACTGTTAGATATTACTTGCTAGATATTACTGCACTGTCGGAACTAGAAGCACAAGCATTTCGCTACACTCGCAATAACATCTGCTAACCATGTGTATGTGACCAATACATTTGATTTGATTTGATTTAGAAATATATATGGCACTGCCACTGAGTCTACAGTAAATATATGTATATGGCACTGCCACTGAGTCTACTGTAAATATATATGGCACTGTCACTGAGTCTACAGTAAATATATATGGCACTGCCACTGAGTCTACAGTAAATATATATGGCACTGCCACTAAGTCTACAGTAAATATATATGGAACTGTCACTGAGTCTTACAACAAATGCATGAACATTCTGTATTCTGATTAATGTAGTGCTATCTCTTCGTCATGTGAGACTATTTATGTCCAAACTGATAAGCAGTCTCCTGCTGTGCAGAGATGAATGCCAGAGTGATGTACAGGGAGGGACATGACGTTCAAACAGGACTGCTGTTAATATTGGATATGACAACATGTCACAGGTGAATTCAGTCATGCAAACCAATCAAGCTGTTCCCAAAATGCTCCCCTCCCTTTCCCTAACCCCGACCCTAACCCTCTGATTGCAGATCTGTAGGGTCTGGACAGGTATAAGTAGTGTTTCCACAGAGCATTCACCATAGTGCCAGAGTGTGGTTCAGTCAGAGGTCAATGTTATGTCAGGAGAGCGTTTGGTTCGCATGACTGAATTCATCTGTGACACATATGCATGTTGCCATATCAACCGATAAAACGATGGTAGAGTCAAACAAATAAATAGGGTGATGGAGAATGAAGGCCTGATTATGTCTGGCTTATGAAATGTTATATGTAATTGTCCTACTTTAAAGCAAACATTAATTCGGCACACCTGATGTAAGCGTTTATCACTCTTTACTTACAGTAGTAGTAGTAGTATGATTTGATCACCCTTTACGTAGTAGTAGTATGATTTGATCACCCTTTACGTAGTAGTAGTATGATTTCATCACCCTTTACGTAGTAGTAGTATGATTTCATCACCCTTTACGTAGTATGACTTTGCTTACAAATCTATGTAGTGCTCAATCAATCAATCAAATGTATTTTATATAGCCTTTTTACATCAGCAGTTGTCACACAGATACCCAGCCTAAACTCCCAAAGAGCAAGCAATGCAGATACAGAAGCACAGTGGCTTTATGAATGCTCTATGAAGCCTTTATGAATGCTCTATGAAGCCTGTACAGGTTGTTGCTTGTTTAAAGTGTGACCTACTGTACATAACATCATTATACAGTATAGCAGCTTAGATCATTAAACTCCTCTAGAGGTCAATCAGTTGAACTGTACCAGTATCAAATAAAATCAAATAAAATGTTATTTCTCACATGCGCCGAATACAATAGGTGTAGACCTTATCATGAAATGCTTACTTACAAGCCCTTAACCAACAATGCAGTTTTAAGAAAATAGAGTTAAGAAAATATTTACTAAATAAACTGAAGTAAAAAATAAAAATAAAAAGTAACACAATAAAATAACAATGACGAGGCTATATACAGGGGGTACCGGTACCGAGTCAATGTGTGGGGGTACAGGTTAGTCAAGGTAATTTGTACATGTAGGTAGGGGTAATGTGACTCTGCATAGATAATAAAAAGCGAGTGGGGGGGGTCAATGCAAATAGTCCGGTGGCCATTTGATTAATTGTTCAGCAGTCTTATGTCTTGGGGGTCGAAGCTGTTAAGGAGCCTTTTGGACCTAGACTTGGCGCTCCGGTACAACTTGCCGTGCGGTAGCAGAGAGAACAGTCTATGACTTGGGTGACTGGAGTCTTTGACCATTTTTTGGGTCTTCCTGGATGGCAGGAAGCTTGGTCCCAGTGATGTACTGGGCTGTACGCATTACCCTCTGTAGCGCCTTACGGTCGGATGCCGAGCAGTTGCCATACCAGGCGGTGATGCAACCGGTCAGGATGCTCTCGATGGTGCAGCTGTAGAACTTTTTGAGGATCTGGGGACCCATGCCAAATCTTTTCAGTCTCCTGAGGGGCAAATGATGTTGTCGTGCACTTTTCACAACTTTCATTAGTGTGTTTGGACCATGATAGTTTGTTGGTGATGTGGACACCAAGGAACTTGAAACTCTCGACCCGCTCCACTACAGCCCGTCGATGTGAACGGGTGCGTGTTCGGCCCTCCTTTTCCTGTAGTCCCACGATCATCTCCTTTGTCTTGCTCACGTTGAGGGAGAGGTTGTTGTCCTGGCACCACACTGCCAGGTATCTGACCTCCTCCCTATAGGCTGTCTCATCATTGTCAGGGATCAGGCCTACCAACGTCGTGTCGTCAGCAAACATAATGATGGTGTTGGAGTCGTGCTTGGCCACGCAGTCGTGGGTGAACAGGGAGTACAGGAGGGGACTAAGCACGCACCCCTGAGGGGCCCCCATGTTGAGAATCATCGTGGCAGATGTGTTGTTACCTACCCTTACCACCTGGGTGGCAGCCCGTCAGGAAGTCCAGGATCCAGTTGCAGAGGGAGGTGTTTAGTCCCAGGATCCTTAGCTTAGTGATGAGCTTTGAGGGCACTTTGGTGTTGAACGCTGAACTGTAGTCAATTAACAGCATTCTCACATAGGTGTTCCTTTTGTCCAGGTGGGAAAGGGCAGTATGGAGTGCGATGAAGATTGCGTCATCTGTGGATCTGTTGGGGCGGTATACAAATTGGAGTGGGTCTAAGGTTTCCGGGGTGATGGTGTTGATGTGAGCCATGACCAGCCTTTCAAAGCACTTCATGGCTACTGATGTGAGTGCTACGAGGCGGTAGTCATTTAGGCAGGTTATCCAGACTAACAGAACAGGCCAGTGAACAGAACAGCAGACAGTTGTACATCAGGAGCGACAGATCAATAGCTCATTATGTACTGTAGCCCATGGCCAAGTCCCACATAGCATCTTATTCCCTATATAGTGCACTACTTTTGACCAGGGTCCATTGTCCTAAATGGCTCCCAATGGGCCCTGATCAAAAGTAGTACACTTGATTGGGAATAGGGTGTCATTTGGGATGCAGAGCTATGTTTGATCCTGTGAGAAGAACAGGGTAATAAATGATAGGTCAATCTCTATTACCTCAACTACCTCAACTAGCCGGTGCCCCGCACATTGATTCTGCACCGGTACCCCCCTGTATATATAGCCTCCCTACTGTTATTTTATTTGACTTCTGCTCTTTTTTTCTCAACACTTTTTTGTTGTTGTTTTATTTTACTTTTTTATTTAAAAATAAATGCATTGTTGGTTAAGGGCTGTAAGTAAACATTTCACTGTAATGTCTACACCTGTTGTGTTCGGCGCATGTGGCCAATACAATTTGATTTGATTTGATTTGATAGACAGACCTATCTGATCCTATCAAGAATGTGGAACAGTGCCTTTAGTGTAGCCTCCGCGATATGCAACTTTTCAGGGAAGTTAGGAACCAATATATACAAGCAGTTAGGAAAGCAAAGGCTAACTTTTTCAAACAGAAATGTGCATCCTGTAGCACTAACTCCAAAAAGTTTTGGGACACTGTAAAGTCCATGGAAAATAAGAGCACTTCCTCCCAGCTGCCCACTGCACTGAGGCTAGGAAACACTATCACCACCGATAAATCTACAATAATCGAGAATTTCAACAAGCATTTTGCTACGGCTGGCCATGCTTTTCACCTGGCTACCACTACACCGGCCACCAGCTCTGCACCCTCCGCTGCAACTTGCCCATGCCCCCCCCGCTTCTCCTTCACACAAATCCAGACAGCTGATGTTCTGAAAGAGCTGCAAAATCTGGACCCCTACAAATCATCTGGGCTAGACAATCTGGACCCTTTCTTTCTAAAACTAGCCGCCGAAATTATCGCAACCCCTACTACTAGCCTGTTCAACCTCTCTTTCGTAACGTCTGAGATCCCCAGAGATTGGAAAGCTGCCGCGGTCATCCCCCTCTTCAAAGGGGGTGACACTCTAGATCCAAACTGTTACAGACCCATATCCATCCTGCCCTGCCTTTCAAAAGTTTTTGAAAGCCAAGTTAACAAACAGATCACCGACCATTTCGAATCCCACCGTACCTTCTCCGCTATGCAATCCGGTTTCCGAGCTGGTCATGGGTGCACTTCAGCCACGCTCAAGGTCCTAAACGATATTATAACCGCGATCGATAATAGACAGTACTGTGCAGCCGTTTTATTGACATGGCCAAGGCTTTCGACTTTGTCAACCACCGCATTCTTATTGGCAGACTAAATAGCCTTGGTTTCTCAAATGACTGCCTCGCCTGGTTCACCAACTACTTCTCTGATAGAGTTCAATGTGTCAAATCGGAGGGCCTGTTGTCTGGTCCTATGGCAGTCTCTATGGGGGTGCCACAGGGTTCAATTCTTGGGCCGACACTTTTCTCTGTGTATATCAATGACATCGCTCTTGCTGCTGGTGACTCTCAGATCCACCTCTACGCAGACGACACCATTTTGTATACATCTGGCCCTTCATTGGACACTGTGTTAACAAACCTCCAAACGAGCTTCAATGCCATACAACACTCCTTCAGTAGCCTCCAACTGCTCTTAAACACTAGTAAAACTAAATGCATGCTCTTCAACCGAACGCTGCTTGCACCCGCCCACCCGACTAGAATCACTACTCTCGACGGGTCTGACCTAGAGTATGTGGACAACTACAAATACCTAGGTGTCTGGTTAGACTGTAAACTCTCCTTCCAGACTCACATTAAGAATCTCCAATCCAAAGTTAAATCTAGAATCGGTTTCCTATTTCGCAACAAAGCCTCCTTCACTCATGCTGCCAAACATGCCCTTGTAAAACTGACTATCCTACCGATCCTTGACTTTGGCGATGTCATTTACAAAATAGCCTCCAACACTCTACTCAGCAAATTGGATGTAGTCTATCACAGTGCCATCCGTTTTGTCTCCAAAGCCCCATATACTACCCACCACTGTGACCTGTACGCTCTTGTTGGCTGGTCCTCACTACATATTCGTCGCCAAACCCACTGGCTCCAGGCCATCTATAAATCACTGCTAGGCAAATCCCCGCCTTATCTTAGCTCATTGGTCACCATAGCAACACCCACCCGTAGTATGCGCTCCAGCAGGTATATCTCACTGGTCATCCCCAAAGCCAACACCTCCTTTGGCCGCCATTCCTTCCAGTTCTCTGCTGCCAATGACTGGAACAAATTGCAAAAATCTCTGAAGCTGGAGACACTTATCTCACTCACTAACTTTAAGCATCAGTTGTCAGAGCACCTTACCGATCACTGCACCTGTACACAACCCATCTGAAATTAGCCCGCCCAACTACCTCATCCCTATATTGTTATTTATTTTGCTCATTTGTACCCCAGTATCTCTATTTGCACATCATCTCTTGCACATCTATCATTCCAGTGTTAATACTAATTGTAATTATTTTGCACTATAGCCTATTTATTGCCTTACCTCCATAACTTGCTACATTTGCACACACTGTATATATATTTATTTCTGTTGTATTTTTGACTTTGTTTTGTTTTACCCCATATGTAACTCTGTGTTGTTGTTTTTATCGCACTGCTTTATCTTGGCCAGGTCGCAGTTGTAAATGAGAACTTGTTCTCAACTGGCTTACCTGGTTAAATAAAGGTGAAATAAAAAAATAAAAAAAATAAAAGTGTGTTCCAAAAGTACGTGAAATAGAAACAGAAGTTTCCCTTTGTTTCCATAGAAATAGATGTTTCCATTTGTTTCCATTGAAATAGATGTTTCCATTTGTTTCCATAGAAATAGATGTTTCCATTTGTTTCCATAGAAATAGATGTTTCCATTTGTTTCCATAGAAATAGATGTTTCCATTTCCGTTTGTCTACTGCCATGTAGCACTTGTCTTCTTTGATTCCAAACTTCATGTTTGGTCCATGTGAAGAGGTCCACATCATCTAAATAGTAACAACTTCTGCTACAGCTCTATTTCGCTTACATTTCAAACCTATTGCTTGGAGACATCTGACATCTCCCGATCCACCATATGGTTAGAGATGAGATTAGTCTGCTGTATTATGGCGCTCAGTGGTCACGTGTCTCTATATACAGTTACACTAACGGCAGGATGACCAATCATTCTGCCTGTACGGCTCAGTGGCTAATTTAAATCAAACGAAACAGCACCACCGTCTGGTCGTAGTAGGTATTACACATAACGGAAATCGGTTTGTTGTCTTCCTGTTTCTAGATGTGTGTTGCGGTAGTAAGTTGATCGCATGCTATTGCTTCTGCTACTACACGGTCTATGGACAGTAACGTTTTAGCTACATTGTGTCATGTCATGATTATGCCCGCGGTAAAACACGGATAGATAAATCGATATGGTGTTACCAAAATAACCGGTTAGTTTGACTTGCATGTGGTAGGTGTTACAGTTCAAGGGCAACCAACTTACGCTGTACTACTGTATTACGCTGTAGTGCAACAACTTGAAATGATTGTCTGACATTCGCTCACATATTGAGTGAAAGGATGCTGAAAGCATTTCTAACAGCAGCCCGCGGGCCTACGGTCTGCTTGGGTCGGTGTTTCAGTAGTGAAGTGAGTGGTGCAGTTTCCAAGTTAGCCGGGTTCTCCTCTCCACCATTCTCAACGGAGGCTTCACTCTATGTGCACGTGAGTATTGGTAGACTACTCAATGAGCATCTCTCTATCTCTCTTTCTTTCTGGTATCTATCCTTCTCTCAAAAGGCAATGAATGAATGAGAGCCGATTTCAACCAACACTTTGTCAGTCAAACTCATTTGTGTCATCCACCCCACAGTGGCCATACTGTCTGGGGAGATGCGCCTACTGCAGAGGAGGCTGGTGGGAGGTGCTATAGGAGGACGGGCTCATTATAATGGCTGGAATGGAATCAATGGAATGGTGCCAAACACATGGGAACAACATGTTTGACACAGTTCCATTTGATTCCATTCCAGCCATTACAATGAGCCTGTCCTCCTATAGCTCCTCCCCCCAGCCTCCTCTGTCTACTGTAACTTCAACAATTGCAACCCTGACCCTGTCCCTAACCCTAACCCTAACCCTGATCCTGACCCTGACCCTCTCCTGTTCATAGTGGCCCTACTGTCTGAAGAGATGCTCCTACTGTAACTTCAACAAGTACATCCCTCGCTCTGACAACCAGGACGTCATGTTGGAGTGTCTCCAGCGGGAGACCGAGACCTTACTAAAGCTCAGCCAGGTGTCCCGGTAGGTTTACCGTCTAAATTCAACCCTCCTCTGTGTGCCATCGCCTTTAGCTTTAGTGTCTCCATGGGTGCATCTGAAATGGCACCCTATTCCCTATACAGTGCACTATTTCCAGAGTGCCTGAGGCTGACTATATAGGGAATAGGGTGCCATTTCAGACTCACTCAGGCTGCTCCTCCACCTCCTGGAATTCAACTCCAAGTCAAGAGTCTTAGCATTTTTCTTCCTTCTATTTTAACATCTCTCTCTCTCTCTCTCTGTCCTCTCTCTCTCCCTGTCCTCTCTCTCCCCCTCCCTCCCTGTCTCTCTCCCCCTCCCTCCCTGTCTCTCTCCCCCACTCTCCCTGTCTCTCTCCCCCTCCCTCCGTCTCTCTCCCTCGCTCTCTGTCTCTCTCTCTCTCCCTCCCTCCCTGTCTCTCTCTCTCTCCCTCCCTCCCTGTCTCTCTCCCCCTCCCTCCCTGTCTCTCTCCCCCCTCCCTCCCTGTCTCTCTCCCCCTCCCTCCCTGTCTCTCTCTTCCTCCCTCCCTGTCTCTCTCTTCCTCCCTCCCTGTCTCTCTCTTCTCTCTCTCTCTCTCTCTCTCTCCGTCTCTCTCTCTCTCCCTGTCTCTCTCTCCCTGTCTCTCTTCTCTCTCTCGTCTTCAGTATCACCTCCGTGTTTTTTGGAGGCGGGACTCCCAGCCTGGCCCACCCCGCCGCCATTGCTGCGGTCCTGGAGACGGTTGCCAGACACGCTGGCCTATCAGAGGAGGCGGAGGTCACTCTGGAGGTCAACCCCACCCCCATAGGAAGCTCTAAGTTGGAGAACTTCCTCCATGCTGGCGTCAACCGTTTTTCCATCGGAGTGCAGGTGCAATTAAGGCCGGTATTCAGTCAGTTGCACATAGTAGATTTCCTGAAAGCATTCTCAGAAGTGTTGAATTACATCCTTCTACTGTACATAATGGGAATGGTCAGGCGGAGGCTAGCAACCCTATCCCATAAAACCTTTTCTGCTACGGAAACTGAAAGAATAGAAAACATTGTTAATGTTGGAAAGAGGAGAAGGAGAGAGAAGGAGAGAGAAGGAGAGGAGAAGGAGAGGAGGAGGAGAAGAGAGGAGAAGGAGAGGAGGAGAAGGAGAAGGAAAGAAGGAGAGGAAAAGGAGAGGAGAAGGCCAGGAGGACAAGAGTGTGATGCAGCCTTTAGAATGAAGCAACACAGTCAGTCACTGATCACTAGCTTTGTTCTGAACAGTCAGTCACTGATCACTAGCTTTGTTCTGAAGAGTCAGTCACTGATCACTGGCTTTGTTCTGAACAGTCAGTCACTGATCACTAGCTTTGTTCTGAACAGTCAGTTACTGATCACTAGCTTTGTTCTGAACAGTCAGTCAGTGATCACTAGCTTTGTTCTGAACAGTCAGTCAGTGATCACTAGCTTTGTTCTGAACAGTCAGTCACTGATCACTAGCTTTGTTCTGAAGTCAGTCAGTCACTGATCACTAGCTTTGTTCTGAAGTCAGTCAGTCACTGATCACTAGCTTTGTTCTGAACAGTCAGTCACTGATCACTAGCTTTGTTCTGAACAGTCAGTCAGTGATCACTAGCTTTGTTCTGAACAGTCAGTCACTGATCACTAGCTTTGTTCTGAACAGTCAGTTACTGATCACTAGCTTTGTTCTGAGAACCAAGTGTCCTTTTCATATGTGGAACTGGGGAGCTGAAGGAGAGCTTTGGGAAACACTGTTCTAACATGTCTCTCATATGTCTGCTTCTTTTCAACCAACAGTCTCTCCGGGACGACGACCTGAAGGTTCTGGGGAGAGACCATAACACTCAGCATGCTTTACAGACCGTAGCGGAGGCTCGGAGGCTCTGCCCGGGCAGGGTGTCGGTCGACGTCATGTTCGGACGTCCTGGTCAGAGCGTTGCATCCTGGGAGTTGGAATTGGATGAGCTGCTGTCGGTGTGTGATGACCACGTCTCCCTGTACCAGCTGACCCTGGAGAGAGGCATGTCTTTTCTTACAAACACTGATTGTTTTTTTTGTGCGTGAGTATTTAGAAGTTTAATGTACAGATCAGAACATGAGATGGGGAGATGGAGGAGAGGATACATGAGAGGAAGTAGCAGGAACTCTACCACTACACTGCCCCCAGCAGACTGAACCTGCAGATATTCTGAAGAAGGTTTTTACTTGCAGTGACTGTGATATGTGGTTGTTTTTACTTACCGTAGTTGAATTAGTAGCTGTTGTGATTGTAACAGCTAATAGGTATCCAAATGAATATATGCACTGACTGTAAGTCACTCTGGATAAGAGCTTCTGCTGCTAAATGACTCCAATGTAAACATGTCAACTGCAGGCACACAGCTCTTCAGCCAGGTTCAGAAAGGCCAACTGAGCGTGCCCAGTGATGACATCACAGCTGTCATGTATGAATCTGCCAGGAGGATTCTTCAGAATAGAGGCTATCTGCAGTATGAGGTGTCCAACTTTGCAAGAAATGTAAGTTCTACTCTCTCTCTCTGTGTGTGTGAGTCCTTGTGTCTGTCCTACTACTGTGCCATTAGTAGAAATACCTTTAACAGAAAACCTTGCTGTAGAAAACCCTGCAGTAGAAACACCTTTAGGAGAAAACCCTGCAGTAGAAACACCTTTAGGAGAAAACCCTGCAGTAGAAACACCTTTAGGAGAAAACCCTGCAGTAGAAACACCTTTAATACAAAACCCTGCAGTAGAAACACCTTTAGGAGAAAACCCTGCAGTAGAAACACCTTTAGGAGAAAACCCTGCAGTAGAAACACCTTTAGGAGAAAACCCTGCAGTAGAAACACCTTTAGGAGAAAACCCTGCAGTAGAAACACCTTTAGGAGAAAACCCTGCAGTAGAAACACCTTTAGGAGAAAACCCTGCAGTAGAAACACCAGGCTATTCTCTGTGCTGTATTGGTTGTCGTAACTATTGAATATTAATATTACCTGCTACAGTTGGGACACATCTGTAATATACCTTGTGTATTTTATGTTTGTTTTGAAGGGTGCCATCAGCCAACACAATATGAGCTACTGGAAGGCCAGTCAGTACCTTGGAGTGGGCCCTGGTGAGTTAATAGTGCTTTATGAATGCTTTATGAATGCTCTATAAGACCTTTATGAATGCTCTATAACAACTTTATGAATGCTGTATAACACCTTTATGAATGCTCTATAAAGCCTTTATAAGTGGTTGTTTATTTGAAGTGGGACTCTTCTGTCTGCCAGGAGCCCATGGTCGCTTCGTCCCCCATGGAGAGGGGGGTGTATGTCGAGAGGCCCGTACCCAGACTCTGGAGCCTGATGTCTGGGTGAGAGAGGTGCAGCAGAGGGGTCACGGGACTCGACGCAGGATACCCCTCACCCACCTGGGACTGTGAGTCAACTACTTTCCGCTTCAGGCTGTTCACCTGCAGAGTTCACACCGTGCTGCTCGTTAAAGGGATAATCCACTCCAGAATGAAACTAATAATCGATGTTCTATGAGTGGGTAAAATAACTATTTTCACCTTTGATTTTACTTCTAAGTGGTCTGTCTGTACAATCAGAAAATTGTGTTGTGCCACGTAATCGCGATAAGGTTCTCGTCACAGGAAATAAGGAATAACAAACTATCACATTTCATGATGCCTGCTGGACTGTTCCTTTACACTGTACCCTGTCCTGTTTAGCCTCAGCCCAAACTTTATCGCTATTACCAGTTGTTGTCTTAGCTCTCTCTAATAACACCTGTGATTGCTTTATGCCTCTCTCCCATGTCAATATGCCTTGCCTATTGCTGTTTGGGTTAGTTCTTATTATACAATTTCACTGTAGAACCCCAAGTCCCTCTCAAACTGCCTCAAATAGTTCCTTTGTTCCACCCCCCATACACGCCGAGACCGGCTCAATCGGTGCCTCCAGTGATGCTATCTCTTTCATTGTTACCCAACGCTTAGGTTTACCTTAACTGTACTCATATCCTTCCATATCCTTTTCTGTACATAATGCCCTGAATCTTTTCTACAATGCCCGGAGAACTGCCCCCTTTATTCTATGTACCCAATGCACTAGAAGACCAGTTCTTAAAGCCTTTAGTCGTATCCTTATTCTAGTACTCCTCTGTTCCTCTGGTGATGTAGAGGCTAACCCAGGCCCTGCAGCCCCCAGTATCACTCCTACTCCCCAGGAGCTTTCATTTGTTGACTTCTGTAACCGTAAAAGCCTTGGTTTTCTGCACGTAAATATCAGAAGCCTCCTTCCTAAGTTTGAGTTATTCACTGTGTTAGCACACTCCGCCAACCCTGATGTTCTAGCAGTGTCTGAATCCTGGCTTAGGAAGGCCACCAAAAATTCTGAAATTTCCATCCCCAACTATAACATTTTCCGTCTAGATAGAACTGCCAAAGGGGGTGGAGTTGCAATCTACTGTAGAGATAGCCTGCAGAGCTCTATCATACTATCCAGGTCTGTGCCCAAACAGTTTGAGCTTCTACTTCTAAAAATCCACCTTTACAGAAATAAATCTCTCACTGTTGCCGCTTGCTACAGACCCCCCTCAGCCCCCAGCTGTGCCCTGGACACCATATGTGAATTGATTGCCCCCCATCTATCCTCAGAGTTCGTACTGCTTGGTGACCTAAATTGGGAAATGCTTAACACCCCGGCCATCCTACAATCTAAACTAGATGCCCTCAATCTCACACAAATTATCAACGAACCTACCAGGTACAACCCTAAATCCATAAACATGGGTACCCTCATAGATATCATCCTGACTAACTTACCCTCTAAATACACCTCCACTGTCTTCAACCAGGATCTGAGCGATCACTGCCTTATTGCCTGCGTCCGTAATGGGTACGCGGTCAAACGACCACCCCTCATCACTGTCAAACGCTCCCAAAAACACTTCAGCGAGCAGGCCTTCCTAATTGACCTGGCCCAGGTATCCTGGATGGATATAGATCTCATTCCGTCAGTAGAGGATGCCTGGTTGTTCTTTAAAAGTGCTTTCCTCTCAATCTTAAATAAGCATGCCCCATTCAACAAATTCAGAACTAAGAACAGATATAGCCCCTGGTTCTCCTCAGACTTGACTGCCCTTGACCAGCACAAAAACATCCTGTGGCGTACTGCATTAGCATCAAATAGCCCCCGCGATATGCAACTTTTCAGGGAAGTTAGGAACCAATATACACAAGCAGTTAGGAAAGCAAAGGCTAACTTTTTCAAACAGAAATTTGCATCCTGTAGTACTAACTCCAAAAAGTTTTGGGACACTGTAAAGTCCATGGAGAATAAGAGCACTTCCTCCCAGTTGCCCACTGCACTGAGGCTAGGAAACACTATCACCACCGATAAATCTACAATAATCGAGAATTTCAACAAGCATTTTGCTACGACTGGCCATGCTTTCCACCTGGCTACCACTACCCCGGCCACCAGCTCTGCACCCTCCGCTGCAACTTGCCCATGCCCCCCCCCCCCCGCTTCTCCTTCACACAAATCCAGAAAGCTGATGTTCTGAAAGAGCTGCAAAATCTGGACCCCTACAAATCATCTGGGCTAGACAATCTGGACCCTTTCTTTCTAAAACTAGCTGCCGAAATTGTTGCAACCCCTATTACTAGCCTGTTCAACCTCTTTCGTAACGTCTGAGATCCCCAGAGACTGGAAAGCTGCCGCGGTCATCCCCCTCTTCAAAGGGGGTGACACTCTAGATCCAAACTGTTACAGACCCATATCCATCCTGCCCTGCCTTTCGAAAGTTTTTGAAAGCCAAGTTAACAAACAGATCACCGACCATTTCGAATCCCACCGTACCTTCTCCGCTATGCAATCCGGTTTCCGAGCTGGTCATGGGTGCACTTCAGCCACGCTCAAGGTCCTAAACGATATTATAACCGCGATCGATAATAGACAGTACTGTGCAGCCGTCTTCATCGACCTGGCCAAGGCTTTCGACTCTGTCAACCACCGCATTCTTATTGGCAGACTAAATAGCCTTGGTTTCTCAAATGACTGCCTCGCCTGGTTCACCAACTACTTCTCAGATAGAGTTCAATGTGTCAAATCGGAGGGCCTGTTGTCTGGACCTATGGCAGTCTCTATGGGGGTGCCACAGGGTTCAATTCTTGGGTCGACTCTTTTCTCTGTGTATATCAATGATGTCGCTCTTGCTGCTGGTGACTCTCAGATCCACCTCTACGCAGACGACACCATTTTGTATACATCTGGCCCTTCATTGGACACTGTGTTAACAAACCTCCAAACGAGCTTCAATGCCATACAACACTCCTTCAGTAGCCTCCAACTGCTCTTAAACACTAGTAAAACTAAATGCATGCTCTTCAACCGAACGCTGCTTGCACCCGCCCACCCGACTAGAATCACTACTCTCAACGGGTCTGACCTAGAGTATGTGGACAACTACAAATACCTAGGTGTCTGGTTAGACTGTAAACTCTCCTTCCAGACTCACATTAAGAATTTCCAATCCAAAGTTAAATCTAGAATCGGTTTCCTATTTCGCAACAAAGCCTCCTTCACTCATGCTGCCAAACATGCCCTCGTAAAACTGACTATCCTACCGATCCTTGACTTCGGCGATGTCATTTACAAAATAGCCTCCAACACTCTACTCAGCAAATAAATAAAAAAACAAAGCCCCATATACTACCCACCACTGTGACCTGTACGCTATTGTTGGCTGGTCCTCACTACATATTCGTTGGCAAACCCACTGGCTCCAGGCCATCTATAAATCACTGCTAGGCAAATCCCCGCCTTATCTTAGCTCATTGGTCACCATAGCAACACCCACCCGTAGTATGCGCTCCAGCAGGTATATCTCACTGGTCATCCCCAAAGCCAACACCTCCTTTGGCCGCCATTCCTTCCAGTTCTCTGCTGCCAATGACTGGAACAAATTGCAAAAATCTCTGAAGCTGGAGACTCTTATCTCCCTCACTAACTTTAAGCATCAGTTGTCAGAGCACCTTACCGATCACTGCACCTGTACACAGCCCATCTGAAATTAGCCCGCCCAACTACCTCATCCCTATATTGTTATTTATTTTGCTCATTTGTACCCCAGTATCTCTATTTGCACATCATCTCTTGCACATCTATCATTCCAGTGTTAATACTAATTGTAATTATTTTGCACTATAGCCTATTTATTGCCTTACCTCCATAACTTGCTACATTTGCACACACTGTATATATATCTTTCTGTTGTATTTTTGACTTTATGTTTTGTTTTACCCCATATGTAACTCTGTGTTGTTGTTTTTATCGCACTGCTTTGCTTTATCTTGGCCAGGTCGCAGTTGTAAATGAGAACTTGTTCTCAACTGGCTTACCTGGTTAAATAAAGGTGAAATAAAATAAAATAAAATAACGCTGTAAGTCCCATATCAGCCAATAGACGGTATGAACATACTGGTTGACTGTGAGTCAGCTGATCTACTGTCTGCTTCAGACTGTTCACCTGCAGAGTTCATACGGTGCTGCACGTTAATGGTCTACTTTCAATAAAACTGTTCACCTGCAGAGTTCATACGGTGCTGCACGTTAATAGCATACTTCCAACAATACTCCAGACTCACTCATAGCATGGGATTTGTACATCAAGCGCTCACGCTACAGAAACAGGAAATCCTGCCCTATGGGCCATTCTGGCTTGGACAAGGCTTCCTTACTCACAGCATGGCAGATATACTGTAGCAACTTGTTCACTTTATTATTCTGATTGCAGATTGGAGGAAGTGTTGGTCATGGGACTGCGTTTGATTGACGGCATCACTCACCAGGTAATCTTGGTTAACCCAGAACATTGACGGCATCACTCACCAGGTAATCTTGGTTAACCCAGAACATTGACGGCATCACTCACCAGGTAATCTTGGTTAACCCAGAACATTGACAGCATCACTCACCAGGTAATCCTGGTTATCCCAGAACAAAAGTCTCACATCATTTGGTCAGATTATGTTTACATAGTCTGTCCACATACTAAACAGTATATACACACAGTAGATGCTATAACAAGAGGATGTTTCAATTGTTTCTAGATTCATTGTTTGTGTCAATAGGGTCCATCATCAATGGACAAAAACATGTTCTAACCGTACGTTGTGTTCAGTATGTTGCACACCACTATTCTGATTCACCTTTCTTTCTGTCTACATCTGGGTTTATGTTTCTGATTCATGGTATTTCTGCGGCAGCATTGGCAGTTGTTCAGTCCCAGGGCAGATCTACACCAGATTCTCAGCTCATCCTCTGAAGTACAAGACCTTCAACAGACAGGCCTTCTAATCCTGGATGACAGGTAACCCAGACTTTCAACAGACAGGCCTTCTAATCCTGGATGACAGGTAACCCAGACCTTCAACAGACAGGCCTTCTAATCCTGGATGACAGGTAACCCAGACTTTCAACAGACAGGCCTTCTAATCCTGGATGACAGGTAACCCAGACCTTCAACAGACAGGCCTTCTAATCCTGGATGACAGGTAACCCAGACCTTCAACAGACTGGCCTTCTAATCCTGGATGACAGGTAACACAGACCTTCAACAGATAGGCCTTCTAATCCTGGATGACAGGTAACACATACCTTCAACAGACAGGCCTTCTAATCCTGGATGACAGGTAACCAATGGTAACCTGTTTATCCTGTTCTGTCATACAGTGAGGGGAAAAAGTATTTGATCCCCTGCTGATTTTGTATGTTTGCCCACTGACAAAGACATGATCAGTCTATAACTTTTAATGGTAGGTTTATTTGAACAGTGAGAGACAGAATAACAACAACAAAAAATCCAGAAAAACGCATGTCAAAAATGTTATAAATTGATTTGCATTTTAATGAGGGAAATAAGTATTTGACCCCTCTCAATCAGAAAGATTTCTGGCTCCCAGGTGTCTGTTATACAGGTAACGAGCTGAGATTAGGAGTGCTCCTAATCTCAGTTTGATACCTGTATAAAAGACACCTCAAAAAGCCTCGAAACCTTAATGACTTTGAGAAGATCTGCAAAGAGGAGTGGAACAAAATCCCTCCTGAGATGTGTGCAAACCTTGTGGCCAACTACAAGAAACGTCTGACCTCTGTGATCGCCAACAAGGGTTTTGCCACCAAGTACTAAGTCATGTTTTGCAGAGGGATCAAATACTTTTTTCCCTCACTGTATTTACTTTTTATTATATTATTGAAGGAGCTCAGAAAATTCTCTCTTCAGTTTATTGGGAAGTATACAATAGTTGGTCCCACTTTAAACAAACTACAATTCATAAAGCCTTTTTTATAGAGCATTCACAAAGAGTTTGAGGGCTTCATTAAGAATGATAACTTGTGGTCTGTTTAAAGTGGGACCCAGTGGTTGTATCTCCATGTCTGTTTGAGTCTCTAAGTAACACAGGGTTTCCCCCCCCCACTATACAGCTGATTCAAATAACCAACTCATCATCAAGCTTTGATTATTTGAATCAGCTGTGTAGTGCTAGGGCACAAACCAAAACGTGCACCCCTTGGGGTCCCCAGGACAGAGTTTGGGAAACACTGACAACCCCTTTTTGTCTTCTGTGTAGGGGTCTGCGGTGCTCGTGGCAGGGTCTGGCCTTAATGGACAGCATGTTACCCACCCTGCTACTGGAGCTGGAGGCCCACATCACCCAGGGGCTCCAGCAGCAGGCCAGGGTGTCTGGAGGCCCACATCACCCAGGGGCTCCAGCAGCAGGCCAGGGTGTCTGGAGACCCACATCACCCAGGGGCTCCAGCAGCAGGCCAGGGTGTCCAGCGTAGGAGACCAGAGAGATGGAGGACGGAGAGTCTCCAAGCCTGGCTGACAGAGAGGGGGGAGAGAGAGAGATCCTGGAGAGTTACCTGGAAGCCACTATGAGACTGGAGCGTATTGTTGAAGCCTGGAGACAGCACCACAACACTGTAGACTGGAGCGTATTGTTGAAGCCTGGAGACAGCACCACAACACTGTAGACTGGAGTGTATTGTTGAAGCCTGGAGACAGCACCACAACACTGTAGACTGGAGTGTATTGTTGAAGCCTGGAGACAGCACCACAACACTGTAGACTGGAGCGTATTGTTGAAGCCTGGAGACAGCACCACAACACTGTAGACTGGAGCGTATTGTTGAAGCCTGGAGACAGCACCACAACACTGTAGACTGGAGCGTATTGTTGAAGCCTGAAGACAGCACCACAACACTGTAGACTGGAGCGTATTGTTGAAGCCTGAAGACAGCACCACAACACTGTAGACTGGAGCGTATTGTTGAAGCCTGAAGACAGTACCACAACATAGGGAAAAGGATGCCATTTGGAATGCACACAATATCAGCTGTGTCTATGTAGTGTGGGTTGCCGTCTCTCCATGTCTCCGTCTCTCCATGTCTCCGTCTCTGTCTCTCCATATCTCCGTCTCTCCATGTCTCCGTCTCTCCATGTCTCCGTCTCTCCATGTCTCTGTCTCTCACCATGTCTCCCGTCTCTTCTCCATGTCTCCTGTCTCCTCCAGTAAGCTCTAGAACACGTTTCGCCCACCACTTAGCTGTCACCACCCACAAGTTTTGTGCTGTTGTTAGGGGTTGCGTGCTCGGGAGGTCTGGCCTAATGACAGCATGCACCCCCCATTTCTCAAGCCATCCCGTCTCCTCGTTCCCACTCGCCGCTCGTTCCCATCCGCTCCATCGTCCTCAGTGTCCAGCGTCCTCCGTCCGCCTCATGTCCAGCCCGCATCGTTCCCATGTCCCAGTCTTGTCTGCGCCCCAACTGTACTCAGCTTGTTGCCTGTCGCCTCCAGTCTCGTCTCTATGTTTGTAGCTCACATGCGCTCCATGTCCGTCTTATGTCGCCTCATGTCCCCCTCCTGTCTACCGTCATCTGCTTCCATGTTCGCCCCATTCTCGTCTCTCCTGTCTGCCTCCAGTCTCCGTCTCTATGTCTCTGACTCTCCATCCTGCTCCAGGCTCCAGCGTTCGAGTCCGCTCCAGTCTCTGCTCGGCCATGTCGTCTGGCCCCAATCTCGTCTCTGCATGCCGTTCTCTCATGTGCCGCTCTCCATGTCCTGGTCTCTCCAATGCTCGCTCCTCGTAGCGATGTCTTCCTAGTCCTTCTCCATGTCTGCGTCTACCATGGTTCGCTCCCATTCCTGTCTACTGTCGTTCTGTGAATGCTCTGTCTCTCCATGTTCCGTCTCGCCATGTTGCCGTCCATGCTCGCCCACCGTCTGCGTCATGTCTCTGCTCTCCATGTCTCCCCATGTCTCGTCTCTATGTCCTGGATCTCTCCATATCTTCGGCTCATGTTCCTGTCTACATGTCTTCCCATGTCTCGTCTCTTCATGTCTCCATTCTCTGTCTCTCCATGTCTCTTCTCCATGTCTCTGTCTCTCCATGTCTCGTCTCTCCATGTCTCCGTCTCTCTCATGTCTCTGTCTCTCCATGTCTCCGTCTCTCCATGTCTCCGTCTCTCCATGTCTGTCTCTCAGTCTCGTCTCTCCATGTCTCCGTCTCTGTCTCTCCATGTCTCGTCTCTCCATGTCTCGTCTCTCCATGTCTCTGTCTCTCCATGTCTCCGTCTCTCCATGTCTCTGTCTCTCCATGTCTCTCGTCTCTCCATGTCTCTGTCTCTCCATGTCTCCGTCCCGTCTCTCCATGTCTCTCCGTCTCTCCATGTCTCCGTCTCAGTCTCGTCTCTCCATTCTCCGTCTCTCCATGTCTCTGTCTCTCCAGTCTCTGTCTCTCCATGTCTCTGTCTCTCCATGTCTCTGTCTCTCCATGTCCTCTCGTCTCTCTCCATGTCTCGTCTCTCCATGTCTCCGTCTCTCCATGTCTCTGTCTCTCCATGTCTCTGTCTCTCCATGTCTCGCATCTCTCCATGTCTCTGTCTCTCCATGTCCTCTGTCTCGTCTCTCCATGTCTCCGTCTCTCTCATGTCTCGTCTCCCATGTCCGTCTCTCCAGTCGTCTCTGTCTCTCCATGTCTTCCGTCTCTCCCATGTCTCGTCTCTCCATGTCTCCTCGTCTCTGTCTCTCCATTCTCTGTCTCTCAGCCGTCCTCCATGTCTCCGTCTCTCCATGTCTCCGTCCTCCGTCTCTCCATGTCTCTGTCTCTCCATCATGTCTCTGCTTCTCCATGTCTCGTCTCCATGTCTCGTCTCTCCATGTCCTCTGTCTCTCCATGTCTCCGTCTCTCCATGTCTCCGTCTCTCCATGTCTCCGTCTCTCCATTCTCCGTCCCCATGTCCGTCTCTCCATGTCTCCGTCTCTCCATGTCTGTCTCCTGTCTCTCTCAATGTCCTCTGTCTTCTCCATGTCTCCGTCTCTCCATGTTCCTTCTCTCCATGTCCGTCTCCTGTCCTCTCCCATTGTCTCTCGTCTCTCCATGTCTCCGTTCTCTGTCTCTCCATGTCTCTTCCGTCTCATGCTCCTCCCATGTCTCCGTCTCTCCATGTCTCGTCTCTCCATCTCGTCTCTCGTCTCTCTCTCCATGTCTCCGTCTCTCCATGTCTCTTCGTCTCTCCGGTCTCGTCTCTCCATGTCGTCTCTGTCTCTCCATGTCTCTGTCTCTCCATGTCTCGTTCCTCCATCTCGTCCCCTGTCTGTCTCTCCATCTCGTCCCTCTCCGTCTCCCGTCCATGTCTCTCATTCCGTCTCTCCATGTCTCCGTCTCTCCATGTCTCTGTCTCTCCATGTCTCCGTCTCTCCATGTCTCCGTCTCTCCATGTCTCTGTCTCTCCATGTCTCCGTCTCGTCTCCATTCTCTCCATTCTCTGTCTCTCCATCGTCTCTGTCTCCCATGTCTCCGTCTCTCCATGTCCGTCTCTGTCCTCTCCATGTTCTCGTCTCTCTTCTCATGTGTCTCATGTCCTTCTCCATTGTCTCCTGTCTCTTCCATGTCTCTCTCTCCATGTCTCCATGTCTCTCTCATGTCTCGTCTCTCCATGCTCTCTCTTCTCTCCATGTCTCGTCTCTCATTCTCTGTCCTCCTCCATGTCTCCGTCTCTCCATGTCTCGTCTCTCCATTCTCTCGTCTCTTCTCCATGTCTCTGTCTCTCCATGTCTCGTCTAGTCTGCTTCCATGTCTCGTCTGCTCATCCGTTCCATGTCTCTGTCTCTCTCATGTCTCTGTCCTCTCCATGTCTCCGTCTGTCCCTCTTCCATGTCTCTGTCTCTCCATGTCTCCGTCTCTCCGTTCCGTCTCTCCATGTCTCGTCTCTCCATGTCTCCGTCTCTCCATGTCTCTGTCTCTCCATGTCTCCGTCTCTCCATGTCTCTGTCTCTCCATGTCTCTGTCTCTCCATGTCTCTGTCTCTCCATGTCTCTGTCTCTCCATGTCTCTGTCTCTCCATGTCTCCGTCTCTCCATGTCTCCGTCTCTCCATGTCTCCTCGTCTCCATTCCGTCTCCGTCTCGTCTCTCCATGTCTCCTGTCTCTCCATGTCTCTGTCTCTCCATGTCTCCTGTCTCTGTCTCTCATGTCTCTGTCCTCTCCATGTCTCCGTCTCCTGTCTCCGTCTCTCCATGTCTCCGTCTCTCCATGTCTCCGTCTCTCCATGTCTCGTCTCTCCATGTCTCTGTGTCTCGTCTCCCATGTCTCCGTCTCTCCATGTCTCCGTCTCTCCTGTCTCTCTGTCTCTCCATGTCTCTGTCTCTCCATGTCTCCGTCTCTCCATGTTCCGTCTCTCCAGTCTCGTCTCTCCATGTCTCGTCTCTCCATGTCTCTCTCTCCATGTCTCGTCTCTCCATGTCTCCGTCTCTTCTCTCCATGTCTCTTCTCTCTCTCTGTCTCTCGTCTCTCCATGTCTCGTCTCTCCATGTCTCTGTCTCTCCATGTCTCTGTCTCTCCATGTCTCTGTCTCTCCATGTCTCTCCGTCTCTCCTTCTCATGTCTCCTCCTCCGTTCTCCGTCCTCTCCATGTCTCTCCGTCTCTCCAGTCTCTGTCTCTCCATGTCCGTCTCGTCTCGTCTCTCCATGTCTCTGTCTCTCCATGTCTGTCTCCCTTGTCTCTCTCCATGTCTCTGCTCTCTCCATGTCTCCTGTCTCTCCATGTCTCCGTCTCTGTCCTCTCTCATTCTCCGTCTCTCTCCATGTCTCGTCTCTCCATGTCTCCGTCTCTCCATGTTCTCTCTCATGTCCGTCTCCATGTCTCCGTCTCTCCATGTCTCGCTCCGTGCTGCTCCCATGTCTCTGTCTCTCCATGTCTCCGTCTCCATGTCTCGTCTCTCCATGCCGTCTCTCCATGTCTCTCTCTCCATGTCTCGTTCCTCTCCATGTCTCGTCTCTCCATGTCTCCGTCTCTCCATGTCTCTCTGTCTCTCCATGCTGCTCTCTCTCCATGTCTCGTTCTCCATGTCTCTGTCTCTCCATGTCTCTGTCTCTCCATTCTCTGTCTCTCCATGTCTGTCTCTCCATGTCTCCGTCTCTCCATGTCTCCAGTCTCTCCATGTCTCGTCTCTCCATGTCTCTGTTCTCTCCATGTCTCCGTATCTCCATGTCTCCGTCTCATCCTGTCTCCTGTCTCTGTCTCTCCATTCTCGTGTTCTCTCTCCATGTCTCTGTCTCTCCATGTCTCCGTCTCTCCGCTGTCTCCATGTCTCGTCCTCCAGTCTCTGTCTCTCCATGTCTCTGTCTCTCCATGTCTTCTCTCTCCGTCTGTCCTCCATGTCCTCTCTCCGTCTCTCTCTCCATGTCTCCGTCTCTCCATGTCTCCTGTCTTCTCCATGTCTCCGTCATCTCCATGTCTCCATCTTGCTCCTGTTCGTCTCTCCATGTCTCTGCTCCAGCTCTGTTCTCCATGTCTCCGTCTCTGCTCCTGTCTCCCATGTCTCCTGTCTCCTCCATGTCTCTGTCTCTCCATGTCTCCGTCTCTCCATGTCTCCGTCTCTCCATTCTCTGTCTCTCCTGTCCTCCGTATCTCCAGTCCTCTCCTCCGTCTCTCCAGTTGTCTCTCTGTCTCTCCATCCTGCTTCTCCATGTTCTCTCCGTTCTCTTCCATGTCTCCGTCTCTTCCATGTCTCCGTCCCATGTCTCCGTCTCTCTGTCTCTCTCTCCATGTCTCCGTATCTCCATGTCTCCTCCCGTCCTCTCTCATGTCTCGTCTCTCCATGTCTCTGTCTCTCCATGTCTCCGTCTCTCCATGTCTCCGTCTCTCCATGTCTCTCTCTCCATGTCTCTTCCTGTCTCTTCCATGTCTCTCTCCCGTCTCTCCATGTCTCGTCTCTCCATGTCTCCATCTCTCCATGTCTCTGTCTCCAGTCTCTGTCTCCCGTCTCTCCATTTCTCGTCTCTCCATGTTCCGTCTCCTGTCTCTGTCTCTCCATAGTCTCGTCTCTCCATGTCTCCGTCTTCTCCATGTCTCCTCTCTCCATGTCTCTGTCTCTCCATGTCTCATCCTGTCTCCTCCATGTCTCCTGTCTCTCCATGTCTGTCTCTCCATGTCTCCGTCTCTCCATGTCTCCGTCTCTCCATGTCTCCGTCTCTCCATGTCTCTGTCTCTCCATGTCTCTGTCTCTCCATGTCTCCGTCTCTCCATGTCTCCGTCTCTCCATGTCTCTGTCTCTCCATGTCTCCGTCTCTCCATGTCTCTGTCTCTCCATGTCTCTGTCTCTCCATGTCTCCGTCTCTGTCTCTCCATATCTCCGTCTCTCCATATCTCTGTCTCTCCATCTCGTCTCCCGTCTCTCTCTCCATGTTCTCTCTCCATGTCCGTCTCTCCATATCTCTCGTCTCCCCATGTCCTCTGTCTCTCCATGTCTCCATGTCTCTCTCCATCTGTCTTCCTGTCTCTGTCTCCATGTTGTCTCCAGTCTCTTCTGTCTCTCCATATCTCTGTCTCTCCAATGTTCTCCAGTCTCTCCTCCATGTCTCTGTCTCTCCATGTCTCTGTCTCTCCATGTCTCTGTCTCTCCATATCTCTCTGTCTCTCCATGTGTTCTGTCTCTCCTCCATGTCTCTGTCTCTCCATGTCTCTGTCTCTCCATGGCTCCTGCTCGTCTCTCCATGTCTCTGTCTCTCCATTCCTCCGTGCTTCTCCATGTCTCTGTCTCTCCATTGTCTCCATGTCTCTCTCCATGTCCTCTCTCCATGTCTCCGTCTCCATGTCTCTGTCTCTCCATGTCTCCGTATCTCCATGTCTCCGTCTCTCCTGTCTCTGTCTCTCCATGTCTCCGTCTCTCATGTCTCCTCTCTGTCTGTCCTCCATGTCTCCGTCTCTCTCCTTCTCATGCTCCTCTCTCCATGTCTCTTCCATGTCTCTGTCTCTCCATGTCTCCATGTAAGGACATTAATGTAATTTGATGTAGCTATCATTTTAAATGGAGCATGTGGGAATTAGATCTCTCTGCTTCTCTGCCTATTACTCCAAACTCATGTTTTCCACTTTTGTGTTTCTCTGACGATTTCAAGGCCCTTTGTTTACCTGTATAGAGAAGGAGAGAAGGCGGCCATTATAAAAAGAGTCCTTTGTGAAATTCATCGAGTCCAGGGTCTTTTCAGCTCTTCATGTGAAGCCAGATCACGTGCTGTATAGTGCAGTGTAAGTCGGTCACATATGGCACCCTATTCCCTATGTAGTGCACTACTTTTGACCAGGGCCCATAGGGTTCTGGTTTAAAGTAGTGCACTATGTAGGGAATAGGGTGCCATTTAGGAGCCCTCCTTGGTATCGTTATGCCTATGTTAGTGTTGTTTTGCTGCTCTGTTCTTCAGAGATATTTGTATGAATGATTAGCAGTAATGTGAGTGGATGTTTAACAGTACTGACAGTGCTGGGTAATGTTCACCACTCCTACAAGGTGCTGCTGAGTTTTTGCATTTCAACAGCTAAGGCACATGTGGAGCATCTGCACGTGCGGTCAAATCTGGAGGCTGTTGACAAGGACCCAATGAATACAAGTGAGTCGTTCATTGATGCGGCTCTATGACCCAATGTACCAAGCAGACTCATAGAATGATACATTCTATATGAAGAATAGTATTGAACCACAGCCTTTTAATTGCATCAATAATTGAAGAGTTAATTTCCAAAACACTATAGCCACCAAATTTTCACATTTGTGTTTTTTCATCAGAAATGATTGCTTATGGGTGGGTACCTTCATGTGTGTAAAATATTCTTGTTCTCATATTTTTTTTAATTCATAGATTTTAGATGTATATTAAAACGTTTTTTATGCTAAACACTATACATTGTTTAGCTGGAATGTTATTACATTTACATTTTAGTCATTTAGCAGACGCTCTTATCCAGAGCGACTTACAGTTAGCGCATACATTATTTTATCGAACCCACAACCCTGGCGTTGCAAACGCCATGCTCTACCAACTGAGCTACATCCCCTGCCGGCCATTCCCTCCCCTACCCTGGACGACGCTGGGCCAATTGTGCGCCGCCCCATGGGTCTCCCGGTCGTTATGTTCCTATCCTGTATATTTGACTGATATGTGGTTGTCTCACCATATTTTAAGATTTAATGCACTTACTGTAAGCTGCACTGGATAAGAGCATTTGCTAAATGACTACGATTTGAAATGTAAATGTTTTACATACAGATCTCATATTACTGTATTGAATAATTGTTTACTTTTTCTTTCTTTTTGATATCACAAATGTATCATTTTTTTCAATTCTTTTAATATATAAAAAAGTTATTTGTTACATTTGACTGTGTAAAACTTAAAGTACTACTTATTTCTCTGAGAGTGAGGCGGATATATAGAATTTGTAGAGAGAAAAAACATGATTATTTGTTTCTGAAATGAAACAGGTGATTTTAAACTAAACACGTCTGTCATTGAACAATGGCATGAGTGATTAGATAGTGAAAAAACAAACACATTTCTTTAAACAATAAAAGCTAATTTACCAACATTTCTGAAAATGGATATATAGCGTTTTGGAATGAAACTCTTCAATTACCACGTCACAGTGTTTGAGTGTTCCGATGAGTTCTTTTGATAAACAATCTGTTTATTTTTATTAGTTTTTTATAATTAAAGGAAATTCAATGTGGTGAACCTTTGCTTTAGACAAGGGCACGACTGTAAGCTCTATCATAAAATAAATTAATAGAATCATGTTTTAGAATAATATGTCTTCTGAAATATATGTCTTGCCATGGATGTAGCCTAAGTCTGCAGGGCGTTGTGCTCTCTCTCTTTCTCTCTCTCAATGTTTTCACATTCAGAGTTAATGGTTTTGTCTACTTGCCCCAAAAGGAATTATATGCAGTTTGTCTGTCACAAGGGAGACTTTCGGCTCTACATTGGAACTGCAGTATTCACAGTTAACGACATGGTACCCACAAGTATTTAATGAGTGACGGTTAATATTTGATCATGTTTCCCTTAGAACTACTCCTGTATGAACTCACATTTTGGTACGTCCTGTCCATGGTGCTGAAACGGAGAGGATGGAAAATATCACATTCACATTTCCCCATGGAAATACTGTAGGCCTGTTTATTTCAATATTTGGTAATCAACTTAATAACCCTGGCATTTATAATTATGCCGACCTATAAAAGCACTCCCACTTCCGTGCTGATACTATGGCTATGCGTAATTGTGTAAATTCTATGGTTAATTGAACACGATTAAGTGACGTCATTAAGAGCGTTTCATTGCAATAGAAAGCTCTGGATTGTGTGGGTGGGGGGTGGCGCGCATTGCATTCACTCGGAAATGCTCCACACTCAAAGCATTGCCTTGAGCTTCTAACAGAAAGTAGAGAACTGACGTGCCCACCGGAGAGATGTTATAGAACATAGCACCCGGCAGGCTTTTACCACCCACATACTTTCCCTCTGAATCTGTCCATAAATGGTAATCCTACGTATTTGATATGAAGCTTTGTAGCTCAGCTGATAGAGCATGGCGCTTGCAACGCCAGGGTAGTGGGTTCGATAAGTTAAATGTATGCAGCATGACTATAAGTCGCTTTGGATAAAAGTGTCTGCTAAATGGAATATATTTAACCAATTCCTTTACAGAGTAAATTGTTTGATATCAATTACTTGTGTAAAATTGTCTATGATAGTTGTTTTTTTCCTACTAACTCAGTTGAATGTCGCTCTGGGCGTCTGCAAATTGACTAGTGTAAAATGATAGGCTAACTAAAATATCACAACAAAACTCATATCAATATGATAATATATTTTGTATTTATTTCACAGTACACAAAGAAAATAACATTTACATAGTTGGTTCAACTGGTCCAGCCAGTTGCCTAAAGCAGAGTATAACTCTTGACATAATGGTTATATATTGTAATACTACAATATGTTTATTGTACTGAGAAGTCCCTCAATTCATTGAATTTGACACTTCTCTATGGGTTTGCTCCGTTTAGTGGGACTGGGGCCCATTACCCGCTGTAGGTCGCTGTTAAAGCTGGGGCGGCGGGCCAGTGGGTACACCGCACCGCATGGCGCGTTTGGAACCAACGCACGGCTACGTCTGCCACAACGGCTTCTGCTGGTGCTCAGCGCCTGGTAGGTACGGATGGAGATCTCGCAGTGCTGAGACGGACGCGTCTCGGTAGGGAGACCGCCTAGCTTGACGAGGGCTTCGAACATCTCTTCTAGACTGGTACTGTCTTTGGCTGATGTCTCGAAGAGCGCCGTGTCCTCTCCAAGAGCTTGGAACATCTCCGGACGACCGATGACCCTCTCCGCCTCTAAGTCCACTTTGTTGCCGCATATCACTATGGGAACCCGGGCATTCTCTTTAAGCTTCATCAGCTTGGTCTTGGCTGCTATTATCTCTTTGCGCAGTGTGTACACCTCTTTGAAGGAGTCTCTGTCATCCACACTGAACACCAGGAGAAATATGTCACCTGTTGGAGGGAAGAGTACAGATTTAGTGATTTGATTAAATGCAAAAAAAACACCCACATTAATTTTCCAACTCAATGTATTAGATCAAGGCTATGCAAAGGCAAATGCAATGTACACAAAACACTTTTCATTGTCCAACTCAATGCATTAGATCTATACAAAGTCAATAGCCTATACACTCATAACCTACACACCTGTCAGTATGGACAGCCTCCGTCTAGCGGGGAAGTCTCTCTCCTTCGCTGCGTCCAGGATATCAATCTGATAGGTTTCTCCTCGGATCTGGTACAACTTCCTGTGGAAGTCTTCTGCCGTCGGCTCGTACTGTTCCTCGAACCCGTCGTTCAGGAACCGCCTGAGAATGTTCGTCTTGCCCACTCTGGGCGCGCCGAGGACTACAACGCGGCGGCAGTTACGGGGCTTGGTGAGGCGCAGCTCCTCCAGTGGCGCGGTGCATGGAGTTTGGTCCGGGAGCTTCAACGTCGCTAGCGGGTCGAAGGATCTTCTTTTGGGGAACCTTTCCGAGGATGTAGCGCGAGTGGTCCCCGTGCTGGAAGACCGGACCACCCTCGTCTTCTTGTTGGTGTGTCTCCAGTGCTCAGTGACCGTTTTAAATATCCCTTTACTCGCCTTGGTCATGTTTGAGACCTTTTTGTATTGCATGAGGATTGTAGGTGATTGACAGTTGACACCTGTGACTTTAACATTGGGAAGCTGGTTGGAAATCGTTTGTTGTTCAAAATTATCGTCCATGTTGAGCTGGGTCGGTGGATGTCCGGCAGTGGCACAAGAGCTGAACGTGTCGGCGGTGCCATCAACGGAAAGGTAGACTACTTTCTCTGTTGTGTTCACCTCCATGTTCCTTCCAGGCACGGGGATCATCCGGAATGTCTGTTGTTACAGTTATGTTACACCTGTTGCTTCCCCATGTGTTGTGTTGCATTGGAGTGTGCAGAGAGGAGCGTCGGCGCGGGTATTTATAGTGTCTGGACGGACAGATTGGTTGCTACGTCATTAGATAGAATCTTCACACCGCATCAACACTCCGCTCCTTTTATAGTAGTATCATAGAAATAACTGTGTTCATATGATATCAGTCAGGTGAAGGCTATAGCCTTCCAATCCTTTATTAAATGTAATTAATACAATGCAATAACTTTCAGGGCTTCTGCACATGTCAGGGAAGCCCATGACAAAGGAGGATGGAGCACAGCTAGGGATGGAGCACAGTTAGAGATGGAGCACAGTTAGAGATGGAGCACAGTTAGTGATGGATCACAGCTAGAGATGGAAGCAGTGCTGAAAATAAGGATCTGAGCAGTGCTGGACAGAGACACATTGATCCTACATTGGAAGGAAGAACTTGACTGAACTACAACAGCAATGTTTCTTGACTACATGTAATGGTTGTAAAAAATAAAATAACATGTACCTTTATCAGGGAAAAGGTTATAAAATCATCAAAGAAAAATTAAAAATAATAATGGTGATGAAATGGGGTATAATTAGGGATATATGGGGTATAATTAGAGATTAGATTAGAGCTAGCTACTTGCTATTAGCCACCGTTAGCATCTTCACCATTGTCTGTGGCCTGCACTACCCACCAGCCAGCTCTAGCTCTGGCCTGGACAATTTGTCAGCCAGTCTGCACAGCGTGCTATCGACCCAGAGCATATCGGATTTTCTGCCGGAATCACTGGACCCTAGCGCCGGATCATCGCAACCAGCTAGCTGCAACCAAATGGCTGTTGTCGTTGGCTAATTACCATTGCCCCTTAGCAAGCACCAGTTAGCCTTGAGCTAGCCTCGAGCCAGGCCCACATCCCAGCTACCTCTCTGTCAACCGGACGGGACCTCCTAGTGTTGACACGGAGCCCCGCCGATCCAACACGACTGGTTTGCCGACTAAATCGTCTGATGTGGTTTCAACAGGCTTCCCGTTACGACGTCAACCACGAAGATCCATCTGCTAGCCCCAGCCCGCTAGCACACGCAAGCCGGGCCTCTTGCTCGCCAGTGCTGTAGCAACCCCCAAACTACCTCCGAACTCTCCTATTGCGGTTCACCGGACCTTATGATAACTCAGCTATACAGCTGATGCCTGCTGGACTGTTCCTTTATACGGTACAGCATCCTGTTTATGTTTAGCCTCAGCCCAAACTTTGTCGCCATTACCAGCAGTTGTCTTAGCTCTCTCGAATAACACCTGTGATTGCTTTATGCCTCTCTCCCATGTCAATATGCCTTGCTTATTGCTGTTTTGGTTATTTCTTATTGTACTATTTCACTGTAGAGCCCCCAGCCCAGCTCAACCTGCCTTAGACAGCTCCTTTGTCCCACCCCCCATACACGCGGAGACCGACTCAATCGGTGCCTCCAGTGATGCTATCTCTTTCATCGTTACCCAACGCTTAGGTTTACCTCCACTGTACTCATATCCTTCCATATCCTTGTCTGTACATAATGCCCTGAATCTATTCTACAATGCCCGGAAATCTGCCCCTTTTTTTCTCTGTACCCAACGCACTAGAAGACCAGTTCTTAAAGCCTATAGCCATATCCTTATTCTACTCCTCCTCAGTTCCTCTGGTGATGTAGAGGTTAACCCAGGCCCTGTAGCCCCCAGTATCACTCCTACTCCCCAGGCGTTATCATTTGTTGACTTCTGTAACCGTAAAAGCCTTGGTTTCTTGCACGTTAACATCAGAAGCCTCCTCCCTAAGTTTGAGTTATTCACTGCGTTAGCACACTCCGCCAACCCTGATGTTCTAGCAGTCTGAATCCTGGCTTAGGAAGGCCACCAAAAATTCAGAAATGTCCATCCCCAACTACAACATTTTCCGTCTCGATAGAACTGCCAAAGGGGGTGGGGTTGCAATCTACTGTAGAGATAGCCTGCAGAGCTCTATCATACTATCCAGGTCTGTGCCCAAACAGTTTGAGCTTCTACTTCTAAAAATCCACCTTTCCAGAAATAAGTCTCTCACTGTTGCTGCTTGCTACAGACCCCCCTCAGCCCCGAACTGTGCCCTGGACACCAAATGTGAACTGATTGCCCCCCATCTATCCTCAGAGTTTGTACTGCTTGGTGACCTAAACTGGGATATGCTTAACACCCCGGCCAACCTACAATCTAAACTAGATGCCCTCAATCTCACACAAATGATCAACGAACCTACCAGGTACAACCCAAAATCTGTAAACATGGGCACCCTCATAGATATCATCCTGACAAATTTGCCCTCTAAATACACCTCCGCTGTCTTCAACCAGGATCTCAGCTTTCACTGCCTTATTGCCTGCGTCCGTAATGGGTCCGCGGTCAAACGACCACCCCTCATCACTGTCAAACGCTCCCTAAAACACTTTAGCGAGCAGGCCTTTCTAATTGACCTGGCCCGGGTATCCTGGATGGATATTGACCTCATTCCGTCAGTAGAGGCCGCCTGGTTGTTCTTTAAAAGTGCTTTCCTCTCAATCTTAAATAAGCATGCCCCATTCAACAAATTCAGAACTAAGAACAGATATAGCCCCTGGTTCTCCTCAGACTTGACTGCCCTTGACCAGCACAAAAACATCCTGTGGCGTACTGCAATAGCATCGAACAGCCCCCGCGAAATGCAACTTTTCAGGGAAGTCAGGAACCAATATACACAATCAGTTAGGAAAGCAAAGGCTAGCTTTGTCAAACAGAAATTTGCATCCTGTAGCACTAACTCCCAAAAGTTTTGGGACACTAAAGTCCATGGAGAATAAGAGCACCTCCTCCCAACTGCCCACTGCAATGACGCTAGGAAACACTGTCACCACCGATAAATCTACAATAATCGAGAATTTCAACAAGCATTTTGCTACGGCTGGCCATGCTTTCCACCTGGCTACCACTACCCCGGCCACCAGCTCTGCACCCTCCGCTGCAACTTGCCCATGCCCCCCCCCCCCCCCCCCCCCCCCCCCCACTTCTCCTTTACACAAATTCAGACAGCTGATGTTCTGAAAGAGCTGAAAAATCTGGAACCCTACAAATCAGCTGGGCTAGACAAGCTGGACCCTTTCTTTCTAAAAATTAGTCGCCGAGATTGTCGCAACTCCTATTACTAGCCTGTTCAACCTCTCTTTCGTAACATCTGAGATCCCCAGAGATTGGAAAGCTGCCGCGGTCATCCCCCTTTTCAAAAGGAGTGACACTCTAGATCCAAACTGTTACAGACCCATATCCATCCTGCCCTTCAAAAGTTTTTGAAAGCCAAGTTAACAAACAGATCACCGATCATTTCGAATCCCACCCTACCTTCTCCGCTATGCAATCTGGTTTCCGAGCTGGTCATGGGTGCACCTCAGCCACGCTCAAGGTCCTAAACGATATTATAACTGCGATCGATAAAAGACAGTACTGCGCAGCCGTCTTCATCGACCTGGCCAAGGCTTTCGACTCTGTCAACCACCGCATTCTTATTGGCAGACTAAATAACCTTGGTTTCTCAAATGACTGCCTCGCCTGGTTTACCAACTACTTCTCAGGGAGAGTTCAATGTGTCAAATCGGAGTGCCTGTTGTCTGGACCTATGGCAGTCTCTATGGGGGTGCCACAGGGTTCAATTCTCGGGCCGACTCTATTCTCTGTGTATATCAATGATGTCGCTCTTGCTGCTGGTGACGCTCGGATCCACCTCTATGCGGACGACATCATTTTGTATACATCTGGCCCTTCATTGGACACCGTGTTAACAAACCTCCGAGCTTCAACGCCATACAACACTCCTTCTGTAGCCTCCAACTGCTCTTAAACACAAGTAAAACTAAATGCATGGTTTTCAACCGAATGCTGCTTGCACCCGCCCACCCGACTAGAATCACTACTCTCAGCGGGTCTGACCTAGAGTATGTGGACAACTACACATACCTAGGTGTCTGGTTAGACTGTAAACTCTCCTTCCAGACTCACATTAAGCATCTCCAATCAAAAGTTAGATCTAGAATCGGCTTCCTATTTCGCAACAAAGCCTCCTTCACTCATGCTGCCAAACATGCCCTCGTAAAACGGACTATCCTACCGATCTTTGACTTCGGCGATGTCATTTACAAAATAGCCTCCAACACTCTACTCAGCAAATTGGATGTAGTCTATCACAGTGCCATCCGTTTTGTCACCAAAGCCTCATATACTACCCACCATTGTGACCTGTACGCTCTTGTTAGCTGGCCCTCACTACATATTAGTCGCCAAACCCACTGGCTCCAGGTCATCAATAAATCACTGCTAGGCAAATCCCCCATCTTATCTTAGCTCACTGGTCACCATAGCAACACCCACCCGTAGTCTGCGTTCCAGCAGGTATATCTCACTGGTCATCCCCAAAGCCAACACCTCCTTTGGCCGCCATTCCTTCCAGTTCTCTGCTGCCAATGACTGTAACAAACTGCAAAAATCTCTGAAGCTGGAGACTCTTATCTCCCTCACTAACTTTAAGCGTCAGTTGTCAGAGCAGCTTACCGATCACTGCACCTGCACACAGCCATTCTGAAATTAGGCCACCCAACTACCTCATCCCCATATTGTTATTTATTTTGCTAATTTGCACCCCAGTATCTCTATTTGCACATCATCTTTTGCACATCTATCATTCCAGTGTTAATACAAAATTGTAACTATTTTGCACAATGGCCTATTTATTGCCTTACCTCCATAATTTACTACATTCGCACATACTGTATATATATTTTCTGTTGTATTTTTGACTTTATGTTTTTGTTTACCCCCCATATGTAACTCTGTGTTGTGTTTTTAATCGCACTGCCTTTGCTTTAATCTGGCCAGGGTCGCAGTTGTTAAATGAGAACTTGTTCTGCAACTGGCTTACCTGGTTAAATAAAGGTGA